TTATAATCCAAGCACGCAATCAGCAATTACTGTTTTTATTTGGTTAATCTGTACAGCAATTTTATGACGTAAATAAGGTGAGCCAGGAAAGTGCACTCATGCTGTATTTGAATACTGCTGCTACATCTATACCAAAACAAAAAGAAATCAGAATTAGACCTAAAAAATCATGATCAGTTGTTCCCTAATTGAAAGCACTCTGTAATGTTTTATAATGTTCATATGACACACATGACCATCTTTACGACAGATTGCAGTACACTGGCTTGTTGTTTCACTGCACCACAAAAGAAGAAAATCACTCATCGCACAGACTGAACTTTGAATGAAATCGGTACTATGAAAGAGACAAAAAGAGGAAACAGTAGGAAGTATAACTGTTTAATTAGCTGATTAATCCAATAATAGATTAATTGATGGAAAAAAATCATATGCAGCTCTCATGCAATATACGACATAGTTTGTCAATCTTTTACTCACTATTCGAGCATCCTCTTCTTTACAGTCAAAGGCAAACGTCTTACTGTTCTGGAAGACAACAAGAACAAAGTCTCAAACAATGGAAAACAGTACGGCACAGACACTCTTCTATTTTACATCATGTAAAATCTGTTCATTCAAGCAACTGTGGAACACTCTCACATGGGTCCCTTGACTAAGACCAGCATGTATTCTCATAGTAATAGAAAAAAGTAAAGGAATTTCTAAAATACATTTGCTAGACAGCCTTGCTATTTGTCAAACTAATAACAATTTAAATGATATGTCCTTAATGACCTTGATTTCTATGAACATCTATCCATCTGATGATGGTGAAAAGCTTAATTTGACTAAGTGCAGTATGGCTACACCTGCCTGTGTCTGCTCACTGAACCCCACTAAACATTAAATGTCCAATTAATAACGCATAGATCAATTTTTCCCCAGGACATTACTGCAATGTGATGAACATTTATATAGTATGCAGTATGCATTTTAAAGCAGCACAACCCCAATGCCACTTTACATTCATGAAGGCCAAGTATACGGCACGATCATGGACAGGCCTGGGATGTTCTTTATCACATCTAGAGTTTCATCTTAGATCATTTTGACATCCAATGGTAAGGTAATGGAAAGAGCTCAAGTTGGCTTATGCTATGCTGGGGGTCTAAATCTGGTGACCTTAGTGCTATGCACAAGGCAAACCCTTGAGTCAAATGGCCTGTGTTGGAAGTGTTAACGCTAGAGTAGGGAAATGTGAATGTCTTTGAGCAGCTGAGATCCCACTGCCATACAAGGAACAAGATCTTACAAGGGTTAGATTATCCAACTGAAAGCTGAAAGGATGGCCCCTCTCCAGAAAAATGAATTTACATGTCAACTCAATGAAAAAAGCATGTCAAACACAGCCACTCAAATGGCAGTGGACACTCGTGTAATAACAGGTTTGGCAGGCTGCTTCAGGAAGAGACTGTTGTTGCACTTGCAGGGGAGTAAAGAAATACATTTAACGTGAAATGGCACTTCTCTCTAACGTGAAATGGCCCTTATGGCTCTTCTCATATCTAAACACAGCTGCAAACTGAACTAACCTACTGCTGCAATTACAGTTAGCAAAGAAGTTAACAAGTTAGCGAGCTAATTTGATAAAGCTAGGGACGAAACCAAGCAAACGTTAGCTAGCTAGATAGCTAACGCTGTGTGTAAGCTATCGTGCAATGATTAGGACAAAAATGCGAATTCTCTTTCGGATTTTGTCCGGACCTCAGCACCTGCAGCGTTCAGAGTTAGAGCGGCACATTTCCACTGGCGACGCCTCTGTTTTGCTAACGCTGCTAAGCGCCGAGCCTCAGTCTGTCATCATGAGTCAGTTTAAAGCTAAGTTAGCAGCGCTGAGCTCGCGGGTTAGCAGCATCCATGAACCTAACCTACCTCTCTGTTGTATTCACGCAAACGTCTCTCAGTTTCCTCCTCGTTTCCACTTTCAATCTGTGTTAAAATGTCACTCAGCTCCATGTTTGGGTAGTGAACGGCTCAGCCCAGCAGGTGAAAGTCTAACGTAATCTCCAGCAGATGTTTTTCCCTGTCTTTGGCTTCTAAACCGCTAATATAGGTTTCAACTTTTAACCAAGAAGCGTCACGGTCAGTAGCACTGCGTCAGAGCGCTCCACTGTATACCCTCAGGAGATTCAGGCTGCGTTGGAATTACGCAGAAGCAGACTAAACTCAACACTTTTAACTGATATCAGATTTCAGATTCTTTTGTGTTTGCCCTATTACCAGACCACAAGCTGTTTACCCTGCTGCAGGGCCTGATATATTAATACCACTGCAGACAGCTTCACAAGAACATGGCTAATTCTCAAATGGCTCCTTACTCCCTATATAGAGCACTACATGCACTGATCAGCAATAACATTAAACCATCTCCTTATTTCTAAACTCAATGCCCATTTTATCAGCTTCACTTACCATACAGGTGCACTTTGTAGCTCTACAATTTCAGACTACAGCCCATCTGATTCTCGGCATACTTTGTTAGACCCCCTTTCATCCTGGTCTTCACTGGTCAGGACCCCACACCTTGCCAGAAAAAACAGCATAGACCAGCATGCCTCCTCACCAGCAAAACCAGCATATGTTGTATTTTGGATGCTGGTATGCTTGTCAGCAGCAATGTAAGTTTATATGCTGATTACCACCAATTATGCTGTGTTTTGATGTTGGTATGCTGGTCAATAAGCATGACCATGCTGGGGTGACCAGCTAAACCAGAACGAGAGCAGCATAGACCAGCTTAGACCAGCATGACATGCAGTACACAGTAACACAGCACCACTATATCAGTGTCACTGCAGTGCTGAGAATGATCCACCACCAAAATAATACCTGTTCTATGGTGGTCCTGTGGGGGCCCATCGATGAACAGGGTGAAAGAGGTCTAACAAAGTACACAGAGAAACAAATGGGCTACAGTCTGTAATTGTAAAGCTACACAGAGCTCGAATATTGTAAGTGGAGCAAATAAAATGGACAATAAGTGTAGAAACAAGGAGGTGGTTTTATAATGTTATTGCTGATCAGTGTAAATCACAAAAGTATGACTTTTGGAATCAAATAGTGCACTAAATGGGGACACAGGCTATGGCTGAAACCCAAACTGATCTTTTGGACATTTAATGCAATATTTGGATGTTGAAGCCACCATTTCATATACATCACTATACATGGAGCAGGGAACTACTTGAGATTCAATTCATGATCATAGCCAGGCAAGGAAAATGACCCAGTCATTAAAGACATAGTTCACCAAATCAAATCTAATTTACTCCAGTTTCCTCTCATCCAAAGCCTATTTGACCAGCCAAGATATATTTGGTGTCTGAAGTTGGCTTTGTCAGTTTTGCACTGCAGTTTTTAGCTACTGCTAACGTAGCTAAAGTAATGGGAGTCTGTGCCACTTGAAATCATTTTGGTGACACAGGCTTTTATTATGTTAGCTTTGAAGTTCCAGTGCAAAACAAAAGCAGCAAACTTCAGACACCAAAAATGTTTTGCCTGCTACACTGTTTGGGGCGTTTTATGTTTATTACATGCTTTGGCTGGTACACCCCGAAACATAGTTTGGTGAGTTTCCTGATCAAAAACACTTGATTCAATTCATTAGTTAATACTAGGTTTAGGTCTTGGGCCAGAGCTGGGAAATCACCAAATTGTCCCCTATCCCTGCTTCAATACATTCCTGTTAGCACTGCTAACCACTACTATGAATCAGTGCGTCTCCTGACCAGATCTTGTGTTGCTAGTCAGAGGCATGTTTTCTTGTGCTACAGAAGAAGGGCTTGCTGTGAAAGCATGAAAAGTCCAAAGGTTAAAGGTTACGGGAGGTGCATTAACCTCTCATCAGCAGGGGGTGATGGCTATAGAAGACTAATTCTTTCCACAGTGTGTCCCTTTTGGTCCAGAGGATTTGAAAAGATTTGTTTTTTTTCCTCAACACCAAACATGCAAAAGAGGTAGTAGCGACTGGTCCCGAAAAATGACGCGCCATGACAAATATGCAGTACCATGGTTGGCTAAATTCATGTCAGTCTCCATACCAGATTCTCATCCAGTCATATTTGCAGCGTCTTTTTGTACAGTATGCAGGTTAACACGTGGCCGGCTTAATGTCAGTATTCACTTTAAACTCATACAGGTAGAGCAGACAACACAACCTTGGACAGGCCAGGAGGTGCTTTTTACCACTTCTTAAAAGATTGAAAAGGTTACACGTTTCCAGTTAGTAGCTCTGTATACAGGTTAAACTGGTTCAATCAGCCAGTCTTGCAGAAATCTTGGGGAGTATCAGGGAAATTTAAATTTCTCTGACTGCGTAACGTTGAGAATGTATACAGTCATGCAGAATGGTTTGATGTGAAATGGTGCATTGTAGAGAGACTTACCCTCTCTAACCCTCTCTTATTTCTTTACACTGGTATTCATAGGAACCCCACACACAATGTCTACAATGCAAATGTAGTCATTTTTTTTATCTAGAACCCCTAATGAACCTTCACATCATCTGAGTTTTTACATGTAGAGTTCATAATGCTAAAATAGTGGTTCTATCTGCATAACCAATCTTGTTTTGCATTACAACACTCTTCTCCATTAATGTAATTTTTAAATATGTTTTACATCAAACCATTCTGTTAAAACTATTGCAAAAGAGTGTCTCCGGAAGCATGCTCATAACCATTTTGTGTAATAGCTTTCTCTGATGAAGCTTTTAGAGGCATTAAGAATATTGTGGACATCTGGTTCCTATCACCACCACTGTGAAGAATTCTGACTTGATAAGATTTCACATCAAACTACTCTGAATGACTTTGCTTACACCTTAAGCCTTGAATTATGCAGACAATTGAAACACTGGCAGAATTCTCTTTTAAATCACAGCTAAATCACATCTGAAAAAACATAAAAAAGCACAGTTAAAAACCATCATTTCATGGGCAAATAATCAGATTCAATTCTGGATTTTAAAAATTCTTTATGTGGCAACAAATAATTCCACATATATATTTTACACGGTAACAGCTGTCACCACAGAAGTTACTGAGTGCTTTTACTTGCAAGAGAAAGTGACTACAGATAAATGTTACATTTTGATATTTCTTTCTTTTTTATTCCTACCCATAGGGTAATAGGTCCACAGTACCTTCGAGTGCATTTAAAATCACACAACCCTAGGTTAACACATCTCCTCTCTATATATATTTATAAAAATGCAATTTACAGTACAAACAAATATAAACAAAGCAAAGGGGCACCATGTTACAAAGCTACAGGAAAATGTTTAGAGTTAAGCTCTCCCACACTTACGGTAACCGAGCCTATAACACAAAGCACAAAGCAAACTTGCTGACGCACTTCAGTCAACACACTTCAAGAAACAATTTGTTAACTTGCCAGATCTCAGTTTCATGTACAGTCACCGATGACCCAACAAATGGATGTAATTTAGTTCAGCAGTCAACTCCCTTCCTTTGACGCTCACATCCTGGCAATGGGCCAAGATGCCTTCTAGGGGGGAGAGCTCAGTTCTTCCTGGTTCTTTTACAGAACAGCTGTAAAGGGCACCACACATGCCATAACAACGGCAATCACGAGAGCAAATGCTGATAAACAGTGAGAAAAAATAATCTGATGTCAGTATAAAGATTGCTTTGACGTCAAGCAGCAAGCCCAAGGTCAACAAAGACATGTGATATACATAAATTCAAAATGAAACAGGGAAATTGGGAGGAAAGTAAAAGGCACAACTAGGTTACAGCTGCTCTCGTCATCTCACATTCTGCTTGGAGAAGAAGAGTTTAATTTGCAGCTCTCATGGTAGACACTTTCTCACTCAACTCACACTGCTTTCTGAAACTACTCTCTGTCTTTCACTGACCCATCATTTGTGAGTGTACGGTACTGAGTGTTCCTGGCCTTGCTGGAGGTCTTCTTTTCTGCACAGATCTGCCGATGCATTCCCCAAGTTTACGGGGTTTTTCTTGTTGGACAAAGACGCAGCTATTTGGCCCACCCTGTGGTGGCCTCTCCATTAATGTAGGCCATGCCGGGAAAGTGTTGTGCATGCTCGTATTCTGAGTTTCTGCGTGGTGCCAAAGGGGAGTACATGTCCCCTGTGGAAGCGTAGCGGGATGAGTGCATGGGTGTGCTATAGTAGCAGCTGTTAGCGGAGGGGACTTCTGGCCAGCGGGGGGTCATTGGGGTTGAGTGCAGCCGAGGAGTCCCACCCATAAGACATGGTTCCATGCGAGACATCTGGCTGTTGAGTGGGTACTGCAAAAGGAAAAATCATAGTCAGGCAATATAAGCATTAAAACATACTGCAGCAGTATAAACTAAAAGTTGAAAGCAATAAAATGTTATGTGGGTCATAAGGTAATTTAATCTGTCATGTTTGTGAAATAGTAGTAGCCTGTGTCAGTTTGTCTGAAGAACAGGGAAATATAAAGCACTTGATTTTAACTATTTGCACCACTGTTGGTAAAACTCTAATTACTATGATACATTTCTATGATTACTTCCTGAATTATGGTAATGTGAAGTTTATCCAGTTCAGTTCTAAAAATATATATAAAAATACTAAACAGCACTTGGACACAGATCTCCTTTTTGTTGCCATGGCTAACTCTACTGATCATCAACAAAAGTCAAACATGTCAACATTTGACATCCGTGGATCCTAAAAACGCTTACTGTCCTCGAAGAGGAAACCAGCAATAGTAATTCATTTGTATCTTCTCAGTCATTTCCTTCTGAGTGATCCTCTCACACAAAGCACAGACATTGTGTCCATTTTAAGCCCAGGCAGGACAAGTGGAAGTAAAAATCTATCTGTCCCCTCTAAATAGAAGCGATACACAGTCAATACCATTATGAAGGACCGCAGCATGGAAAAAGAAAGTCAGCCGGGGTCAGAGACCAAGACGTGTGGCTTAGTGACCTCTTGTCCAGGCAGAGAAAAGCAGCCATTGAATAACAATATTTTAATAAGCACGTTATGCGCCTGGGTTCCCGGTCTGCGGCTGAGCTGTCTGAAGCAGCCATTGAGTGTAGGACAGAAGGGTGCTGAGTCGGGGTGGGGGGGGGCTGTCTGGGCTCTGGCCAGGCCATCTTTCAGAGCCTGCATCCGCTGCGTTGAGTGGGATTCGGTATCGGCCGCTTCAACAACACTGAGACCCAGCTGATCTCCCATTACAAAAGCAGGCTAGGCCAGAGAGCTCTTGACAGGAAATTACCACCACGCCTGCTTTGGCTTACAATATATGATGCCACTAATCTAGCAGCCTCTTTCCTTTGCTTCAACAATTCAATTCAACTACTTCCATTCCATCTGTTAGGCTTACTTCAAAGAATCCTCTCTACACCATTGATCTGTTTGGTCCAGATTCCAAGCCACTTCCTAGCCTAGTTATACTGAGAAACATCTTACTACATACTCTCTCACCATATGTTCAACCCTTTGTAACGTAAAGATCACAACGTCATAATCAGAAAGCTGATCATTCATGCACTACCTTGATGTAGGTGATCTAATTAAGTGAGGTAGAGAATGTGCAGAATGACTGGTAGTACCACTCAATTAACCTTTACTTTTAATTGTTTGCTCAGAAACATTCCTGGAAAGAAAGAGCATACAGAAACTGAGCACTAACTGAAATGACAGTTCAACCACAGGCTAAGCTCACTGCTGCCAGAGAAAGAGAACTGCTCCCTAACTATGGACCCCTCAGCATTACACATAGTTCAGCATTTCACATGCTAATGACGCGCAATGTGTCATTCGCCATTCATATTCATATTAGCATTCCTGTCTAGGTTAAGGCCCTTGTAAAATGCTCTTAAAGAGGCAGGAGGTGAATACGCTTCCATTTCAATGAAAGGGAATAAACAATCTTTTGCATCTATTATGATGTACTGCAAGTCATTAAGGCTGCACAAAGATGTATATTGGATCAGACAAAGCCTGGAATCAACAGACTTTACAAAACTGTCAGATTATTAGTGAAAATTCTCACATTAGTATATCTAAGCTTATTAACAGTAAAGTTGTGATCCCTGTTTGAATGTAAGGGAATATCGGGGAGTGCTGACCTGTGCAGGGGACCGGTGGTAAGAGGAGTAGTGCAGTGGGGTGGAGAGGCTTGGCTCGTGAGTCAGACTCGGGTACTGGCTCTGAATGGCATGATGGTGCTGGTTTGGGTAGCTGCTATAGTTGTAGCTGTTGTAGTTGTAGCTGAGGAAAGGGTAGCACACAGATTCAGACAAGAGGAAATAACAAATGTCAGCATCTTCTGCCAGATCTTCAGTAGGGGCTTACCCAGGCTCATCTCTGTGCGGGTAGACTGGCATCCGGGTACCAGATGAGTTAGGGGGTACTGGAGGGCCGCTACGCATGCAGGACAGCTGGGCTCCTCCTTCAGTGGGGCTACCCCCTGACGTAGTCACTGTGTATGTAAGGGACCATGTATATGACTGAACAGCTCCTGGCACAACACAGACACATACAGAACAGGCATTTTTTTGTGGTGGACATCATATCAGCTTCCTCTAAGATAAATAAATGTTGTATGTAGTTAAGATAGAAGAAACATTCAAATGTCACCACACAGACAATTATCCCCTTAAATAGGAAGGATGTTATGAAGCTGCTATTCTTACTGTTATTAATTTTAAGACTTTTTTTATTCGGTAACTTTTTTAATTTAAATATAACTTTTTAAATTCAGTTACTACTTAAAATTATTCTATTTCTACTATATTACTAATATGCGCAGTAAGTTTTGCAGTTATTAAACTGGGGAATTGAAGTGTGATCCCACATACAGGCCCTTGCAAATTAACCCCTTGAACCATAAGCTAATTATGCAGCTATTAATCTTAGGACTTATTATTCAGCAACTGCTATTACTTACTCTGCAACTGTTGTGAAGCTAATATGAAAGTTGTAATTTTGTGAGAATGTAGAATTAAAGTATAGGCCCACATACAGGCCTTTAGGGTTTAAGGAACTAAGGGGTTACGTTTCCATATTAATTAGTATATTTTTAAATCTCCCCTTACCTGAGGTAACAGACACACCAGTGTACTCAGGGGACTGGGCTGAACTGAGAGATCTGATGGCTGGTACTCCCACCGAGTGCACAGACTTTGCAGGAGAGTAGGGACCAGGCGATGTAGAGGTGGGGGTGCTATCTGTCAGCACCATATCCTCGATGCTTTCTGCTATAGGAAAGCAATGCTGGACATGTCAGCACCCACTGTAGTTTGCCTTAATTCACAGCGCTAATTTGGTCCTTTACAAAATTGGTACTCTATAATTCATGATAACTGATAACTCTCCCATTGACTCACCTGTAGTGCCTTCCCCTTTCATGGCCCTCATCAGATCATTGGCTCTCTCCTGGCAGTGCAGAGACTCCAGCAGGTACAGCACATAATCGTCAAACATCAGGTGGATCAGGTGGAAGGAGCCTGCAAACACATGAAAAGGAACACATCTGTTGCACGTTATGAAGCCACTTAAAAAAGCTCAATAACGCTATCATTAGACTAAACCTGGATAGGATTCTGACAGAGTTGTATATTTGCAAATAAGTACTTATTTTGAGCCAAATTTATGTTTGCACCGCTTTAGACATAAGCCACAAACTCTTTAAGGTTAGGGGTGCAAATATGTCCAAGCCCTTGCTCTGAATGAATGGGGTAAGAATCTGGAAAGAGCATGGCACAATCCTCACTTTGTACAGCTAACTCCAGCCATTCTGTGCATTATAAACCCTGTGGCTATTGAGAGAACAGACTGCAATACTGCCCACTCATAAAATGGGAAGCAGGAGGAAACACTTGTGGGGGGGCTAGCCTTTGTTAATTAGCTGTTTTTGTACAGAGAGCTGCATTATCAAAACACTGCAACCAGCTGTGTCTTTGATATTCACAGACAGAGCTGAAGAGGAGGGGGTCTTCACCTCTTTCAGCTTCTCTGCCATAGAGAGCAGGCCACTGTTAACCAAGACCTTGCAAAGCAGCCATCTTGGTGGAAAGCTCAGGATGTGGATTGGGTGTCTTGGTCAGCAGTACAGATTTTGGCTAGTTAACAGATGGTCAAAGGGAATGCTACAACTACAATTCCAAACCATCCATCAAATAGTTCAAATTATTTAAAAGCTTTTAAAAAAACATTTCCATGTATATGTTTAGCTATAACGATGTTGACACTTGATCTCTTGATGAATTCTTCCCAGTCCCATACGCTTGACAGGAAGGCACTTCAGAATGTACTTAAATTCAAACACCCCTTCAATAGTACCATAGTAGAATGCATTCAGTGCACTAGTATGTCCATTACATGGAGACTGCTGTCTTATTGGACAATGATTATAGGACATTTTGGCCTTAGCAGACTCACCGAAGCTGGGGGCGCTGTGGAGTGTCATGTCCCGAATCACTCTGGTCCCAAAACATGACCACATAAGGAGGAACTGCTGGGCAACCTTCTTCAGGCACCCGGGTCTCTTCCCTGCCACCTAAAGGGATCATTACCATGAGAAAAGTGTGAAGGAGGGGCACGAAGGCCTTAACCTTTGGATCCAACCCCCAGGAACGAAAAACATGTCAACTATTTGATTTGTCCTCAGGGACACACCCTCCCATTGAACTATTGTCTGCTGAGCAGTGGATGTTCCCATGGTGACCAAATTTTCACAAGCCTATATGTGCACTATAATAGCTGCTGATTTCTGAAACTACAGTGCAATTGTAGGTAAACAGGTAACAGGTGTGTAAAACACCGAACTGAATAAATGTTCAACTGACCCTTACAACGCATCTGTCCACCATAGAGTCCAGCCATTCAATGTACGCTTCAATGGGGGATTGATCCTCTAGCAGCTGGTCAAACTCCTGATATACTGAGTGAGGAAAGCAAGACACAAAAACAAAACCAAATGAAACAAAGTGAGAAAACTAAAGTGTCTCTAAGTGCTTGTACTCTCCTGATGGCAATTCACTGTAAATAATCTATGTATAGCAACAAATGACAAGCAACTTGCAACTCAACCCCAACCCAAATTAAAACTAAAGACATCAATATTGTTCACATTCATATTATTACCTGAATCAATTTTAGCTCTGCTGGCATTAAGAAATGTTAACTTTGTCATAGGTAGATATTTATCCTATGCCCCAAAACAATTAAATAAATTCTGAGATAGGAACTGGAAACTGTTCATGTGAGGGCATGACCCAATCTCTGAACTCTGACCTTATCGGTCATTTGAGCAGTTGCCACTGAAATGAGTTTAAAATGTTTCCCTGGATGTCAAAGTGTGGGGGTGAACTTGGTTAACCTCTTAGTGGCTATAATTAAAGCCTGTCTTTCTGACCGTGGGAATGATTCAGCGATGGGCATCAGCTACTGAGTGACATCTGACTAATGTCAAAGATCAATATGCAGGTCTTCCCAAAGGATCAAAATACTATCTTAGTCTAATAACTTTCACTACAATAATGAAAATGCTGAAATGCATCTACATGTCAACACATTTGTCCAGTCAAGTCTATTACAAAGTATTTTTTGATATGCAAGATCTACATATGCACAATTCACAAGAACTTCAGTCAATACCATATAAGAGTCAGTGCAGCCAGAGTGTTACCCTTTAAAGACTAGGCATTAGAGGTGAGGTGTTATCTAAGTCACAGTATCAGTAAAAATAACAAAATGTTCAGATGAAGTCTACACTTCTTACGTTATGGTAAGTGTAGACGTCATCAAATCTACTTCAGTTAAAGCTTATTGTTGCTGTCATCACCATCACCATAAAAAAAAAAGAAATGCATGTTGTTTCGCTTTGTTCTTACGCTGAATGATGAGTCTACGTTGCTCCTCTCGTGAATCCTCCATTGTGTAAAGTGTCTGCTTAGTGATGCTATTCAGGTCTACGTTCCTCCAGTCCTCCAGCATCTGAAAGGTGATGTCTGCACTGTGTATCACTGTCCGTGATGCCTTAAGAAACACAAAGTATGGAAAAATATGCTGCTTATTCTGAGTCAGAAACAAAAACAGTGAATAGAACTATATATGTGGGAAACAGATTTGAATGTGTATAAGTGAATTTTTGTCTCACCTGACAAAGATGATTTAAGGACGTCTGCCGTTTGAGTATCTGGGAAAATCTTCTTGACACTGACAAGATAAAAGTTGGACAATCAGTCTTGAGCAAACCAAACTCAACATAAATTCAGCTAGGACGAGACTTACACTCAAACTTGATGTTTCGCAGATTCTCAGGCAGATCGTGCAGAGCCAACTTCAGCCACTCATCCAGCTGCTTAGCAAATTTCCTAATGACCTGTGTCAGGCTACAGGGACCAGAAGCACAGTGAGATAATTGTGAAAATTACTTATTGTAATTTTTTTTCTTCAGAGGACATTATGATGTACTTAAATATTTTCAAATTGAAAACACTACTGGCGATATTTGTTTATTTTACCCTAGTTTGCAAGCTTGCACCAATGAAGGAAAAAGGACAGTTGCTCATATGGTGGAAAATAATTAATCTCATATTATGTGATCAGGACTAACTGTAGTGGTATGCTTTTTTAACTCATGTTGCGGTACAGAGTTGAGTGTCACCTCTTCAAAAAGATGAAAATTGTGAATACATTTAAATGTTGGAATCAAAGTTGCAACAAAAATTAAACCTTCGTTGTTGTTGTGCCACATGCATTAATCTTTCACTGTCTTGTTTCTGTGGTTGGTACAAGCACGCAGAACAGGGCAGAATAAAGAAACATCCCTATAAAATATATGAGCTGTGTGGTAAGCTAATATAATACCCCTCAGATGATTTAGCTGTAGATCAGCAGCTTATCATATACAACTTATGCAGCTTATCATTTGCAAAAGTTTGAACGCCATTCTGTACAGGAAACAAACTTAAATATGGCATTTTCTGCAAATTTTAGAGCACAATATCTATTTATTTATTTAATATATTGAAAATAATCTAAAAAAAAATAATAATCTGTAGAGGATGTGTACTTATTTTCAATTAGAACCTCAACAAAATATGTAACTTGACCAGGGGCACCAAATCTTTGCATGTCACTGTATGTTCTTTATGATAGACCGATGCCTAAGCAGAATCACTATTACTTATTGAAAAGGCAAAAGTCCATGGCTTCCAAGTCAACTTCCAATAGACTTCCCATAGAAAGGATGCAAAACACATGAGCATAGGATTTCCAAAGTTGCTTTCATATTCTTGCTTTCTGGCATCTACTAAAACACAGAAACAAACAACAGGTACTCACCTGTCGGGCAGGGCCTGCAGGACAGTGGGCATGAGGACTCCTGAGATGGCTTTGTAGAGTATGGAGTCACACACCCCTACAATATTTACTACAGTGGGGGAACTCAAGACAGGCAGCATGTGCGGGGGCATGCCTTGCCAAAAGTGCAACAAGAAGCTCTGGACCTACACATACAAACACATATATGAACACAGAGTGGAAGGTGGATTATTAGTACATATTTCAAACGGTTTATGAGGTCGAACATATTCAGTCCTGTAGCCAGTTCAAAGAAACTAAAGATTGTAACAAAATTGGAAAGAAACAAACCTCATCGAAGTTGGCTCGTATGACAGTGTCCAGTATTCTCTGACAGTGAGTTCTGTACATCATTATAAAGGTGGAAACCTAGAAAAGAAAAGAGGCCATTTAACTAAGACTTACTGACATAGTAAATGAAATATGTTTTAGAGAAGTTGAGCCTGGACCACCTGGAACACAAAAATGAAACACAAAATACACAGAACATGGGATTTAGTCAAATGTAATGTATAAAAAGTGGCTTTTAGAGACCAGCAGCACACAAATCCTTTAAAATTACAGCTGCCTTTTAAAGAGGGACAGCTACTGTCTGTACTTTGTTGCATGTGAGATCTTATTATCTACTCAAAAGATTAAGAGTTCGCTAGGACCCAGAATATAAATCCTCTGGATCCTTGTTTAAATCCAGGCTAGGGAAGGTGCAGGGGGCAGATGAAAAGGGGAGCTAGAGGGGTGGCTGGCTGAGAGAAGAGGGGGTGGATGGCTGGCTGAAGGAGAGTGCAGTCACTGAAAGTTTTAGGGCTCTGTTTACCTTCTCTTCTGGCAGACTGGCGGGCAGATTTAGGTCTTTGACATTTGGAAAGTCTGGCAGCAGAGTGCCCAGTTTGGAGCGGGGTGAATACGCCACTGTCTGTTTGGTGACCACTTTCTTGCCCGTCTCGTTCACCCAGGCTGTGCCTTTCTTAGAGTACATCACATCATAGTACTGAGAGGTCTCCTTCACCGCTATGCCATAGTAATGGTACCTAATGGAAACATAGTTGGGAGATTAAGAAGACTTTTCAACAGAAATTGGTAAAACTCAGAGACACTAATGTTGGGACAAAAGTTCTGTAAAGAGCCAAAATGACTAGTTTTGCAGACACAAGTTAACCTAAAAATGATATAAATTGGGGAATCCCTTGAGGTTGACACAGTGTTAATTAAATAATTGTGAGAACTGGCAGTGAAAGTATAGTGTCAATCTCTCACTGCTCAAAAGTAATCAAAATGACCACAAAGCACAGGAGAAAATATTCAAAAGGAGATCACATGCATCCCAAAGTCACTGCAATATCAGGAAAGATTTCCACTTACTTTGATTGGCCCCTGGTTCCCAGTCTTCGTGTGGTTAATTGAGGAAACTGTTGTCTTATTATCTGTGCAGGACAAGAGACAATAAATAATTTATCGTAGATCATACACTGATTTCTCATCTAATCTGGCAATTGCCTGAATCATGGTCGTCTATGAAAACAAGTTAGTGTGTTTAAGTAAGTCTAGTGGACACATTCTACACAAAAGGATGAAAAGCTTCAATGTCTTGTCATCTGTAAAAGCCCATGGCCCTATGTTTGACCATTGAAGTTCTTGCCAGTTGTCACATTCTCAAAATTCATATCCAACAGCTTTTTTCCCCCCATCTTTTTCATTTTCTTGTGTCTCTCTCTGAACGTCTGTCTCGCTCTCCCTGTTCTGTTTTTGTCCATGAGATTGGCTCCTTGGTCCAGCTCCCGGTGCAGAAACTTTAGCAAACAGTGGAGCTCTCCATTGTGTGGGATGAAAAAAGAGGCCAAGCTGTGAAGTTTCTGTCAGGCTCGGCTTGATAAATGAGCAGACAGGGAGGCAGCCCCAGCTCTCTCTCTCTTTTTTGTCCCGAATCAATGAAGCCTTCCTAAAGGACACCCCACGCTGCTCCAGCCACTGATCTAACATTCCGCAACATCTCACCCTTCCAAATTTCCTTTAATTACACATTAATCCAGGCCCCCTCTCTTTTTCAATATCCTCGGACAGGAGCTGGGGAGGGGGCAGGGATGTCAGGTGGTGGCAATGTGAGGAGGTGGTTGGAGGGGTTGTGGGAACAAGGGGAAGCATGTCTATGGATTTAGATTGTCTGTCCAGAGGTTTGTGAACTGGCTGTTACTGGCTTCCTACCATGTCCAGCAAATGTCCACCAATTTCACTAATTATTCTCTTCGATTTGTGCACATCACGTGTGTGTATTTATGATATTTCAGCATTAGATACTTCTAAAAGGAGAATCCAGGAAAAGTATTTGTAGTTTTGTTTGTGTTAAAAATAATTCCATGGAAGAAATCAGCTACAAAGCTCAGAATAGGTGAATAGAATATGAGAGCTCACCTTCCCGAAGCTGGCGGCATTGACAGGCTGGCTGTCATGCTTCTCACAGAAGTCTAGGTAGTGCATGTAAAGAGCACTGCGAGGGACACAAACACCCTCAGCGATCTCATAGTTCTCTTCCAGCCTGCCAAAATGTAAAAATAAATAAAAAATCTTATCAACACTAAGATAACTCTCATTTAAAACATTTCAAACCAACTTTTCAAAACAATCCAAAACTAATGCAAATAAGATCTGAAAGACGCAAATTCTGTTTAAATGGAAGTTTCTACATACATACTATTTGCTCCCTTCCTCATAATTTAGCAAGTATTTTGCAAGTATTAATTGCTATTTAATTTATCTATTTTTTATATATATTTTGACTTTTAATTGACAAGTTATACATTACTTGTGTCTGTTTCAGACTGTATGTCTATCATTTTGCTTGCATTGCTCTGAAAATACATATATTTCATTCAAATCTAGCACTTAAAGATTGTCACTACATTTCACTTTTGAGAAAGTCAGAATGAAAAAAAACATTGTCATTATTTTGCAGGACCCATGCTTGTGTTATTACAAGGGCAAACACAATAGTAACACTGTATAACATAAAATGACCAGACTCAAAGGATATAGAAATATATATTTTATAAAGAATACGGTAAAATAGAGTGATCGTGGCTGAAAATGATGCAGAAACCAATGTCTCCTTGGCTTCATGTAGACAGCTGAATCTGGATTTTTTGCATATATTTTTCTAATGTATCTGATATCTTCTTTCCTGTTTTCTAAATACCAACAATCTAATCAATTTATATGTATGTACAGAATGATATGACGGAATAACGTAGTTCAGCCAATTCTACCCAAAAGGCAGATTCACTTCTTGGTCTCACGCTGTAACAGTAAAATCTTTTGTAACAGTCAAAAAATTATAGTCTGTAATTTGTAGCTTTATTCTTTTATAAATAACATGACATATGGCTTGTGAGCTTGTTACACCCATCACGGGTCGTCATGAATAAACTGAGAATGTTTAACGTGCTTAATACAGCACGTTGTTGTTTTGAAATCACAGAATGTGCTTTTAAAGGCCATCATCTGATTTCCTGCTAGAACTCTCCTGATTTGTGGGGGAAATGATCAAGACTGTAACGATCACATCTTTTGAATCCCAACTTCAGAATCTCTAACTAAACTCTGGATCGAACTGTATACTTAGTTACTTCTGTGTATGAAGCTCTGTTTACACGTTACATTAAAATTATAAATAAACATTCATAAATGAATGATTTAATCAACCAATCAAACACAGGGTAGGCTACTTTGCAGCTATGATTAAAATGACACACATGAAGTTCTAAATGTTCATTTCTGATCCCTGTCACAGCTGTGACATTAAGGATCAGAAATGAAGAGTCACTGAATCAGAATGAGTAAGTGGAGACTCACCATTGTAAAGTTGCAGGTGTTGAATGACGTTTAGATGCTCTGTTGTTTTCTTTCTCTTCATCTTTGAAAGCTTATAAAAAGAAAGCAATGTGATTAAAATATTAAATTATTATCTTAAATGGCACTAGTGGCTTTCTCTCCTTTTATATTAATTTTTAAATCAACTATCTCGTTTGTTTTTACCAAAAAGTTTGCTCTAAAACAAACTTTGTGAGAACAAGACTATAAATTGAATGTATTTATTTGGACTGGCTGGGTAAAGCACAGTGAGGATGTGGGCTTACTCTCGTCGTTGGACATGCTCCCTAGAGACGTGTGGCTGGAGTAGCGCTTGCTGTCGCTTTCGTTGAGACATCTTTCGATCCAGCTCTCTGGAAAAAAGGGCAAATTGGCAAGGTTCTTTCTGCTCTGTTCACAGCCAGTTTTGTTCGGAGGCTCACATTATGAAAAGGTAACGGTAGACTAGCCTATTTTTTTCACTATGAATCAAAGCAACAGGTGTACAGTGGAAAGCGGCTGGATGTAGCAGCTAAAAACAACAAAAAATGGATTTAAAACTAGCTAACTAGCGTTAGCGTTCTTACCAGCAGTACGTGAAATTTTGTTTAAACGTAACGTTACAGTTTCGAAGAAGCTCTTAAAGGGTAGCTTAGCTAGCTATCTTACAGCATTTATACATTAGCCTAGCTGGCTAATGTGTTATCATAGCATGTTTAATTCGAAAATGTGGATTTTAACTGACTGATGAGCGTTCAGGGCTAACGGTTCTCACAGTTACCGCGTTTACTCAAATATGATCATTTTAGATGAGCTAGTTAGACGGTTAGCCGTCATCATGTTGCGACTGTACGACAGGGCCGAGGCTCTATAGGAAATACAGGCATGAAAGTTCGGCTTCAGTGCGGTTTTGTTCTGAGGTGATTTCACCAGAACGACAGGAAACCGGTAACGAATTGGCCCAAACCCGTCTGAACGACTCCTGTCTCTGCCCCGGTATTTTCTATATTTCCCGGTACGAAAACCCTCCAGGCCGCAGTAATAAGGCGTTAATAAACGCCTCAGCCGGTCGTCATGTAGGTTAGATCACTTTCCCGCACGGGCCGTGACTGCTGTCACCATAGCAGCGGTTGCCAAGGCCGTGGGTTGGCAAGGAAACCAGTCCATCAGAAGGGGTTAAAGTTGTGTGTGGGGTGGAAACTAAAAAGACATTGAACCTTCACTGGATAAAAACACATTATTTAACATCTATTCAGAATGGCTGAGCGGATTTAGAGTGAGAAGTAGGCTGGGAGAGGTCAAGGGTATTGAGCAGCGACCAATTTACGGCCAACAAAATAATTAAAACAGTCTGTGGTGACCTTCAGCCCATCGGTGCCCCACAACTATTAACTTAGTTCGGGAAGGAAAAGCGTCGACTCCGCCAGCTGAGGGAAAGTTCAAGCTCGACGATATAAATATTAAAGGATATTCAGCTTTAGGAAGGAAAGCAGTTTTGTTTGAGTAAGTTAATGTGTCTATTTTTTTGCCTGCTCTCCCTCCTCAGCAGACACACAGCCGTTAGAGTCGAGTGTCTGAATCGGGCCTGAACAAAATAAGTAAAATTGATTTCTTAGATTTTTAAAAACGTTATTTAATTATTAAATTATTTTTCCAAGACTTATTTTGTAGAAAAATAATTTCTCTAACGGAGTAATAGTGCTATGCTGTTATATTTGTTATATATACCGCAGATGGCGGCGGGAATTGAATCATTTGCTACGTGCGCAGTTCAAGCAGGTCTAAATAATGGGATTAAATCCAGTCTAAAGGCGAGACGGATCACAGATCATTTATAGTGCTGAACTGAAGCCCACAAAAATGAATAATGAACGTTGACGTTTAATATTAGTTTCATTGAATTATTAGCTGTGTTTTATTAATATGCTAAATAACGAATGAGAATGCAAAAGTCTCGAGTGGCGAACTTTTTCAACATAAGCCTAAAGTTAATCATCGCTAAAAACCCGGTGAAAATGGAGCTATAATTTTGAATTCGATTTTTTTTTAAGGTGATTGGCCTCAATTTAGCTTCGATTTCAAGGCGGTATTACAGCTGTGGCTAGCTTTTAATACTTTAAACTAGTTTGTTCTTCAGCACACCTGCTTCTGAAAGCTTGTCTCGATTTTAGGTTTATTCAGAGGCTGTTTTAAGCCGCTGATTGGTCCCAATGAGATGTCGTCCATATCAGGTGCAGCCCGTATTCGGCCTGAAGCAACAACACAACTTTTCCACGACTTTTACTATATGATGCCAAAACGTATGGCAATCTGTAAACCTAAGCATATTGAGATGAAACGCGCCCAAAGGCCACATGTACTCCACCTAAAACAAAGTGCACTAAAAAGCTGTTCACTATAATGTAAAATTAAGTATAATAATGTCCATCAAAAAATACACATCCTTTGAAGTAAGAAAAAAAACAAGCATACCAGCTTATCTTTTAGCTCTAGAAAGTTGAGGGCACAAAGCCGTCCTGATGGAAAAAAGACTTAAAAGTTAAAGGAACTTTCTTTTGAGTGATGTTGAGGTCCCGCATTCCCAGGGCCCAGCAGCTTGCATTCCAGTGCAGCCCCCCGTTTCCAAAAGCACCCCAAAGCCATGGGCCTTTCAGCGAGAACCAACCTGTGGAATCCATATCAGGCTCTTCCAGCAGCCCACAATGCATCCTCTTCCCATCCACGTTCTGCTGGCTCCTCAGAGAAAATTGCTTCGTGTAGGATTCTCCCTCCTCAGCTCCATCCGTCTCTCCAAGAGCACTGCCCGCCACAGAGATGCATACGATGTGCCGGGCTGCAGAGAGAGAGAAAGAGAGAGAGGGAGAGAGAGAGAGGGTGGTGGTGGTGGTGGTGGTGGTGATGGTGGTGGAGAGGTGGTGGGGGTGAGGGTCGGAGTGGTGGGGTGGAGGGTAGGGGGTGTCAGAGACTCCAGAAATCCAGAGGGGGGAAAAGCCAGAGCCGTCAAAATGTTTGCTGATGTTTCATGGGAAAGGGGCTGATTTTATAGGAGCCCTGATGGGGGACATGTCATTGATAGGCTCGGCAGGCTGATGAATGGCTTCGAGTCAGATGGGGATGTGGCAAGGCTCACTGGAAGTCTTTTGTGGGGCTGTTTTGAATAAGAAAAGCTCCCTCCCCAGAAAAAAAAGAGGCTTAGATCTACGCAATCCCGGCACTGTGGCCTCCCCGTCTCCCATTATAGCATTTAATACGTTTTCATACCCCCTCCCTACACACACATACACACTGCCCCCACTGCCTCCATTTTAAAGTTCTCGATCCAAGGGCCACTTTTTGGCCCACTACGGAACTTTTTTGATGTCTGCGTCTTCCCCAGTAAGCCTGGGAACCTGGATGACAAAGTTACAACATTTTATTTCTGTATGATTCAAAGAAAGAATGAGCAAAACTGAGCTCAAAAGCCTGTTGAAGCTTTTGCTTTGCCCAGTTTCTCTGATATTGAAACACTTTTGTTGTTTTGTCAGGAAATTTCATAGAATGGCGCCAAATCTTGAAACGGTAAAAAAGAAAGTTTGAGAATTTGGTAGACTCCGCTCTTGCGCAAACAGCATTGGTGTGACACCCCCTCCCCTTCCTTTCCCCCCCTTCACTCTCTCTCCTTGAAGCAACCTTATTTCAGTGTGCTGGGAGGAGAGCGTTGGCCACAAAAGGGGGAAGTAAAAGTGTAGAGCCTGAGGCAGGGAGGGCTCTGATGGAGTGCCTGCGAACTGCAGAGGGGAAAGCTGTGATTAGAATATGAATGGAACCACGGGGGGGGGGGGGGTGGGGGGGGGAGTAGGAGAGAGTGAGCAAGAGAAAGGGGGATTATGGCTGAACTGCTCCCCACACGGTGGACAGCAGAGGAAGACTTTCCTCCACTCAGACTGCACAGAAGTGGAGAACAGTGTGATTGCCTCTTAACTGTGTGGCTACTTGTCCTGTCTTTAAAGCAAGAAAATATGCAGGGCAGGTGCAGGACTCCTGGCTAGTGGAGGTCACACAAAGTCTGAGGAAAAGTGGCAACATGTTTTAGTTCTGAATGCACATCTAAAAAGTTTATAACTTTTCTTTGGAGCAAGCAGCTACACAATGCAAATATGAGCTCACAGAGCAAAACTGATTTTGGATAAACATCATCATTCTACTTCAGCACACACCACCAGTTCTACCACTTGGAAAAGCACTTCCAAAATCCAGATCAAGGATTAACACCTTGAATTCTGAACCCCAGCTGAATGCATCATATGAACTAAGCGTCTGCGAACACACCGAACATGCTGAGGAACCTCATCAGAAGAGCAGCAGTCATAATAGGCTAACGACAGGCTCATTAATTCTACTTTTAAACATGGACAGAGGCAGAGAGCCTAAGACAGAAGGGGTCCTCTTCCCCTCCTCAGCGGACATCCTTTTTCTGTCCTGCCACTTTCAGTCTCTCATTAGGCCCTCATTAGCTAGGACAGGTGCAGTTGCCCAAAAAAGAGACGACCCAACACCACCACCACCCTCCACCCTTTATCAGCGAGTCGCTGTCAGTGCTCACTCTGCTGCATTTTCTCAATCAAAGGGTTTCCGAGCCGCTTAGTGGGTGGGGGCATGCATTGAATAGCCGACGTTGTATTAGTGTAAAAAGCATCAGAGAAGGAAGGTGGCCAACACAACAACAAGCTCTTTTCTGCTGTCAGTGTTGTCACATTAACACTTAATCAAGAATGTACAATACTTCTCCCTCTGTTTCTGCCTTTGGGGCAGTGAGGGCAAACACTTCCCGTTTCCTTGACCCTTAATCACTGGTTTACCAAAAAGGTGACGACTCAGAAGTTGATGTAAGAAACTTCTCAGATTATTGTAATTTAAAGAGTCATTTATTACTTACATATACATACAGCAATGTAACAATTTCTGAAAAGCAAAAAAGAATAAACTTTGTGTAATTAATATTTCACTATTTGAATAAAGGAAAAAAATCCTCTTGAAGTAGGCACGTTTTCCACATGCAAACCAAACGTCTAAACACTCAAGACTGTGAAGTGCTAGTTATGTAACAACCTCTGAATTGTTCTTTAGTCCAGAGCTTCTTTGACTCATGAAATGTCAAACTACTTAATTTAACACAAAATGTAACCACTAACGGTTTACAAAGAACTTCTCTGACAGGTGCAAACAAACCACTGTCATGTCATGTCACAAATATCCAGGCTGAGACGCAATGTTGCAGAAGTGCAACCTCCACAGTAGTATGTGTTATCTGTTTTACTGCCTGCTCTGTTAGAGGCATCACTGGCTCACTCGTTGTATCGAGCCAGTTTAAGGCGAGGTACAATGTTCATGGACTGCAGCTCCTGGAAAAGCAGTTTGCAGGCGTAGGGAATGCGCAGAGATGATACGTGGCATGAGGATTTGCAGTAGTGGCACCTGCAGCACATGTAAACACACCACATACAAAGGATTTAGCACAAAAACAGTAATCATGATAATTACATCACCAAATGTACTGATTTCGACTGTTCCAGGATCAGCAGATTATTTTAAAATGACAGAAGTATAAAGCATATGTACATCTTTATCATCTTTAAGTGATGAAGTTTGTGACTGACCATCCTGAATATCCCAGCAGACCGCACTGGCCGCACACGTCCACTTCAAAAGCATCGCTGGAGATCATGAGACGCTCCAGCAGCAGCATGCTGGCCCCATATCCTATCAGACAGTCCCTCTCCATCTCTCCCAGACGGAGACCACCATCTCGGGAGCGACCTTCTGTAGGCTGTCTGCGTAACCACACATACAGATAAACATGAGTTGTTTTAACAACTACAACAACAACTACAACTTCATGAGTGATTAAAATGCCCAGCAAAATAAATTTACTGAGCCCAATAGCTGCCCCTTACCTGGTGAGGACTGCTCTTGGTCCACGTGCTCTGGCATGCATCTTATCCAGCACCATGTGCTTTAGTTTCTGGTAGTACACAGGACCAAAGTAGATGTAGGCCTCTAGGGGCTCCCTGTGTAGAAAGCATAGGCCTAGTCACAGATGAAAAGGATGACCCAAAAAAAAGAAATGGGGAGGGGGATTAAATTGTTAAATATAGTACACTGACGTTTAGGGATGACTGGTCTGGATATCAGTTCTAAATTCTCTCTCAATTAAAACTAAGTAGAGATGCTCGTTCCAGAAGGGCATTTTTTGCTGCAAACGTGCAATTCGTCAATTTATTATTTTGGTGATCTGTGTTGCAATTTTATGACATGCATAATGTGGGGCAGGTAAGTGCAATTGCGCTGCATTTGAATGCTGCTGCTGCTGCATCTGTACCAAAATGTCATTGCATAATTACACATGACTCATTGGGGTAAACAGCCAGCTCCCTTTTACTTTTTACTGACTTATTTGAATGCTGTTATTCTGAGAAATTTTTGTTTTAAGAATTTAAAATGTCACTTTGACCTGTTAAAGAACAAATAATGTTACAGTTTTTGTCAGTAGAAACGGTAATAGAGTGCGCCAATGGGTCTCATGTTCATTTAGTCTACGCAGTACAAGAGTAATAAAAATCAGCCAAAGACAGTTTCTATAAAGGAACTGGAATCAGCCATGGAACAAAAAAAATTCATGGTGTACATTCGTAAAATTAATTATTTGTGCCTTTTATTATTAAAACGTGAAAAATACAGTCCATGCCTTTGGGACAGATGAATTGGAAAAAAAACAAAAAAAAACAAAAAAGTTTGAAAAGTAAAATGTATTACCCAGTGATGCCAGAGGTGACAAAGTCCTTGCCCTGGTAGTTGTACCCATAGCGAATAAGATCCTCACACACATCCTTCACCTTACTGCCTCCGAAAGCCGTACCGTAATGGAAACGCCCGTCCAGCACCCCCGCCTTCCCTGCCAAAAGCTCAATCAGCTTCCCAACCTAACAACAGTAAATGCAATACAAATACACAATTATTTTTCAAAATCACTCTTAAACGTTTTCTTCTTAGTACACCAGGAATAAAAGCATCAACCTGTTCACAAAAGTACAACACTGTGCACATCCACCTATTCATGAAACTATTCTATTCCAGGTACGCTGAGAATTTTACACAAAACTGGGCTGAATATGATTAAGGTTTGATGTCAGTGATGCTGCAGGTGGAGAAAAGGAGAATGTGACATCATACAGCAGGGTCATGGTCCACTGCACCACAGTGGCCTGGCGGAGGCGCCTTGCAGAAAGAACCGGAAGACCTTTGACCTGCAGATGCTGAAAGGGTGAATGCTTTTCTTCTGTTTACACGATTTCCTATCTGAGAGCCTGCTGTGTGCACCCAAACATACACTTCAGATTGTGGAAACTGACAAAATGTTCTGGCTTTAAAGTGCATTAAATCCAGTGCATTTTACATTTCATGCAATTTTAAAAGTGATTCTCTTTACATTAACTTGATAATTTTTTTTGTAGACACTGCAAAAGCTTAGAGAAATTCTTACCTCTTTAAAGAGCTAATATATGGGTCATTTATGTATAAGGATTTTCAATAGGTCGATTTTAAAATACAGAAAATAAGTATATCAATTGCAATTGTTCAAAAACTGAGAATGTTGTGAACCCATAAATTCATATTTAAATTTTAGATTAAGTTATTTTAGCATTTTTTCATCTAGATGAAATGGCTGTGGCCTTAAAAAAAGTCATGTGGTGCGACCATGATTTCTCTCAAAATTAATTCATTTCAGTGACACACATAACTTTTTTTTTTTTACAAGTTCTCAGTAATATAAAGCGTTTAGAAACAAAGGGTTTGCATTACTTTTGGGTTTTATAAATAATGATCTCATATTTTTGTTCTGTAATGTCTCAGTCGCCTTCTTAAATGAAGTAACAGACTTATTTTTCCTGCAAATCGCATAAAACTTAGTAAATATTTTTTAAAAAGCCATTAACTCAAACATACTGCATCAGCGATTAACATTGCAGCCACACAAATTAGATATTTTATTTTAAATTTAATACAGTTATTGCTATTATGTGTCGTACCACATGATGAGGAGTCGCTCCAAATGACATGAATATCTTTAAAAATCTATTTTAAAAGATCAATAAACGGTAAATTCCATACAAAAAATTAATGTTTTTTTTTTTTAAATCAAAGTAAATTGTAAAGTTGAGTACAGCTAATTCAAGTGTTACCACAAAGTATTTTTTTTTAGGTAGAACTGAAGAAACTTCTTACAGTGTAGCTAAAACAGTAATGTAATACAGCATCATGCCATAAATCTGCGTTTTAGTTTATTTTCATTTTGGACTAATGATAGACGCAATGTTAACAAAAAATGCATTTCCTCCAGGTAATGAAAAAATACACATGAGCAATTTTTATTTTTAAAAATTAAAGAAAAATATTCATTTCTTTTCTCCTAGCAAGGTACTCTACTCTTGCTACAGAGTCAGAATTAACACACTGCCTATGGTAAGAGATATTTACAATGGTACCTGGTAAAATAAATTAAAACTGTTATAGATATATAAATAAAAGTTAAGTGAAATTACACATGCTTTATTGTCTGCACTTTTCTCATTATATTGTACAAAGTTTACCAGCACAGAATTGGCCACCAAAAGAAAATAAGCTAGCTTTCCACAAAAGGTAACTATGAAATGTATAATGAAAATATATATTTGTAGAAATAATTTAATATCCATTATTTTTTTGAGGTCATACCACATGATGTACAAAAGTGGCAACAACATGCTAGCCGTTAAAAAGATTATTTTTTCCCAAATTTCAGAGAGACTTACAAATCTGCTTGCTGCTTCCATGGGTCCTTGGCAAACTGCTATATGATGCAATCTCCTGGTTTTGAGATGGTTTTAACATAAACGTCCCAAAGTGGTTGTTTCTTGATGGTTTCACCACAAGATATTTCATAAAATGGACATCATCGGACAAAGTTTGTTTGTATATTATGATGGAAATAAACTTAGAAATGCTTTGCAGTTTTGAACAGGACGACAAAACACTTTGGAAATCATGCCAAATGGGATAAAAAATAAAAATGAACAGATTTAGAGTAATTTCAAAGAAGTTTCAAAACAGCAGTCATGGTCATGGTCGCACCACATGATATTTTGACCCTTTAAGTAACAGGAAAATTACAATTAACTAATATTTTTTGAAAAGTTAAAGTGAGCAGATATGTGGGAGAAGTCCTACATATATACAGTACCTTTTTTATGCAGTTAAACCTTTTTTAAACTGAAAAAAATGTTGGACAGAAAATTTAGGCGTCACGTCATTGACTCATATGGAGATTATGATTAGATTGATAGATTGATTTTACTAAATCCAAATAATTTAGCTATACAAAAGGTAGTAGAATTTCTAACCAAAAACCTCTGCATCTATATCAAAAGTACCATCTATGAATTCAGTGGGTGTAATATAAAAGTGGCATCCAAAAACTCCACTGGTCAACATGTTTTGGTTGATTTAAGAGTGAACACATATGAACACACACCACCTGTATTAAGAACACACTTCGGCATGATTACGGTTTATTTGCTGAATTTAACATACTGGGCAAAAAAAAAAGTTCAAAGATGATGACATTTTGTAAATTCTCTGCTTTTTTTTTACTATTACAGGTTATTCTCAGTAGAAGATGTTAACTTTTTCTCAATAGTAACCGTTAAATGAGCGTAATTGATTATGCACAGTGGAAATTGCAATATTAACAGACAATACTGTATAATACAGTAATGCATTCTGCAGAACATCAATAATCACTGCACTTCAGAATAAACTCCACTAGCACTTCTTGTCTAAAACGTGAACAACACTAACTTCAGTATGTGAAAAAAAAGGATGAAAGAGATGATGCAGTTCCACAAGGAAGGACTTACAGTCATTCTGGAGGGGTATCCATGAGGGTTCATGATTATGTCAGGACAGATCCCTGAATCACAGAAGGGCATGTCCTCCTGAGGGACAATCAGCCCACACACACCTGTTGCAGGAGAAACCAGTCATTAAAACAGTGCTTGCTACCTTACAGGAATTTCATTGCATGTTCTGTCACTTTAATCTATTAAATTGTTAAAGTCAGTTTTATATCAAAAACTGACCATTTTGTCCTTGTTAGATCAAAACGTTATGATGTTTACCTGCCCCTAAGCATCTTTTGATTTGTGTTTATGTCACCATAAACCACCGGGCAAGGAAAAATATTAACAAATATGCCTCTGCCTTCCACCACTTCCACGTATCATTAAACCCTTTGCTAGCACAGATCCTCCCTAATACAAAGTCTAAGACTAATACATTCCATTGCCATATAGAAGGAAAATGGGTTATGATTTTCAATTCACAATGACTTTAAAACGCAGATGATGTTCATGGGCCTCTGTTGTTGCAATACCAAAACTGGTCAGTGAGCTGCAGCAAAACTTTAGTGTGTTAAAGGAAATAAATTAATGTAATGACTGCTCAGCATGAATCTGTTTCAGTGGCTCTATGTAGCTTCTCCCATCTTCCAGGCTTGAGTACTTAAATAACTGAAATCTTCATTACATTGTGCTTCAGGGCATCAGGAAGAAAATATATCAGACCAACAATTCACTGAAATGCTCATTTTATACTTTAATAACTTCAATAGCTCAAGTTACACATCAGTTTAACTTCTTTGTGCATCATAAGAACTAAATATGGCCTAATAAGGTCTTCCCCACATATATCAGTCCATCAACTCTACAGATACTAGAATGTCAAAATTAAACCAAATGCACATCCAATACCAAACATGAAGGTTGATCATACAGAAGCCCAGAAACTCATTTCATCTCAAATGTAGCCCCTTACAGAGGCCAATAAAAGAACAACAATCTAACAAAGTCACAGCAACTACAGTCTGCCTGTGTCAGAGACGTTGGGATCATTTTTAAAATCCCCTACAGAATGTCTGTTCCACTATGAAAATCACTTGCATGCTAACTGAGTGCCATTAACAAATGGTACACAGTGAAGCACAGCAAGTATCTGCAAATGCTGGTCAGGTCCAGTTTTTTTAAAAGTGGTATAGCAGCAGCAGTAGCCATTCGCACGGTGGGCCAGAGAAGTGGTGTGCAGCTCTGAGTGAGAGGGCAAATGTTTGCCGAGGAGCTTCGCACTCTTCCTTCTGCCAGAGCAAACACATTATTGGGCCATTTGCAAGTCATAAAAGGCAGGAGAGGCAGGAGCAGGAAGTGAGGAGAGGTGCTTAGCCGGACAGTGAGAGAGGGATTATGCGTCTGTAGCTTCCCTTTACCATAGTGCACAAAGACAGGATCAAATCGTGAGAGGAATGGAGTACAATCATATGTAAAGAGAGTCTAGGGAACGACTAGGGAAATCTTAATGTACAGAACGGTGCAAACGTCAGAGACTTTTATGTGATGTGCAGGCAAAAAAAAAGCCATTAACTATTGAGTAAATCATTTTTCAGCAACAGGAAAAAAAACAAGAAGCAGAAATCATCAACAGAAAATAACAGTCAATTTAAACACTGAATATACGCACAGATAAAATTTCATGCTACTTGTAAACACTTTGAAAGTTCAATCTTAGAAGCTGGTTGCATTTTCTCCTTCTTACATTTCTAGTAATACCAAACAGCATTCAGTGATGTTGAGGTGTGGGCTCTGGGATGGTCAGTCCTTTGTTCTGAGAACTCCAGCAGCTTCTTTGTTTGACATGTACATTTTGAACTCCTCAGCAGTGTGCTTGGGATCATTATCTTGCTGTATAATTAATTTCTCTGTCAGACGTTTTCCAGAGGGTACTGCATGATATATTAGATTCTGTTTGTACTTATCGGTTCAAGTTGAGTTCAATCAAAAACAAACCACCAACTCGAGATGTTGCTATACATCCTGAACGTGCATTCTCAAAATTACTCACAAAACCACAAAACTTTACTCCACATCTCAGATGTCCATGTCCAGTTTTGTGTTGTACAAAGTTTTGGAAATTCCCATTTCAGTCTGACATTATTTATGTAAGTGGATTCTTATCTGATCTTCTCTCCTCTAGCCATTTTAGATAACATTATTACGTCACATAATTAAGTGAGTCAACTAGCAGCATATTATAATTATTCAGTGTGACGCACTTCAGTTGGTGAATTTGGAAAATCTGCACCAGGAGCTGAATGTCTTCAAAAATTATGTAAACTAAACTATTTAAAGTCAGAAAAGAATTACAAACACACAGAAAGTGAGAGAGAGCGAGAGAGAGAGAGATTCCCATCACAGACATCCTCTGTGTTGTTTATTTTGTGTGCGAGTGAATGATAAAAGAGGCATGAAATCAGCAGAGAAAAGCAGGACAGCAGTAAGAGTCCACGGCCCTCCATCACACCCCATACAGGCTCACCGTGGCAGCTCACACAAAGGGCCGCACCAACACTGCTCTGTGTGTGGTGTGTGTGTGTGTGTGGGTTGTTTATGTCTGTGAGTTGGGTCACCGGTAAATAATTAACCTATTCTGCTCTTTTGACCAGAGCTTATGAGACTAGTCAGGGCTAGTAAGGAGGAGGGAGGTAAATAAGAGTAAGACAAAACTCTAGCGGAACTTGCTTAATACAGCTGGCACCAGTACACTGTGGGATGTCCTCTACTGGTTCTTGGAACCACTGAAGCTGCCAGATTTTTCCCTTTCAAAAGCAATTTTCTGTACATATCTATTTCGGTCTAGATATAAAAGTTAATGATTGATCTTCCAATTTTCAGTTTGGTGTAATTTACATTATTTGGACCTCACAAATGTGTTAAGCTCTATAGCATTAATGAAATTAAATTAAATAATTTTAAATTCAAACTTAAGAAAAAAAAAACTCTGATATGGATATTCTACTGAGGCACCTGCTACACACATATTGGCTCTGGGCCCATGTGATTTCTACTAAAAGAAGCAAGTTTATTGTTAATAAATAAAGATGGCATACCAGTATCAATGGGTACTTGTGTTTGGTCAACGTCAGGAGAAAATGCTGGATGACGTCTCAGAAAATCGTTAAAAAAAAAAAAAGGAAGAAAGAATCCGATTCAATCCGATTCAAAAATTCTATCCTGAAAAGCACACACTTACTTTGTCTGTGGATTTGTTCCTGTGGGCTTGTTTTTGGGTTTTAGATGCTCATCCTCAGAGAAGTGCTTCAATTAAAAACTGATAATTTTAACACTCAGTAGTTTTAAACGAAGAAAAATTGGATGAGTGTCAGAAGGTTTCAATATTGGTAAAGAAAAACGTTGGCAAAAAAAAAGTGGTATTGTGCCATCTCTACTAATAAATAAAACTAGAATGAAAAACTGAGAACCTCAGAGTGATTGTGTCAAAGATAAATTTATGTCTACTATTTTTTTCGGTTTCAAGATGCTAGAGGACTGTGAAGGGGAAAATTACTGTTTTTAGAAACGCATGATGAACCTTGATTTACCATAAAAAAATGCAGTATTTCCAAGTTTTAGCACTGAAACAGATTGCCAATTTATCTCAAAACATCACAGAACACACGCACACACACACACACACACACACACACACACAATCCAGTCCAACTACACAGAATGCTTTCAGAGTTTTGAAAATATTATGTATACTATGTTATATAAAATTCTGAAAAAATATACGTTTATCTAATTTCACTGTCAAATGAATTTTCTCCCAAAACATTTGAACAACCACATCAAAAGATACAGTTTCTGGTAAAATAAGCTTCTGAATCAAATCTAATTATTCTGAACAAACCTCAGGACAGATTCAAACAATTAACACCCCTACTCAGCACAATCAGCCATTCTCTAGACTCAATACCCTTATCTCGGCACACCACCACCCAACTTCTCCCACTCACATAGCTCCACAATAGCTAGCCTCTAAAACCACAAAAAGGCGTTCAAGAGAACTACGCTGTCCCTCGCAAACAACATTTAGCTGTCCTGTATTAGTGGCTCTGTGCCACTCCTTTAAATACCAAGAGGCCCGTTAAAAAGAGCAGTAAATAGCATCTCGGGCTGTTTGCGGCTAACCCCTCCCTGACCCCTGCTCACTGTCATGGGCCGTGATGAGTGCTTGTGGACAACCTCGCCTAATGAAATGAGTGAATTATGCATGGCGCCAGTTACCGCTCTGATTAAACCATCATCGTGGTCTAGGCTCTCAGTGGAGGTGCGCAGAAACAATAAGGACTGTAAACACTTTTTCCCAGGAGCTGCGCTGCTGTAATAAATTTGCATAGTCTGGCTTAGGACAAAAGGCTAATTAATTGAAAAACAGCCCTCAAAAAAAAATAAAAATAAAAAGGAGGCCCACCCCAGATGCAATTCATGTTGGAAATGAGGAAGAAGGAAAAGAAATAAATAAACTCAGTTGTGGGTCTATATATGTATATATCACTGCTGTCAGAGCAAAACCTTGTATCTCCAAAATGATAACTTTACAGGAGAAGGATAAAACATACTTTACTTTTAATGTAAGCCAATGGAACCAGAGTTGTTTCCATGTAATTTTGGGCCATTTCTTTTGGTACTTTCATCACAAAATTTACATACAATGTAAAGGGCAACAGGTACTTTCAAATTATGTCAAAAACTGAAAAACAACATACATGGAGATACTGTGTACACACACACTTTCCTTTTTTCCTTCTCCTGTAAAGTTATGATTTTGGAGACACAGAGCGCATCCACTTGCACTGGCACTGACCGACTAGCTTATATAATAAGACAGATTGGAAGCATTTAGTCTCTTCCACTTAGTAGTCCAGTGGAGGGGCTGGTGTGCTAGGGTACCTTTTTGGCCGTGCCGGCTGCTGAATTTGTCTCCTATCTCGGGCCTACGTGTCTGCCTGAGCAGGATTTTCACCAGGAAGGCATCCTCAGCATTTGATGATATCATGACCTTCTCTATGTATGAGTCTGTTGAGCCCTTATACCTGTATGAATAGAACAGAGAACCACTCTGACATCACTTGCCATGTTATTAAAGCTAAAAAAACAATGAAAATTAAAGTTAATTGGCATGCAAAAGGTCCATCAAAATGACTTTTCTATGGTCCTGCAGACCACAATGGAATAAGCAGCCTTGCACCAATATAAAAAGGGCACTAGTACATAGAAGAATATTATGTATTTAATGTGATTTAAACGTGTGGAAATGGACTAGACGGTGCCCAGTCACAACAACTGTGAGCAGAGAGAGGCACACTTACGTGATGGGTACATCTCTGTACTGTGGCTGGCTTGGCTGGGTACTGCCCTCCAGTGGTGTCTGGGTAACTGTGGGCATAGACTTATTCACCAGCACCTGCTTATTCTCCACTCGTTCACCTGGCATACAGAGTGTACACATACACAAAGTAGGAAAGTTGCATACATTAAATCTCATACCAATTTACAAATATATGTCTTAAGACGTTCCTTTGGCTGCTACCTTGCTAATTTCAGGTGAATTTCAGTCATATTGAGCACACAGAACTCTCTCAAACACATCAAGCATAAGAAGTGGTAAGAATATAGTGGGAGCTCCCTGCGCTGTGCTTTAGTGAAGTGTTTTTCCGTAACACTCACCAGGAGAGCAGATGCCATCCGCATCCAGGATGCTGTGCCTCCAGATGGGCTTCCGAGTTTCAGCATCCAGCATGGGACCCATCACCTTGTCAAAGGTCTGGTTAGTATAACGTCTCAGGGTGCACTTGGCGTTCTTGTACACAAGACATCTGCCAAAACCTGGCAATAAAAGAAGAGGCATAGAGATGAGTGTGGGAGGGAGGCAAGGTGGATGATTCATTGGTTACTACAGAGTCATTGGTTGTTATGCTCTTGCAATTTGCAACTTAGTGATAAAAACTTCTGGGTGTAAAGAACGAGACAAAGCAGTTAATCACTACAGCACTTTTTGTAAACACAATGAGATTAAAAATGAAATTGCAAACGTGGTCAAATTTGACATATGCAAGTTGGCAGCACTAAGAATGTTTGTGTCAAGTAGTACTCTTACCTCTGTCTAGTGAGGCCTTATTAAGCACCAGAGCGTCCTCAATATCATAACCACTGTAGCTCATCACAGCCACTGTGGCGTTCTGACCTGCAGGCAGTTTCTCAAAGTCAATCAGTTCAATGGTCTTTGTTTTCACCATGGGTCTCTGAGGATAGGCCAGCAGGTACATCAGCGTGTCTATCCGGTTCCTCTGGTTATAGCCAATAGTGCCTGTGGGCAAGAGATGTAGTACATGTCTTCTGTAATAAAGGGTATTAATCCTTTATAGCCTCTACTCTTCTCAGGATTTACACTAGATACTGGAACAACGCAGTAAGGATTTGACTGCATTCGTATGTAAGAATGTTAGTAAGGTGAGGTACTGTGTTGGATGATTAGTTCTGTTTCACAAACAGCATTCCAACTGATCCCAAAAGTATTGGATCGTGTTCAACCACAGTTTTACTCCTCCAAAGCCCAGTGCTCAGAGCCTTTATTCCCCTCCACCTTGGAACTTGTCATGGTGACCTTATGTTTCATCATATGCTACAGAGCACCCGATTCTATAAGCAATGCTTTTCTAAGAAGATAAAGATGCAACATGTGTGTGCGCACAGTTAAAGACCTGTATCAGCAATGGGTGCATTACTGAATGCACTATTTAGAAGAGGTATCTGGATATATTTGAACATATAAAGAATGACCAGTAGAAAGCATGTGTTTCTGTGATAAAGCAAACAAAAACATGGGAGAAAAACTTAAACAACGCTGCATTAAACTGGTAGTACATTTCAAACGTAAACGATGTTTTGAAGCCATAATCACCACACTGCTTGTTCTGATACCCCCCCTGATCGCGACTGATCCCGACTGAACCCATGAAGGACCTCTCGTAGTGAGGAATGAGAAAGACAAGAACAGAGCCCCCCCCCCCCCCCCCCCCAAAGGTAGTTTGAGGTTTTGTTCCTTTGTCATTTGAAGAATACTGCTGGCTTTATGCTTTAACACCTTGTCTTCTCTAATTAGTCTAAGGAAAATGAATGAAGAACTCTGACCTTGGTAAATGTTCTTGATTCATCCAGATATGAATCAAGAGATAACACATAAAAGATATCAGATAACCAAAAAGCCAAAAGCTTCAACCAAGCTCTGTTGAGTTGGTTTTCCAAGCCGGAGTCTAGACTTGAACTAAGAAGAATTTTTAAAGAATGTTTATTTCAAGACCATGTTTAATCTGTGTCCACAAAACTTGTCCTAAAATCACATTATGCTTGGCTAACTTTGTCAGTCTGGCTGAGTGAGCATGTGGAGTGACAGTATCTTTAGCTGCAGTGCAGCCAAGAGAGGGCCACCTCCTTAATCCACAGGCGTAAAGCAGGGCAGGTTATGGAAGAATAGCAGCCGTCCCTCGAGGCCTTGACATTTGTCAGATGCTATTACTTCACAATCAGGGTACAAGCACACAGTGTGTGATAATAGGTCCAGGGCCACACAGAAAGATTTGCACATGTATGGGGCCGTCCACATGAGAGAAAAAAAAAGGAAAAAAAAACCCAACACACAACACAAGAGACAAGGGTGAGGATATTGGGCCAAATGTAGTTGCAGTCTCAGTGGTTTTGTAAAGATAGTGGGGTGGGGGGTGGGGGGGGGTGACTATAGTAGTTCTGGTAACCAGGGGAGCGCTGTGTTTTCTCTCTCTCTCTGCTGCAGCTGAGCACACTAACCCACTACACACACTGAGCTGAAGACACAATGAATGGCTAATGACACTCAGACAGACTGTGTGTAGAGGCCCTTTCCCTGCCCCACACACGGCCTACACAAGCAGAGGATGTTTGATGTACACACAGTCAGACACCCACACTTACTTTAGTGTGTATGAGGGTGTGAATACCACTATGAATGTGAATATATTTCAGCATGAATGAATAGTGAGTGAAAGAGAGCAAGAGAGTGAGAGAGAGAGAGAGAAAAAAATGTGTAAATGCTCAAGCTCCCTAGGACAGCTGAAGATGGAGGCTGTGCTGCAGAGTTTGGTATGGTTATAGTGCAGGTGGGCTATTTAGCAAAAATACTACATAATACTTAAGGACATCCACAATACACATCAACATTGTTTTGATATGTTAAAACTGACAATACATCAGCTGCTTTTTTTTCCCAACACAGGTTTGGGTGATATCTAAAAATAATTATCACTATATATTTTTGTTCAAAGATGCTGTTACATCGACACCCACACAAGTATTATTTAAGTACTGATGACACCCATTATATTCTCGGAAAACCTTATCGTAAGGCTTGGACAATAATGTAAATTTGGGCAAAAGACTGTGCTTAGCTGAATGTTACTATAAACAATACCATTGTTAGCCAAGTTACAAAGCATCACGTTCACACATTAAAGAGGCTTACCCTATTGTTTGCACATTCCCTTGATGATAATATAATTACCATAAAATTACCAACTGGGCTAGCTTATAATATTAGCTAATAATTTATAAAAGCTAGCTATATTCTGCACAGATGGCTTGTAATACTTAACATCCAGCGGTCTTCCATGCTCGTTTGGTTGGAAACCAAAACATTGCTAAACTGGCACATTGGCACCTTTCTTCTGGACAAGCTTGTCTATTTCACCTTCTACCAGATCTCACCAGAGCCAGAGTTTCTTTGTTTCACTTGCATGTAGCTCAGCCTTCTTTGCCAGACTTAAAAATCTATGTTATAATCTTTGTGGTGTTTCAAGTATGTGTGTGTAGTTCATTATTTGGTAATGTTCTGTTTGAAAAGCCTTAAATAAGGAGAGTATATCTTGGCACTTTTTTGGTAGTCTGAATTACAAAACTTCAATAACATCAGACAACTAACATATTCATAATTTCATATCGCCCAAGGTTACAGAGCTGAGACTAGCACATTGCTGTGATGGACACATGGCTCTTACCCATGGCCTGTTTGCCCATAGCACACTGGTAGGTGTTCCTGGGGGACTGGTTATGATGGGGATAAGGGATCAATCCAGCACAAACCCCCAGCAGAGTAAATGGCTCAATTTCCAAATGTGTAGTGTCCCTGAAAAACATAGTGAACAACACACTTAACCACCATCTGAAGTGGTTATAAACACGAAAAAGACAGTATTACTTTTAACTTACAAACCATTCCTTTTATAAAGTAAAAAAAGGAAATAGGCCAAAAAATTAAATAAATAAAAAAAACCTCACTTGGTGATCACATGCTCATACAGAGCAATAGAGCAGTCATTCTCCTCATTCACATCAAGATATTCCACCAGACCTTCATGCAGAAAGTCCTCAAAGTTCCTATATGGATAAAAAGATGCAAAGTCAGACATAATAAATGGGTCTGATGGAGCAACTCTGTTTTAGAAATGCCAAACACAGGTTTTCAAATATCTTAAGAGAAAGAGCATTCAAGAAAAAAGCATGGACAATGCAAATAAGCTTCAGATCCACTTGTTTGACCCTCTTTTCAAAATCAATGAGAGGATTTCAACTACTGATTCCACTGAAGCGCACCTGTAACCCTGAGACAGCTCCTCAATGTGTTTGTTCTTCACAGCCGGCTGTCCGTTCTTCACAATGATGTAGGGTCTGGCAGAATTAAGACAAGCAGAACTTAATTAAGCTTTCACTATTCGTTTCATTAAAGAGATTCAACACACAAAAAAAAATGAAATAAAGCCAAGCATTACATACACACACACACACACACATTACAAGGCAACTGTCAATCATAGTGGAAACTGGAATTCACAGGTATGTCACATCATTAGTATTAAGATGCAGGATGAAGCCGGCACTGCCACCTTAACAGTTAATCCAATCAAAATTGTCCATCTCTTGCCCATCTCTCTACAGTGCAATCAGGTCTCAGAAGAGTATGAGATCATCATGAGGATACAATATGGGAACAAGAGAGTGAGCAATATATTGTTTTCATACTTTTAATTCTAAAGGCCGATATAACAGCACAAAAATGCAAAATATTCAGACATGATTTTTTTGCTTCAAAGCTTTACACGCAGAACAAATTTTTGCCTGGAATTTCACCATGTTCACCATTCCACCAACAAACATATGTGCAAAATGTCTTCAAGTGACAAAATGAAGTCCTTATCCTCCCACAAATCTGGCAAATTGTGAACTTTATCGCTCTGTTCAAGAGCTGAAATGTTCTGATCCCTTTCACACATAGCTCAGATACACACAACCCAGTTTTGGTTAGTTTTGAAGATGATAGCACAACATGACGAAGACAGATAAATCCTTTCCACGTTTGTCAAAAAGTTCTAGTTGTGAGGACATAGCTGGTCATTCAGCTTGCATATCGGTATGACCACACCAGAGAAAATTGTGGTTAGGCATAAATTAACGTTGCCTGTGAAAGTTCACAAAAATTTGTAAACTAAACATCACATTTTTGCCAGCCGCAAGTTATCTTAAATTCAACATGTTAAAAATTATTCACTGACGTCTGAATAAATCACACAAAGCACACTGTGTGCTTTTGCAGTTGTTTAATTATACTGAGGCTTACCTGCAGAGGCGCCCCCCGTCAGAGGAGATGTAGACACAGCGGTCCGTCACATTGGTGGAGATGGAAACAAACTCGTTAATAAAGCCAGCTCTTCGCATCAGCCTGAATGTGTTGACAAGCTTGCGGTGGTCTCGAATCACTCCCAGTATGTTACCTGCAGAATCACACACACAAACTGGTTAACAACACTGCACCAAATCACATTGCATTACACAGAAAGAACAAAGGTCTGTCTATACTGAGATCACTGTTATAAGCTGCTTGATTCAAAGTTGACTGTGAAATGGAGCTAGCGCAATGAAAATTACACCAGAAAGAAATATCCATGGTTTACCATTTGGTTTGGTTTAAGGTAAAAACATTTGTGGAATAATGGATACTGTACCAGGATACTGTTGTGCTACAGAGACAAGCAAGTGTATGTGTGGGTGTGTTGTTTGGAGCAGTGACTGGATTTACAGACTGCTCTGCGTTATGCTCTGACACCTGCTGTTTTTGCTAATTAATTACTTTCTGAGGCAGCCTGCATAATTTGAAACTTATCAGTGCTCTGGAAAACATATACACATTAATTAATTAGCTAGGTGAGTCTTCTCTGACATGACATTAAAAGCTAATCTATGGCATGCAGTATACAGCTGTAATGTGGCTAAAGTTCATTAGACTTTCATGCTGCCTTTCAAGTCAAACACAAAAAACAAACCATTTCACTATACACCTTGCATCATAGGTTTTTACTGCCTTCACGTTTTTCCACAAACATCAAGTGCACTGATGTTACAAGGCAAAACCCTTCTTTACAAAAACATCTACAGAAGATTCCTGGAATATATAATCTGAGTGTAAAGCTGGGCCTATGCTACACGACTTTTAAAATCCTGTTACTTTGTTGTGAGGATATGCACACTCGACGATAAGGCAAAGAGAGTGTACAATACACATGAATTTTGGCATTAAAAAACACTCAAAATCCCAGATCTCCCCATGATCACAAGATACAAACAATGCTAAACTGGACTGGACCTGTTTGTGCTTTTATGCACACATAAGAAGTATAGTGAACACGAAAAACTGCAAATGAATATGGGGTTGAAATATGTTACAGTCAGAGCTGGAGAAATATTTTACTACAAACTGGCAGCTGATTTGAAACTATATGAGAGTTATTATTTACTCTGAACTCAACAAGCAGCTTCTCAGTCTCCATAGTCCATGGCTTATGCTTCAGAGGGCATATACGCCTCTCTTCGCCTTTTTTGTCTCTCCCCTGCTCTCTCACTGACCGGTACCTTAATCCTTTGTTCAATTACATCGCTGACCATCTCACCCTACAGGACTTGGGAATGCTTTGAGTTGAAATAACAAACATATTTGAAAATATTGGAGGGCCTTTGATTACTTCAGAGCTCAATTGACTTGTTTCTCCTCTCACACTAGCAGATCACCTGTTAAAATCGTGGTTAAAATAGAGTTAAAATTGTGTAGTGTAGGCCCAGCCTAAAAGCTTATGTGTGAGAAAACGTGGACATGTATGGTAAATGAAGCTGAGTTACCATTCAGGAAAACTAGGAAAACAGTAGGGTAGGACAGCTCCTCTCCACAGAGCAGGTTGACATCCTCCACTCCAAGGTTAAAGGCCAGTTTAATGATGGGCCCATCCTCCATGTCTGTGGTGATGTGGGTCATTAGAGCCAGGTTCTTCACCAGACCACACGCCTAAACCAAACATCGAAATATGAAAATGATTAACCCCCGCCCTGCCCCGACCCCCCCTCAAAATCAGTCATTTCCTGTTGTGTTTACTGTAATAAATAAATAATCAATCATTTTTGTACTGTTGTAGGAATTAGCGTTTAGCTATTCAACCGTGGATTAAGAAGTAAAAGAAGCCTTGACTGTGTTCCTGCTACAATATATAATCCATTTGATAATAGGGATGTGCATGGGTACTTGGGTACTTGAGTACTTGGTTTAACATTTGAGATGCCAGTACTCGAATACTGAATTCACTATTTGGGTGCTTGTTATGTTTCAAGACAGGAAGACAGAAAACACAGAGAACAGCAATTACATGAAATGCCACTTACGTTTTTAAGACTGTAAAATGTGACTGTTTTGCTCATATTTGTGAACAATTGTATTTGTTACACTTTGCCAATCTGAAAACGCATAAGCATGTTGCCAAGGACACACTGTTCAGGAAGTGGCTGAGAAGGCAGATGTAGCGTGGACTTATTTCTAACTAACGTTAGGCTAACTACTCTAACTGATGATAGCTAGTTTCAGAAACAGTGGAAATATATTTCTCTGTCAAACTAACATGTTGGCACATCGTCCAATGAGGAGAAAATACCTTGTGTACCTTGTCCTCCAGCATCTAGCGTTGTATCAAGTAGCTGTTGTTTTAGATCTAAAGAGGCAGCCTCTGTTATTCATACAACTGCTGCTTTTTTTGAATAATAAAACCTGTTCAAACGTATTTCTCTGCCTGCTGCTAAATGTTATGCTACTGATTTATTTTATATTTATACATTTATATTTATAATTTAGCCTCTTATCACAAGAGCTATCACACCAGGCCAGACCATACATTAATTTCGGCAGAAGTAACAGTTAATTGCATATCTGCTCTTTAACTCTTGAGGATACTCAAACATAAAAATTATTCGTAATGCACTTCCCTTTTTGATTAGACTGCGATAATTAGTTGGCAAAGTCAGTGTTTCAGTTTATGAAAAACTTGAGTTAAGCACTCTATAAATGTTCTATAGAAAGCTTTGGCAGTAATATGGCTTCTGATGTTTCATTGGACCATAACAGTAAAAGAAAAAAAGAAATCTGAGTGTTGATAGCAGTAGAAGTGAGGGGGAGGAGTTTAGTTAACTCAACAGATTAGCTCTATATGAAAAAGCTTTCATGTTTGCTCTCAGGCAGAAGTGTTGTACTGACCTCTCCTTCAGGTGTGTCTGAGGGGCACAGCATTCCCCACTGTGAGGGCTGAAGGGAGCGAGGTCCACTCACTTTCCTGGTTTTCTCAAACTGAGAAGAGATCCGGGTCATCATGCCTAACGCTGAGATGAAGGACAGGCGAGAGAGCACCTGTGTGACTCCCTGCCTGTCCATCTTAAACCTCTTCAGAGACCAGTTCCCCTAAAGACAGCAAACCAGAGCAGGGGCAGAAATGAGAAGCAGTGAGAAATGTGTTTGTCAGTAAGCCATGACATGGAGTCTATAAAAGAGCTGAGACTCACAGTAGAGATGGCATTAACCATGCCGTTAGTGATCTGGTCCTGCCTCATGTGTTTCACCACGTCGAACTGAGCCGCTCTCTGCTTGGGGATGATCTGGTCTGCGATCTTCTTCAGCTCAGAGTTAAACTTCTTAAAGAGATCCTCAAACAGCAGAGACAGCAGCTGAGAAGGAACAGGAATCACCAGATGAGCACGTCTGCTAACTTTGTGAGCCTTAGCCTTTAGAACCACTACACTTTACAGAAACATAGTGTGAACTCCAGCAGTTCAAAACTGGCAGCCACTGATCAAAACATGTAGCATTGTTTTGTGATACATCAAGCTGTAATCTGCTGATTAGCACATCTAACAATTCAGTGTGTCTGGAGCATTCAGACAGTGTCCTATTTAAACTCCTATCAACACTTCAGCCTGTGAGTAGCTAACTTCTTCTCTTTGTTGTTCTGATTCCCCAGTGCCACTTCCAAAAACAACCAACTTTATTAACTGCATCTGGCTCTTACAATATCACATTCTGTGTCATCAAGCCTCTAGGCTCTGCAAGCAGATGTAATAACCAGGTGTGCCCGTGCTGTGATAAGGTTGACCTGGCGCTTCTCCCAAGGCCCTCTTATCCTCACCAAAACCCTCCAATAGCAGCGCCCCTCCATCCAAGCACATTAGCATACATCAAAACAAGCAGGCCGCGTCAAAATTAATAAAGAAATTAAGCTTCCGCAGCGCGGCAGGGCCAATTAGTTGAATGTCAGGGATTCGTAATTGAGGAGACTGGCAGTGTTGGGAGTGTGTGTAAGCTCTATTGAAAAGGGTTTTTCGCTTAGTAGTCTCTCTCTCTCTCACACACACACACACACACACACACACACACACACACACACACACACACAGAGTTCACCACCAGAGAAGGCTGGTTGGGGGAAATTAAAGGACTTAAGACTGCGGTAATTACATTATCAGAGCCGGGCTGGTGGATTAACTCAATCGCTCAAGTCAAGGCAGCCATTCTTTTGTCATGGCTGCGCTAAATAATAATAAAAAGCGAGAAAGCCCTGAGCTCGCCTGGCCCGGGATTTGGGTGCTGTCTATGCTGCTGCATATCTCGCCGTCAACAAAGGCAAGGCGAGCTGGGAATGGGGGGGGGGTGTGGGGGGAGGCGGCCACGCAGGGAGGAGGCAAAACACAGAGGAGACAAACAAAGCGGCAGGCAAATAATGAAGGTATTAATAAAAGACAAGGAGGCCAAACACAAAGAGGAAGGTGAGGGATTGGGAGGCAGCCCAGCCGGGCCTGCTCCACTGCTCAGAGCTCAGTTTCACACAGGAGAGCAGTGGTGTGTGCAGAAGAGAAGGAGAGAGGAAGAGAGAAATGTGAGAGATCTAAAAAAGGTCTGATCAAAAACATAAGGTAAGGATAACTAATCTTAATATGAGGTATCGCCAAGGTGAGTAGAATATGGAGACGTTCAAAGAATTAGAACTGACAGTACATACACTGCATTGCAGAATCATTCACCTGCTTAAAACGCATAAGATTTGTCCAGATTACAAACAACACTTTTATACTTTGGGCCGTGGCATATTTATTTTACAATGAATTCATTTAAAGTGATATTGGTTTTATGTAAGAAAATGTTCTCTGACACAAATGACTAACTAAAAAAAGTCATAGATCATATAGATTTACAATTGGCCTCTACCTGTGAATCATTAAAAAAAATGTCACATTATCTGGTAAAAAGACCTGCTTAATTCCTTAAGTATCATTGATCAGACTGTGAATCTGAAGGAAAGCTGAAGACCAAACAGCATTCTGATGAACTTAGAGATAAAGTCATAGACATGCACAAGACAGGAAAAGGCTACAACATAATATTTAAGCGTGTGGATATCCCAGTGAGGAAATGGAAGCTGCATTATACCACCCAGGCACTGCTAGACAAGACTGCCCCTCAAAACTCCACGCCAAAACAAGAAGGGGACTTGTAAGGGAAGCCACAGAGAGGCCAACAATCACTTTGAAGGAGTTACACAGTACAATGGCTGAGAATGGAGTAAAGATGCACCGGTCAATGATATCAAGAGCTCTGCATACAACAGGGCTGTATAGGAGAGTGGCTTGAAAGAATCAGTACTGAAGAAAAACCTCATCAAAGCATGTCTGGAGTCAGAAAGCATCAGTTTGACCGACCTAAAATATGCGAAAAGGTTTTGTGGTCACATGAGACATAAATGAAGCTTTTAGGCCAAACCAAAACACTATGCTTGGTACAAACCTAACACTGCTTACTCGGCAACAAACATCCCAACAGTGAAGTATGGGGGTGGCAGCATCATATTGTGGGATGCTTTTCCTCTGTGTAGACTGAGCATCTTGTTAAAACCGAAGAACGGGGGGGCTCCGAGAGAGCACAATTGGCCTCGCTCTCTCTGGGTGGGTGGGATGGCTGCTCTTCTCCCCCCATCACCCACTCAGCACGATGCTAGTTAGCGCAGGCGTCTGTTAGCTGACGTAACAGATCTGGCGGTTGGTGCTTTCCTCCGAGCGCGTTCAGCTGTCCAGTGACGTTGCGTAAGCGGCAGCTTAGCTTTAGTAAAGAAAATGGCTCCATATGGAACCATGAACACTTAAAGAACCCTTTGTATGATTAAAAGGTTCTTTGGATAGACAGAAAATGTACATGACTGTGCTATAGACTGTTCTATATAGCTCACAAAAGGGTTCTTCTATTGTTACAAGCATGACACCGTAACAATAGAAGAACCCTTTTCAAAAAGGTTCTATATAGAACCATCTAGAGCACATTCTCCATCAATCTGAACACCACCTTCATGATGCAAAAACCCTTTAATCATGCAAACGGTTCTTTGAGTGTTCACGGTCCTATATAGAACAATTTTCTTTACTAAAGAACGCTTGAAGCACCATCCATTTTTAAGAGTGTACAATGGCCAAGTCAAATTCCAGATCTTAATCTACGACAACAGGTGGTACTCATTCAAAATTGCGGTCCACAAATGTCCCCTAACCAACCTGAGCAACCTGGAGCAAATCTGCCAGGAAGAATTGGAGAAAATCACTCCCAAAAAGTGTGCAAAGCTGGTAGAAACTTACCAAACAGAGCTTAAGATGTTATTCCAGTAACCAGTGGTTCTAATACGTACCAGTCTGAAGGGGTTGAATACTTATGCAAGAAGCATTTGTCAGTTTGTATTACTTTTTTAAAGCACTGCTGACAAATAATGAATTTTGACCTCAAAAATTCCCTTTAACAGCATACTGATTTGCTATATAAAATATTGGCTGGAACAATCTGTGTCATTTGTAATCCAGATGAGTCTGATGACTTTTAAAGGGGGTTGAACACTTCTGCAAGGCACTGTACTTATCGCAACTTCGGCCACCAAAATAAAACGTCTGTACTTGTCTCGAGCGACCAGATAAATGCATAAGAAAACACAGAGTCTTAGTTGAGGCAAGTATCATTAAAAGGCTGTCAGTCATTCTTAATTGAATTAGAGTTGGTGTGAATGACTGCAGCAGACAGAACGGGGACTGTGTGGGCCTTCTGCACAAGAACAGCTGTTCAGAGGCTATGTGAGGATTGGCCAGCTCATCCCTATTCCAGGACCACCACTATATCCGTTCAGGCTTCTACAGAACCTCCTCTCTGTTTATGCACGTTTATGGACAGAATGGTGTCGGGCATTGTTTTTACCTGGCCAGCCAACTCCAGACGCTTGTTTCCATAGTAATCACGATCGTCCACTTTGTTGTTGCCTTGAGCAAGAATCACTCTGCGCACCATTACAGCGAGGTAAATGCACTTGGCCCGAAAGTTAAACTCTTTTACCTAGGAGACACAGAGAAACACTGACTTTACACATTGACACTAATCTGCCAATAAACAGCCTAATAGAAGTCCAGGATGGGAATAGAAAAATGAATTTTTTGAATTTGTGCTAGTCATACAGCACAGTACAGAACTAATCCCAGTAAGAAGACTATGAAGAAATAAAAGATGGAGACTCACAGGGACATGGGTGAGAATGGTGGAAGCCAGCAGCTCTCGGGCTTCCTCCATCTTGGTTTTCTTGGGTCCACCCCACATGCGCTGACGCCGCACTTTATTTCCAATGTACTTCAGTGCCTGTGAAGAACAAAAACAACAAGTTTTTAAAGCATGTCAGCATGTCAAAACTTTTTACCTCTTAATTGTGACAGCATCTGGACAAATCATGAACAGCTGTTGTGTCACCTGGTAAAAACTACACAATGACTGGTTTATAGGCTTGTTCACTGTTCTTTCCATATTTGTACCAGTCTTCCTCTTGGTCAACCTCATCACTGGCTGAATATACTTTAGATGTGAAATGTGTGAACAGTGAACCTTGTAATGCATGAGCCCTTTTACCAAATATTTCTCCAACAGAAGTTTGGTTTCACTGATGTACTACAGTTTTCCCCAAGCACTTTACTGTGTTCACACTATCATAACGTGCAAAACTCGGCGAGACGGAATTATGTCTTTGGAGCACTGGAACAGACACATCTTTGCCTCAGAATGTTAGAGGACACAGAGGGTTTTTTATTTCAGTTTAGATAAGTCCAGTTCTGCTTTCTTGTCATTTGCAGGTATTAAAAACACACACTGATTATGGAGCTCAGTCATAAAACCTATTAAAAGAAAAGAAGACACTGCTAAGGTGGTGCTGAAGTATGGTGATACTTCAGCCCCACCTTAGCAGTGTTTTCTGATTATTCTTCCCACTTCCTCAGACAGACCTGTTGCATTCTGCTCTGCTTATGTCACCTTTGATCTTCTGTTACTCTGGGCTTCTCCTCTGCAATAAGAGCCCAGTAGTGGCTTTCTATATTGTTTAATTTTTCCTTCCTTTTTTGACATTCAAATCGTCAAGAACATTTTTCAACCATCTAGCAGGGTTACGTTCAAAGAGGTGGTGGGAGAGAAACCTAAAGTTACTAGTATGTGAATTTCATTGCCAAGTTCTCAACAAGTAACAGAATGGATCAAATTAACAAAAGCACTTGTGTATGGATTTACAGTAACCTGCACAGACAATGCATTTTGCCTCCTTAGTGATGCTGGGACTCTGCAACACTGTTTTTGTAGATGGCAGGTTCTGTGGCTGTTGAATCTGCCACACATAAAAACCATTCTGGAAAATGGAATTGCTCAGGGATTACAGCAAAACTTGGAACCTGGGCTACAACATCTTTATCAGTTTGTTTAAATTTCCGTACAAATATTTCAACAAGAGTTCCCCGAAAAATCTTAAATGTTTAATCGTTGAATGCGCAGGAAATCACAAGGCCCACTGACTCACTAAACAGGTATCAAAGACACACACACACACACACACACACACACGCACACACACGCACACACCTGAGCTTGGCACTACTTATTCCACCAAAGGGGTTAAAGGTCGCAGGGATTGGGATTTTCTTCAAGACCACCCACTCGGACACTTACAGCCACATGGCTGAGCAACTCACAATAAGGAATAAAATTAAATGAACAAAGATTTGTGAAAGATCAGAACAATTTTTTAAAGACTTGTATCAAACAATTATGAACTCGACTTCCTTACAGCAATATTTTGGTGTTTCTGTATATTTAGATGTTCAATAATTCAAAGACCATTAGAATTTCAAAATCTTCCAGAACAAATCTTTCTCTTCATGAAGTAGAAGTGTACCAGTGAGAGTGATTCTACATGCAATGTATACTTACCAATATTTACATTTTGATAGATTTTGACTCTAAATTAAAAGAAAAAAAAATAAAAAAATCACATACAGTACTGTGAAAAGGTCTTAGGCATTTCACATGTACCACCTTTAAGAGCGTTCACACAGATTGCCTGAGCAGAGTGGCAGTGCATCCCAGAGGTGACATGGCATACAGAGAAGGCTTGGAGCCCATTTTTTCTCTGTGTTACCTGCGCCACACAGTAAAATACTTAGAATACCAACAAAAATGAAACAGAAACCCAAACAAAAATGTAAAATATGTGAATTCATATTGGTTTATGAAAAGAAATACTAGTTAAACATTTCATGCAGGATACATATTTCAGAATTAATGTAATGACTGTGAGCTCATTGATAGAGTATTAAAAGAGAACTCAGTCAAAACTAGGTGAAGGATGTGTTTCTTGTGGATGTAAGTTAATTATCTATTACTTACATCTTCATCAGTAAAACACTGATTTTGCATTTGAGACAAACATAAAGCCAGGTCTTGTTTTTGAGGCTGAGTGTGACATTAATACATAAAGACATATTACGTGATCCAAAAAGCTACAATCTGACTAAAATCTGACCAGATGCCTCTAACTCAAATACAGGGTGACTGCAGCAGCACACACAGACCATATTTTGTGCGTTTTTCCATAACTCAGTCATGCTTTTTTCAATTTTATCAAAAATAGTTCACACAGTGCTGCTTTAAATTAAACCAGAGGTGCTGCTGATGAAACTGAACAAATCCACACAATGACAATGAATTCAGCAAACAATTCTGTTATGCTAACTGTATTCTTCTAACTAAGATATCAATAACTTCACTAAAAAATGTTAAACATATACGCTGCGTTCATTTGCTTTTTTATTATAATGATATATAGTGTTTTTACCACTTTCATAACTGCCTAAGACTTCTGTACAGTACTGTACATATAATGTTGAATTAGTTTAGAGAACTTTTTTTTTTTTTTTGATATCAACTTCAGCCCTGGTCCCACAAGATTTGTCATTCTACACTTTGAGAATGATGGCTGCTGCCTCTAGTGGTCATTAACAGATGGTTCCTACAGTTTCCCTTCTTTCCTCTATTAACTATTTGTTCTAATATGTCTTATCTAACTGAAGTCTGCCTGGATCAATTGGAAGACAAATGTGAGGCTCATTAGAGTCCTGATGTGACCAGCACAATGCCATAGGCCCACGAAACAGGCTCTCGGACATGCTCAGATGCAGGTTGCTAGGATGCAGATATGCTTCTTACCAATCCATTGTTGGGGCCTGCTACAAAATAAGACATCCGCTCTCAGCAAATTAGGCCTCAGCGTTCGCTAATGTACGTCACAGACAGACATATTTAGTGTTGTTTCACACTGGGTCAGTGAGATCTCTGAAAGATCCAAGTTTCATCATTATATAAGTGAAGGGAAACAGATGTTTTCAGTGTTTTTGAATAGCTCAAAAAACATTGTGAAGACTAATGAAAGGTAAACCAATATGTGAGAGATGCTGCCATTTGGTGTAAACCTCTAAATTATTCGGTAATGTGCAATCTGTGCATTAACAAAAAAACACAAATCTAAGACAATAGTTGACTCAAAACATGTTTAGAATACAAGTACCAGCCAGTTAAATATGGCACGATTTTCATAGTTTTAAACATTATCATTTTGACTATGAGCTAGACAATAGATGGGCTACTTCTGGAGCCATGTCCTGTGTTTTAGAATGATGACATAGACCAATTGTATTAGACCAAATGATGGCCCATATCTTGGCCAAGTTCACTCATTTTTAACACATACAGTCGATTGCAACAGTTTGAGCACCTCGGTCAAATTTGATTTTACAAGCAAAAGCAAGTTAACACCACCTACAGAAAACACAATTATGTACATTATAAGGCATAGCTAATGTTTAAATGTTTTAAACAGGAAATAAATAGAAACTGTTCAGTACAATTTGCATGAAAAAACCGCCATATTTAATTTGTTCCCTGTAGAGGGTCTGTATTTTTAGCTAAGATACTGTCACTGTTCAAAGAAAAACATGTATCTCCAAAATAGAAACTTTACAGGAGAAGGACAAAACATTCTTAACTTTTAATACAGGTTAATGTAAACAGCTTTTAATTCAAGTGATTTGGGATTATTTATATTTGTCCATTCATTATGAACTTTTCACATACAGTGTAAAAGACAACCATCATGTTCAAATGATGTCAAAAAATGAAAATCAACAAAAATGAAGATTCGTGGTTTTTTTTTCTGGGCCTGATGAAATTCAGAAGGAAGTCTAATAAAGAAGTTTGTCCACACCAATTACATGCTCCTGGATACAAGTTGTAATGCATTTCTTTTAACATGATTCAAAATCCATAGCTCTGCTATGTTGGGCAGTAAGAGGTACAGTCTGATAATGGCAGTGAGGTACCTGGGTTTGGGTGAAAATCTGAGCTTTCTGGCATTCTTCCAGGCTAGGAGCAAAAGCAGCCATGACATGCTCTTCTGTACCAATCATCTGTACTATCTCCTGATCACTCTCCACACCCATGGCCTGAAAACACACACAAAAAAAGCAGAGAAAAGAAAAAAAAGAGGGAGAGAGTGAGCTCAGTTTCTGTATCTTGACAAAGACATGTTGATTGACAATGTTTATCAAATATACTCAAGATGTTCTAGAATTATACTTTACAGATGTGCACTGTAACATCTGCCAAATTTGACACAGAAGTAATTTTTGAGATAAGGAGGCTCAGGCCTCTTTTGACATTTACTTATGCTAATAGACAACTGTGGGAACGGGACAGTAGACCAGGGCACTTACAGGTCGGTGCCGTTTGCAAAGGCCACTGGTTAGCAAGAAAAGGCCTGCAGGAATTTACTCTGGACGCACAAGTGCAAAGCAAACAAGCTCCACAGCCAATTTACTCGGTGCCTCGTCCAAAACGAGTCATATCTGTGTATTTGGCCTGAGGCAAGGGACTTAGTGGTGACATCTCTAAAGCTGAAAGAATTCTCATTTAAGCTTAGATTAAATAACTCGGTCAACTGAATCTTAAACTGTGATTACAGAGACTCTTGGCAGTAAAACCCAGATTGAGATCAAGCAAGGAATGGTCAATTCTGAGCCACAATATTCTGTAAAATCTACATGCTGCTCTCACAGAACATACAGTTCAAATACAAAAACAGCCCTTTAGGAGAACAATTTATTACGTATACAACACTGCCATAAGACGCCAATCAACTGTTTACCCCATCAAAAACAAACTAACTACAGTAACCACTTTTTTACTTCACAACCAACTGCAGCAGTCCCACTGGTTTTCTGTTTGTCATATTGCACCATCTGCTGGTTAGAACGAAATCATGCATCAGAGGACCAGGCATATTTAATGAATTTCCATTACATCAAGAAATGCAGTATGGTTCAGTTACAAATTTATGATCACGCATTTTGTCATTTCCACTACCAAGTAAACTGTCCCATACCTACAAACTAGAGGTAATAATTCACAAAACTGATGATTCAATTTAATACAATACAGAGGTGTTGCGATTCAATCCATTTTTGATTGGGAAAAAAGTAAAAACAAGGAGCAGCTTGTATAACATACATTAGTATGTTAACGTTTACGTTTTCAAATTATCAGAGCATTTAACATGATAAATATACAGTATTTGAAACAAAATGTGCTTTATAGTGTCTAACGTTCTAGCGACAAACTAACGTGTTATCCACAGGCTAACACGATAGCTACAAGCTAACATACTAGCCACAACACAATGATATAATACGATATGTTGTATTGTTACTTCCATACTGAGTACCCGTGGTGAATTTGGTTACCCTTCTTGTTGGGGTAACAAGAGGGTACTGAACCAGAATATATGGGTGGAGCTAGAAACAGTGCAGACCACAGATTTGTCAAGTGTTCAGTCAGATGATCACTTCTTTAAAAGCTACACTAGCCAGATTTGCCATCTGTGACTCTTCAGAACTAAATGTAGACTAAAAGGTAAATCAGAACCCGAAGCACCTCCACTGCTGCTACTGTGGCTGGTTTACTACAGACACTAGCATTGTGTGAGAAATTGTGACCACCATACAACCTCCAGAGAAACCCACCCATTTTCATGGTTCTGTTGTGCAAAAGGAAACGAACAAATACACAAGCACAGATAGGTCTGGGTTTGGATTGGTAACTGTACCATGTTGCAATGTCTGGAAAAACGCATCACAGGAGTATAAAAATATACTCAAATCGGCAACAGCATCTTCAGGTTTCAAAAGTGCTCAATTACGGCCTACTGAATACCCACAATGAACCTCAGTTTTTTCCTCACAGATTTATGAACAGTACCCCTTTGTCTTCTACTCGCTCACCTTGAATATGATGGCTATTGGAGCATCCTCAGAGAGTGTGTTGTGCTTCAAGTAAAAACGACCCTGCTTCACAATCATGTTAGTTCTACTCTTCTTCTCATGAGTGGAGCTACAGCCCATAGAAAAAGAGACACAATCAGAAAATTATAAATGGTAAGTTAGAAGCCAAGAAGTACCACTCGTGTGTTAAACGTCGGAACACAGCGTAAACATATGACTTGCAGCACCTGGTAACGGAGGCTCCCACTGCACCCTTGCGGTCTTGCTCCACAATAATGCGGTTCTTGGACAGCTGCTCCTGGATGAGAATGACCTTCTCCTGACCCTTCACGATGAAATAGCCCCCTGCGCACAGATACATAAAAATTAACAGAAATTTATGAAAGCAGTCTCTCACAATGAACTGTTGTGACTCTTGTGTTATTTAAGGATGTACCTGGATCTAGGGGACATTCATTGAGCTTAGAGAACTCCATGGGTGTCTTGCCTGTCAAGACACAGTTGGAGCTGCGCAACATAATTGGCATCCTGGCAAAAAAAGAAGTAATTTGGACTGGTTATTTAGCCATTTCTGGGTTTAGTTCACAAGGGAGCATCTAAATGAGTGGTCAGAACTTCCTTGTAATGCTTTCCTGTCATCTTAAATAAGGTGCAGAAAAGAGGCCTTGGTCTTCAGTCTGGCCCAGAGATGGGTGCTGAAAAAAAAATAATTTAAGTACCTTCCAATGGGTAATGCATTGCGAATGATTCTCTGGCTGCCTCTGGTGTACTCTATGTCCACTGTAATGGGAGCGGAGTAGGTCATGTCTCTCAAACGACACTAGGCAAAGATAAAGAGAGGAGACGGTCAATACTGTCTAGCCCCAATTTGTACAAACTCCAGAACTTGTGGTGTGTTAAGTTGTTTACAGAACCCAGGATGTCCCTCATCTCCCATTTTATATGAAACTGATTTCAGATGGGCTTTTCTTTTATTTTATGATGTATCAAGTCAAAAACGGTCACAGAGTGGTTTAAAAGCAAAAGAGTGATTAATTAACTGAACAAATTCACAGATTACCTCATGTGGAGACACTGGTCTGGTTACATTAAAGCTCTCCTCTACATCAGGCATACCAACGTAAATATTGAGGTACCTGGAAATACGTGGCAGTACAGGTTCATTTCTCATGTTAAAAATCTGTAAAACTCATGTCAGAGTGTGAATGAAAGAGGAAACAGCAATCTTACTTTAGATACCACATTGGATCAGCATCACTTGTAATCTTCTCATTTGCCTTCATGATCTTCTTTATCTGAAAATATAACAAGAGAGAGCTAAAGACCCTAGCGATGCTCTTAACATGCAAATGTTAGCTAATGAGTATGTTGGAACACACAAATTTTCTGGAATAAATGTCACTAAAAGCTCAAGCATCTTACCTCTACATTGATGAAGTAGTTGAAAGAATCAATGTGTTGCTTTACTAAACCTTTGACCTGAGAGTTAAGTGAAAAATAAAATAACTCGTTGAGACGCTAGAGAAGTAAAATAGAGCAAGTTCCAGACCTACTTTGCTGTATGAAGACCAACAGTGTTTTTATTCTGGTGTGACTACTTCTTAGAGGTGAACAGCAGCTTTAATAACATGACGGCGTGTTTACCTTCAAAAAAGCTGGAAGCAGTTTCCATTTTTCCTTAAAAACAGAAAATATCTGTATTACCATGTCAGATATATAATATTATACAAATTCACATAAACAGTACTTTAAACAGTTGCTGGGTTGAAGGCCAAGTCAAGCAGAAGAGCCACTGCTGTTAGCTCAGTTAGCTTAGCGAGCTGAAGCACGCTGCAGGTTTTAATGCTCGTTTACCTCCACTGTGTTCACAGGAGCAGCGAGCTGCTGGGGAGACATGTCCCCGAAGTCGTCCTTCAGCATTTCCATGATGTTTAATTTTAATTTCACACATTTACGCGATACGACATCATGTTACTTCATCAGTAACCAAAACACTGAGGCTACAAATACATGTGAATTGTGTAGTGTAACTGGAAAAGAATCCCGGGCGGTACAAAGATTATTAGTTCCGTCCACAAATAATGTTTTGTTTACCACAGTTTGTTTGTTATTTGTTATTGGTTAACAAATGCAACGGCACAGAAATGATCTATGACTCATTTTAATTCATTTATGCACTGTACATCATTATGAAATTGAAGCGCCTGAAGACTGCGCTGTCAACCTCTCATCAATACCAACAAGAAAGGACACAGAAATGGCCCTGCGAAATTTTGAAACATATGTTTTTTGGACAAAGTAGGTGATAAAATATGATGGGGAAATTAAGGTAAATAACTGGTTCAGTCCTTTATAATGATGATTCAAGTAAAGAGGAGAGAGGTTTCCAGAAATATTCATTTTTGTGGGTAAGTGTCTCGACAGTAATATTCAAAAGCTGGAATCACTGTTCAAATGTTTGAAATCTTGTATAATTCAATAATCTAAAGCTAATGTGGTTGTAGATAAATGTATAAAATAATTCTAATATGTTAGCCCTGCCCAGCTTCACAGGTTTTAAATAATCAGCAGTACACTACCCTGCTATAAAACAAGCAAAGACCAGCATGGCTGGTCACCAGCAAAACCAGAACATGTCCATTTTTGTCATTTTTTCATGTTTTTGCAAAGTCCAGGTACTTTGCCTTGTGTTGTAATGTTATGATGAACGAACCTATACAAATGGTCCAAAATCACTTGGGAAAAACTTTGTTACATTGACTTCCATCACAAGTTAAGAATGTTTTTTTCTTTCTCCTGTAAAGTTACCATTTTGGAGATACAAGGTTCTGACAGCAATGATATTTTGTGTTTTGGATGCTGGTATGCAGATAAACGAAGCACTAGCCTAGCCCTAGACCAGCATGGAGTTTATACTGGTCTGTGTTTTTTCAGCAGAGTAGGAAACTGTAAATAGAAATTATGAAATTTTAGGTGTGGCAGAATGATAAACAGAGCTCTAAAGTGGCTAAAAAGGTGTAACATCGAGAATCAAGTTATATTAAAATTAATTTTCGGAATTCATATTTCAAAGTGGGGAGGCAGATAATTTGGCAAAAGATGTAACCACATAACTACAGTATATTATCATTTTATTCATTTCTTGTTAGTAGAATTCTTGAAATATTGAAGAAATCCTCTGAAAATGTCTTGGTTTAGTTTGTAATACAGGGTGTCCCAAAAGAATTGACATCATTTGAGATTTTTGTTAAAATTTGAGATCATTTGAGGGAGAATTGGCTATGTTATTAAACTACGAAATGATGTCAATTTTTTGGGACACGCTGTATTTAAATCCACATTGTGTAAGGTTTTTTTTAACAGTAGTGTATATTCAGCGATGCATTCCGGAGATGACAGACCAACACAACCTAATATTCTGTTAGGATATAAACTCCTTTTAGCCTGAATTATGTCTCCAGTCTCAGTGCAGCATGGTGTGAGAGACAGTAAGGGAGTCAATCAGAAGAAAACAAAGTTGTGGACAATAAGTTTAATTATTTCATCATGCATTTCACTTGCTGAAATTAGAACGCTTCCTACACAAAAAACAAATATTGCCAAGGCTTGGCAATGTGTGGGAGTTTACATCAGTGGTCTGCAGATTTAGTGGAGTCATTGTTTGTCAGACATTTTGGACCAAATACGTAACAGCTAATTTATTTCTATTGTTTAATTGTTCTAATTATTCCATAACAAGCAATGTGTGTATATAACCAAGAGTAAAAGAAGAAATCCAGAAAGCCTTTCTCCTGAAATTGTGATCTTTACAAACAGAACAAAACACAACGTGATGAAGAGATGAAGCCAAAAAGTTTTAACTAAGCTGTTTACATCAGTTAAAATTCTAGAAAGAATGAGATAATGCAGTTTCAAACAGTTAAAAGAAGAAAAAAATCTTCAGAAGGTTCCTCTAAAACATTAAAAGCAGTTTCTGAATACATGCACAAACATCTCAGCAGTTCAGCTTTTTTTTCAGCAACATTTATACTACTGCCCCCAAACCAGCAAACTACATGACATTACATGAGTAATGATTTCTACAGAAAGCATGTCTTTCACTTGCTTGTCCTGGCTTTTTAACAATGTCAGCAAATGTTAAAATACTATGTATGCTGCAAACAGGACGATCAAAGCTAGATGTAATAAACTTTATATGTGTCTGTTGTTGCTGCTCAGTAGTTTGGGATAGGACGTCCCGATGGAGCGTCCGTGTCTGTGAACAACCATCTCCAGCTGATACTCGGCCATGTTGACCACAGCAATGGTGGTCTTCTCAGTAGATGTGAGGAACAGAATGGTGAAAATGGCCATCTCAAACTCGGGACTGACACCAATGAAAGTACTGCCTACAGGCTTGACCAGACCATGCCAGCTGAACTGCACATTTAAGACGTGGTCATCCTCATCCGGCTGAAATGGGAGAGAAAAAGAGACATTTTTAATGGAGATAACATCATAGAATGTCCTAAGTTGGAGAAAAAATATTTCATAAAGTATAATGTCCCCTAAAATTAACCTCTACTTTACAGTGCTGTGCAAAAGTCAGAGACCACCTTTCATTAATTTAATTTCCAGTCAAAATAGCCATTAAATACAAGTTGTTTGTTTTTCAGTGTCAGGAAAAGAATTCTGCAGGGATAATTTTCCACACCTCCAAAGTTCAGTCTTAGAAGTTGGTTACATTTACTTTTTGTCACAAACTAAATAATCTCAAACACATTCAGTGATGTTGAGGTCTGGACTCTGGGGTGGTCAGTCCATTGTTCTGAGAACACCAGCAGCTTCTTTAATTCAAATGTTCTCCCTATATCCTTGAGTTGTCTTCTCACAGTGGAAGGATGGACAGAAACACCTGTGGATTTTCTAGTGCATGCAGATTATCTTACACACTAATCTCCTAAGAAATATCCTGAAAAATTAATAATTTATATATAACGGCCATTTTCACTGGACTTTAAATAAATGAGGGATGGTCTCTGATTTTTGCACAGTAATGTGTGTCAGTGTCTTTTCCATCTACAGTTCAGAAGTATGAAAGACGTTACCATATCATTGTGTCTGGCTTTGTAGCCCTTGTAGTCAAGCAGATGCTGCTTTTCCTGAAGATAAAACTGGACCCAATTGTGAAGGCCCATGATTTCATTTCCAAATTTGGTCTCACCAACAAACACATGTTCAAATCCACTGGAGTCCTCACTAGTTGGGTAGAGGGAGATTAAAGAAAAAGAAACATCACAACACATAACTTACTTACGCGGAACAGAAACAAAAGCCACTTTACAGCACTATGTCTCTAAATATTCTTTCATTTTATGTAAACACATGCTTTTGTGTATGTGGACATGAGTGCTTGCGCATGTACATGAGAAGAAAAGAGAGAGACTCACCCTCCATTCCTTTCTCTGTGGTAAAGATGAAACCACATGTAGTACAGCTGAATCTTAAACTGTCTCAGATTGGAGTGAGATTTGCCTTTCTTCACTAAATACTGGTGAGCACGCTGAAGAAAGACATCAAAACAATCATCCTCAAATGAATTAATGTTAGTGTTACTGAACTTAGCCAAAACACGACATCACATGTTTAACTGCAAGAAATAATATTTTTCCCGTGATGTCCCAGGACCTGCAGCTTTTGAGAACAGAACGTGACAGGAAGAAGCAGCATTCAGAGTGGAATTTACTAAACATAGGTCTACTGTGAACAGCAACCACACTAATGTGCTGCCAATCCTTCAACATTTTACAATGGTGTCATACAGTGGTAAGCCAAAATAAGATGCTATAACTTTTTAAATAGGAAAATAAGAGGTGAAGTGATAGGCTTTTGTATGCAGCGCTCCATTGTCTTCTGCTTAGATTGTCATTTGTAAATCACATATAACAGCTGAACTCCATGACTGCCTACACAAATAGTCAATGGTGTATATACCTTCATGACTGCGGTCTCCAAGATGGCATCCAGGAAAGCGTTATTCTCCGTCACTTCCTCAGAGGTCACTTTCTCAGCCACACCGGTGGCCCTTTCATAGTTATCCAACAGCTTCATGAAACCTAGAGTCAGACAGTTGTGCTTAAGATGAAAGAAGGATTGCTACTTTGCCAATCATTGTTTTTAGGAGTCTTGCCAAAGGTCTCTTCTTGGTATAGAGTAGCATTATTGCCCAAGCTGGGCCTGATTACCTTGGGCAAGTCTCCTAATGCTACATTCACCTGCCTCTGTAACATTATTAAATTGTTAATCACTGTGGAAAAGAGCATGCACCAAATGCCATAGCTGTAACTCAAGCTATATTTGCTAAAAGCAAACTTTTTAGCCTAATTCATCACACTTTATTGTCTAATCAGTATAATAAGTCAAGAAAATTTTCTAGCTAAACACAGTTTTGTTAAATATATTTTAATGCTCTGGGTGTAAGCATGTACTAATTTTATTCCCAGCCAGCAGTTAAATCCCATCCATTCATGAGGAAGTTATAAGGTGTGTTTCAGTCCAGACTGCTTTTTGAATAAGGAGCAATACAGGGCAGCTAATCAGAACACAGATCATTTAAATATATTCTAAGGGACAAAGAGGGGTTGAGGGAGTGGTCAAGTAAAAATGAATAATGACTTTTTTTGGTACATAAAACTTTTATAGTGGACCTCAAGGAAAAAATAAAATATGAGAATAATATAAGATATGAACCTGTCAAAAAAAATGTTGCAGGATCTTTAGTTTCATATCCTAATGTACCATTAATTTCCTAAATACATGGTAACCTATTTTATATCCTTAATTCCCTCTAGTATGAGTTTTCAATCTCACAGAAATATTGAAGGGAAACATTCTACTTACATTTGTGCTCTTATTACAGAGCAGTTAATGTACACATTAAGAAAACTTTTCACAGTGAATTATGGATTCTTGGTAACCACGCAAAGTGGGTGCCTCACTGGGGTAATCAAAGTAAAGAAAAACCCTCTTTAATTTAAGCCAGGCTTGCTTCAAACGCAATTACATTACATAAAGGATTGGCATGTCCCTGGGAAAGACATGTCTAGAGCAGCTCCTGGCGCAATCTAAGCTTTTGTGCAAACTGTGTGAGCCAAACACAACTCCAAATAGTACCTTAATGGGATGGGTTTTAAGTGTCAGAGCATGTTAGGGCAGAGGAGTGAGACTAGAGTGTCATTACTAAGGATTTATGGAAATATCTGTTTGAGTAAGAAAAGCCAGAGGCATTCAGAACTGAACAAAGAATATGCTTTTCACTTACAGGCATAGGTAGTGATGGATTTCAGTTTGTTCTCATTCACATAGGAGAACAGAGGAGATGAGGCATGATCTTTTGCAGTAGTGCTGCCACTGGGTATATAACCAGCTTTGCCCTGTAAAGAGGTTTTAACCGTTTAAACGTCTGAAAGAAGTGTTGTCAAAAAGCACCGCTGAATGGTGGAGTTCAGCGATGTTAATGAGGTATGATGACCAATGCAGTGGCATAATAACAATGTAGTAATGTAGTAGATGATGACAATGCATTAAAATGTCATAACAATCTTAATGGGGAATTTTACAGATTTTTCAAAATATCAGCATAACTATATGGTTAAGATAAAAACAAATCATTCAGAGTAGTTTGAACTGAAATAATCCGTTCTAGAGAAAGTCACCGAGTGAGAATTGTTCACAGTGGTGGTGATAGGAACCAGACGTCTGAATGCCTCTAAAAGCTTCCTCACAGAGACATTTGTACACAAAATGGTCATGAATAGACACTGTTTTATAACCTTGAAATAAGATTTAGGCATAATGTTTATTTTTAAAAAATACATTCATTACCTCAAAGTACATCCAGAATGTTCTGAGGCAAAATAGCCCCCAAAGAAAACTCTTATTTTTTTCTGGATTTACCACTATTTTACAATCATCAACATTACATACAAAAACAAAGACACATGTAAGTTCAATGGCCATTTGGGACAGTAAATAAAATGTCATTTTTCGCAACCACTGGTTCCCAACACCACCACTGTAAAGAAATCAGAATAGGTAAGTTTATCTACAATAGTCCATTTTGCATCAAACCACTCTTAATGAATTTACATCTCAACGAATGAGAATTTTAGACAAGTGGGTGGAATTCCCCTTTAATTCTATTAAACCTGTTGTACCTGCAGTGAGATCCTGTAGTCTGTCCCAGCTTTAAAGCGATTCACATCCAACTTCCAAAGCACGTCGAACATGTCAGACAGCTCCTGGTTTACAGTTTGGCTGATGATAGGAACAAGTTCATTTTAGAGCTGTTTGTGTTCACGATCTGAGCTAAATGTGTTAAAGCGTCTGGAACACGTGAGTTAAGGTGGAATAAATGCTCACCTTGCCGCATCAATATATGCAAACAGAGCAAGGAGCCCAATGAAACCACCCCAGACACGCCTGAAAGTCAAGACAAAAACGTTAAACCTTCCTACCAAAGCACCACAGAGCACTTCAGAACTTATTAATGAAAATCTCAGCTGCTTAGCTACACTGAAAAAACGAGCCTCGGTTGAGGATGAAGGGAGAGCAGTCAGACTACATGGACTTGTTTCTGAACAGTGTTCTAACGGCAATGATTTAAGGCACTCGTGGAAAGTTTTAGACAGATATAAATGTTTCACGTACCCGCCAGCCATCGCTGTGTGCCTCCCCAGTCCTGTCTGTACAGTAGAGCTGAAGTTATAGACAGTCCTGTCTGTACAGTAGAGCTGAAGTTATAGACAGTCCTGTCTGTACAGTAGAGCTGAAGTTGGAGAGTGGAGAGTGGAGAGAGTGAGTCCTCCCCTCAGACTCCTTTAGACAAACACACCCAGATGGCCGCCGCGTCACACCGCCCTAAACACAGGCTCGGCCTTCAAGTGTAAAAACCGCTCTAAACAGCAGTTAGCATCGCTTTTGGTAGCCCGGTGAACACACATTGAGACTTTAAATATAAGTTGTAGGATTTCGCTCGGGCACAAATGAACAATCAAACAAGTATAACAGTGTGTCGACCTAGTGCGCATCGCCACAATAGTCAGCAGGTGGCGCTGATACTGCATCGACCCGTGGTTTACTGGCATTCCGGCTCAAAGCTAGCATTTATAGTCAAAATTGACCTTTTACCTCATGTCCCTGGTCATATTAGGCACGATTAATCATATTATATCATATCGTTGTTTTCACATATTCTTTGATTGTATATCTTCGCCAGCAGGTGCAAAAATAACAAGTATACCAATAACCAATCACCTCACCACCTAGCATCAAGAAAAACACTCAGACGTACATCACAGGAGGGAAAATGTATGATTTCAGTATGTTATTAGCCCCCTCTCCAGATGTAGGTTAATACAGACACACTCTGCTTCCGGTAGTGTTAGCTATCTACCTTCCGTCTGCCTTCAACAGATTCCAGCTAACGGAAAAAAATATTTTTCAAAAACCCCGCCTCGATTATATTGGGGGTGGGGGGCGGGGGGGATGTTTCCGCCTTAAAGCGCTTGAAATTTTTCAAAAGTTCCTCCCACCTTTAAGATGCATCATCAGACGTGGGTTTTCCTAGACTGTAAATTCTTACTCTCACGATTTGCACCACCACTGTAGGAGGCAAGTTAGTTTAAGCAGATGTAGCAATGCTTTAATTTTTAATTTTGGCCGGGTGTCCCTTTAACATTTCTAAACAGAAGTACAGATCTGAAATAATTTGTAACTGATGATTTGAACTATTTTGTCTTTGTTTTCCTTTATGGACAAGATCTACAGTAATACTGCTGTAAATCTTGTTATATATATTATTGAAGCAAGTGTTTTCTAAATGTTATGGTTTTAATATTTTATAAATGCTTCTTTTTAGCAGTGTGAGATTATTTGACTGAAAGCTGCATTATTAATAAAATAAATCATCCTTGTTACTAGTCATAGTGGTAGAGAATTTTCTACAGGATTCTTGTAGTCTTGTTTAATTGCATAAAATGTAGTAAATTCAGACAAATATTTACATTTTATGACAAGTATTACACGCCACTATTGAAATCTTATGTTTTACACACACATATATATATATATATATATATATATGGTTCTGCAAGAGATCACCCAACAATATTAATAGTTCTTTTGGATTCAGCCTCTCAGGACCACTTTTATTCCTGTATGGAAAAACCACCCAGTGTACCAACAAAACAAGACCGTGTGCTGTACTTATTTTATTGATCTTTTAAAAATGAGCACAGGTTGACAGAACACAATACACAACTGAAATGATTATGAGAGGCACCAAAAACAAATACCACTGCACTGATGAACAGCACAGATTTTTTTTATATGTTAATTGATGCACAATATTTTTGAAAATGAGAAAGGCTTAAATAACATGCAATGACATTTCTTTACAAATAGGCCATAGAAATGCATTGTACTTAGTTGTTTCATAGTGTTAAAATACACTGCGTGCAAATACATGCATCAATGAGCATATGCAGAATCCAGGGACAGATAATATAGATCAATACAATTCTTGTAAAAGAATACAAATATGGCCATTGTAGGCATTGAGAGATCTGGCAATCCTTATTGGGGAGTGTTCAATGCTTTGAAACTTGGCAGTTCTTTTTGTAATCCAATTTTTAAAATCTAATTTCCTTAAATAGCTGTATGATTCAGAGTGGCTAAAAGTGTCATTGTGCTCTGTTTGCTACCATAAAAAAACAAGGACAAAAAGACAAAGGAGTGTAAGGCCTGTAGAAAAAAAAAGCAAAGTGTGCATAAGTCTCCAGTGACCAGCTGGGAGGCAAACTACAGTAGGACTGCCACTTATTCCCTTTAAAAATTCATAAAATACCTGCAATCGAAGCACAACTACTGGATAAACAAATAATTTAAATCAAAAGATGGGACAAACAAACCCTTAAACTCTTGCGTCTGCTCCTGGGGACATATTCACATCCTCTACACATGACAGCTTACATAGGAAAGATGGGCACTGTTCTGTATGGCAAATACTGTAATGTGGTTCTTCTAAAAGAGTTTACATGACCTATGTAGACTGATAAGGTATGGATGGCACTGTGAGAGAGAAAGAGAAAGAGAGAGAGAAAGAGAGAGAGAGAGAGAGAGAGAGAGAGAGAGAGAGGTGTGCAGAGGGGTTGGCACAGTCAGTTCCGATCACAGCAGCACTATGGACAGGCGAGTCTAGGAAGCGCCCTTAAACGTTGGCGTCATCATCAGTTACGCTGGGGTTGGGTGACGACGTCGACATCTCCTTAAAGAGCTCATCGTCTTTCAGCATACTCTGTGCCACAATGCACATAAAAATTATACATGGTACTATAACACATTAGAAAGTGATCCATCTGATCACAACTGTACGATTAACGTGATTTTTACCGTCAAGTTGTTGATGCCCTCTGAGAAAGCTCCAATCTGTCGCACAGTTCCTTCTGAGTCCTCCATCTGTGGCCACAAAGTCAATAAAAAAGTAATTAAGTAAAATTAAGTAAATAAGCCCATTTTGTGTGATATAACGATTACGCTGTCCATGCTGTGGTATTACTCTTTAATATTAAAGTGTCCACACAACCTTACCTGCTCTAGTCGGTCCAAGTCATCCTCATAGATCTGCAGCTCCATGCCTCTGTAGCCCTTCTGGAAGCTGCGTCCTTTAGGCATCTCCACATCCATGGGGCACACGTACTCCTCATTCTCCTCCTGCCTCTTCTTCCTCCCAAAGCTTCCAAATGCCAGCTTCCGGGGCTAAATACAACACACAACAACACAGCAAGATGGAAGCCCACCACTATTAAAGCAGTATTTCTATGGAAAAAACAAAAAAATTACCAAATACAGTAGATCAGCCAAATAGTGTAAAGGTTGGCTTCTTCAAAGAGAGTGTTCATAATTTTTTAACTGAAGCTTTGAGGCTAATATAATCAACAAGTAATGGAGCTTTATACCCCACCAACTAGCACTGTATACCATATACTGTAATTATTATTTTGATCACTACTTCTCAAATACAAGGCATTCTGAATATTAATTTTAGTGTATTCTGTTTGTATCTAACATCTCTTCATTTTTTACAGCTTTCTACAAATAAATGAAAACAGTGATTCCAAACTTCTGAAATGTCATGTGGGTCACATACCTAATAACAGTAACAGCAGATATCTCTAAGCCTAAGTTGTGTCTATACTTTTGACCATTTTTATAGATAAGGGTATGTCATTCAGTATCTTGGCTGATGCACTCCATAAAGAAAAACATGTAAATTAGATTTTTGTTGAATGATTTCTTTACAGGGGAATTCCACCAAGTTTTTAAAATAGCTGCATTATTAAATGGTTAAGATGTAAACAAAGTCATTCAGAGAGGTTTGATGTAAAATCCTCCATTCTACAAAAACTTATCAAGTCAGAATTGTTCACAGTAAGTGGTGATAGAAACTCTGAAGGGCATAATGCCCTAAAAGCTTCCTCGAGGAAAGTAATTACAAGAAATGTATACAAATCTGCTGCCTTATGCTTGACGCACTGTTTTACAATAGGTTTGAGATTTTGGAAAAGCCATTCTTGCACGCATATTTCTACAGATTTTTTTTTTTCAGATTTTACCATCATCAACATTACATATAAAAACGCAGAAGACACATGTAAGATCACTGGTGGCTTTGGATAATAAATAAAATAGCTATATTTGCTACATTGCGACCCCTGGTTCCTGTCACCACCACTGTAAAGAAGTCACTAAGTTTCTCGACAATTAAGCATTTTACATCAAACTATCTCGAATGACTTCGATTACATCTCAATCACTGATTTATACAAACATTTTGGAGTAAGGAAAGGAATTCTCCATTAAGGCTGGTGTGCTGAAGTGTACCTTGACTTTAGCGGTTGCAGTAAGCACAGTATGGTCAGGGTTTTCCAGACACTCCTGCTTTAGCTGCTGCGCCTCTGAGCCTATCAAAAGGTTAAAGTGAGTGGCCAGGTGCCTCCGAAGCAGTGTCTTATTGGGAGGAATGTTCAGCAGCAGAGCCATGGTCTCCACATTAAAGCGAGGCTCCAACACCTGAACACACAGATATTTGCATACATTAAATACCATTAATTCCCCAAAGACTTAAAACACCATTTCTTTCTTTTTCATTGCTCACCATCAGTCCTCCATGGACTCCGCTGCCCCTCAGATTGGGTGCGTATTCTGCCAGATCTACAGAACGTAGCCACTCCATCACACGGTGGTTGGTCCACTGAGAGACCTCTGCTGGACTGATGTTGTTCTGAAACAACACAGAGAACCAGAATCAGCATGTTTACACACAGCAGTGAGTACTCTACAGTGGAACAGCACAGCTGAGCAAAGAACAACATAGCAGCAGATACCTCGTCAGAGGGTCTGCGGCGCAGGCAGTTGGGCTCATAGTTGTTGAGGCGCAGCACCTGGATGGCTCTTTTAATGCTGAGGTGATGCAGCACACTGCCCACTTTTAAAGACAATAGATCATCCTGACCAACATAAGAGAGTCCATCATTAAATGCAGCACAAGTTCAATAGTGCAATATGCAAGTACCTTTTATGAGAATGATCGCATTTAGGAAATCTGGATTCAGAAAGCAGTAATAACAGGAAGTAAACTGTAAAATGTCAGTGAAACAAAGTGGCCTGTCATCACTCAAGAGGAAAAAGCAGACTCACCACAGTCATGTAATGAAGCATTCTCCCATCTACTCTCCCCTCATCAAACTGGGTTTTGTACTGAGGAAGGCCAATGTCATCAAGCCATCCTGAATGAAGAGATCAGGAAAAAATGTAAGGGAAGAGAAATAAAAACCTCAAATTTAAATCAGTCTGCCAAACAAGTAAACTCCCAGAAGCCTGCAGTTAATTATGACGTTTAGAGCAGGAAAAGGCCCTTCCTCACTTGTCACCCAATGGTAGTCCAGTTTGCCTTTGTTGTCATCCTCCTCAGAGCCCAATGCTTGCAGGGCCAGCTGCAGTTTCTTCCTGTGGAGAGGGTGCTTGATTCCCAGCTCCTACACACAGGCCACAGTGAAATGGTTAGCACTAGCACACCGGGATCAGATCACTGTCCACTGAATTTACACAAAATGGTCATTTGTACACTTTACACAAAATCCAATATTTAAACATTAGAAAATGGACATTAGGAAAAAAGTAAAATTACTGACTAATAGAACAACAGATACTGAAATGAACACTCTTGCTGTTGCCACTGTTGTATACATAAAATACTAGGCAAAGGTCAGAGCCCACCCATTTATTTTTTTTAATTTCTAGTCAAAATGGCCATTAAATACAAAATCATTCATTTTTCAGTGAAAGAAAACAAAAACGTATGTAACAGCAAATTACACTGAAGCCTCAACAATTACATATAATACCAACTTTTTCTGCATTTTGTTTCTATCCTTGCCTTTATTACAGTTTTTCAAAGACATTTTAAAAGCGAAATTTCTTTTCTCAAAGTCGAAAAAAAGTGGAGCTTGATTTTCTCCCATCACTAAAATGTGGAAGCTGTAAGGATTGTTTATCTGATGTTGACCATTTTTGGTGGTCTATCACCAAGCATGACTGTTAGGAGTCATTTTGAATTTGAACTTTGAGTTTTGGAAGCTATTTTTTTTTTTTCAACTTATTTTTCTTTGACTTTCCCTTTCCCTTATGTAAGAGGATTCTCTTATATCTAATCTCAGAAATATCTCCCGAAAAATGAGTTCGTACTTCAAGGCTGTTTTCACTAGAAATTAAATAAATGTAGGTCTCTGACTTTTACATAGCACTGTATATTTTGTGTGCATGTGTATACAACAACAGCAAGTGAAAGATGGGAATGATCAAATCTCGTTTTCATTGGTGAGAAACCCTCCAGTGAGACAACTCACTTTGAAACCAAACTGAAAAAGTTACACAAGATGGGAATACACCGTTCTTGCTCAAGGATGTATGAGAGTCGCTGAATGTCCACCTTTTCTAAGTCTTGCTGAGAGGCCTGCAGGAGAGTGTGTCCTGAGGAGATCCACTGCCTGGCCAGGTTCACATACAGCCCTAGTCCCTGCTCCTGCATCCAGTCACACACCTGCTCCCGGGACCAGCGCGCAAATGGAGCATCCAGCTCACTGACAACCACACACATATACATAACACATTAACTTACAGGCCCTAAATGAGGAAAGAGTAAACTAAAAAATAGATAGATATTGTGCGTAACACATGGAGAAGCATTATGTCTTTTACTATAAGACATCTAAAGTAGAGATCAGACATCAGACAGAAATATCTGTTTTAACATTGTTCATGTGGATTTGGAGGTCATTATCAGCAAGCTCACCACCAGGTGGTGCTGTCTTTACAGCTGCTCCTTATAAGCAAAAATGAAGGATGAAGTGTTTATATGATAGGCCAGACCAGCACAGTCACAATGCCTCTGAAGACTGACCTGTTGGTGTTATGAAGGTCACGTGACCAGCCCAGCCTGGGCCCAGCTGTGGCTCGGATTCCTCCCCGTTTGAACTCGCTCTCTGAAAGGTTGTCATCCAAGTTGAATGTGGTTGACTGACTTCTTCTGAGCCTTCAGTGAAGAGTAATGTTTTATACTGATTTAGCTGACGAGAAAGGATTCTAAGCACGCACAATGAAAGCGACAAAAGTACACTGTTCAAATCTCTCTTGTTTTGCATGTATATCTGCATTACAAACACTATACATCAAATACTGTTTAAAAAGGAAATAAAAAAAATAATCACAACCTCATTTTCAAAAAAGTTGGTACAGTGTGTCAAATGCCAAAAGAACGCAAAAAATCATTTGAACTCCATAATCAACTGTCAATAGTACCAAGACAACATATCAAATGTTGATGCTGAGACATTTTATCATTTTTTTTAAAAATACATGCCCATTTTGAATTTAATGCCAACAACATATTTCAAAAAAGTTGGGAGAGGGGCATGTTTACCACTATGTTGCATCACTTGTTCTTTTAACCACACTCTGTAAGTGTTTGGTAAAGGAGGAGACTAATTGTTGTTTTGAAAGTTAATTTTTTTCCTATTCTTGCTTGATCTAGAATTTCAGTTGGTCAACAGTTCGGAATCTCCTTTGTCATATTTTTCATTTCGTAGTGCACCAAATGTTTTTTTAATGAGTGACAGATCTGGACTGCAGGCAGGTCAGTTTAGCACCCAGACTCTTTTAATACAAAGCCTTGCAGTTGTAATACGTGCAGAATGTGATTTGGCATCGTCTTGCTGAAATAAGCATGGCCTTCCCCAAAAGAGACAATGTCCATATGGCAACATATGTATATATCATTCAGCATTAATGATGCCTTCACAGATGTGCAAGTCACCCATGCCATTTTCACTAATTCACCCCCATACAATCATGGAAGCTGGCTTTTGAACTGTGCACTGATGACAAGCCAGATAGTCCCTCCCCTCTTTAGCCTAGAGGATGAAGCGTTTATGACTTCCAAAAAGAATTCTCAAATTTTGATTCGTCGGAACACAACACTTTTCCACTTCGCCTCAGCCCATCTTAAATGAGCTCGGGCCCAGAGAAGGTGGCAGCATTTCTGGATCCTGTTTATATCTGGTTTCTTCTTTGCATGGTAGAGTTTTAACTTGCATTTGTGGATGCAGCGACAAACAATGATTTTCGGAAGTGTTTGAGCCCGTGCAGTGATTTCCACTATAGAGTTGTGTCTGTTTTTAATGCAGTGCCACCTGAGGGCCCAAAGATCATGGCCATGTTACTGACCTGCTGCCAATTAACCGAATTAGCTGTGAAATGTTGCACCAGGTGTTTTTTTCAGCATTACACAACTTTATCATTCTTTTGCATGCCCCTGTCCCAACTTGAAACTTGTCCGAAATGTCCTGCTGGCATTAAATTCAAAACAGGCAAATTTTTTTTCGAAAACTGATAACAATCCTCAGTTGCAAAATTAGGTATGTTGTCTTTGTCCGATTTTCAGTTAAATATAGATATAAATGATTTGCACATTATTGCATTGTTTTTATTTACATTTTACACAGCAGCCCAACTTTGGGAACGGGTTTGTAGCAGACAGACGGTGGCCTACTCACTTTCCTATGAACGCTTTGATTCCCTTAGACTTCTTCTTGCCATCCGGGCAGGTGGGGAGAGTGCGTGTGCTGTCACTGTTTGCTGATCTTTGTGGCATTCCTGCAAGGTCTAGATGGTCTGTACCTTCACGCTCAGTCTCAGCTGTTCAAACACAGATAGAAGTTTAGAAAGTTCAAGAGACAGAAACAAAATCTGACGGCACTGCAAATGGAAGGTGCAGAAATTAAAACACCAACACCAGAACAGAAAGTCCAGTGCAGAAGAACCCATTAACAGTCTTACTACTAGAACACATCATAATAGAGCATATTTGCAGATAACGTCTAGTCAGGACTCAAGAACAACTGGATAGAGTTTGTTTCAGGGATACACTGAGACAGGGGGAAAAGAAGACAGATGCAGACAACAGCCCTGATCTACACAGCATGTACAAAGTTGCATGAAAAGTTACAAGATCTGATGTCAAAGAACAATGTGGCTGTAGAATAACTTGAGATTAGGGGGCATTACATTTCCACATTCTGCATCCCAGTGGGCTCCTCCTGGTAATAAAGAATGAACAGAATGCCAAAATACTTCAGAGATGTCATCAATCCAGTGAGGAACTCCACTTTTACACATTTGCTTGTTCTTGGAATAGCGGAATATATGAAAAATCCATCAATAAAAACACCTGGATTTTTTAGATGCATGTTTTTTTTCAAATGTTTAAAAAGCTACCAAAAGAGATGACTGTTAATAGAAGTCATCTGATGCAGGCTAAGTCAGTTTAAATCATGACAAGGAGACTGGGGAATGTTTGGTGTGGGAGAGGGGGCCCATCTGGAACAGGGTGTGTTAAGGCCAGTTCACAGAGACAGAACATATCCAGTTGTTGCTTTGTTTCTCCAGAGAGGCCATGCGGCAGGCCCAGCTCTACTGCGGAGGCTGTACCGTTCCTAGCATTGGAGCACTCGCACTCCGGCTGCAGTCTTCACACTATATACAACCACCACATGCCACCACCCCAATGCCAAATAAACAAAGGGCAGAGGTTAGGTTACAACATGCACACACAAAGCTACACTGGACAGGCTGGTTGGACAAACACATGCTTATCACAGCAAAGAAGACAGTTTCAAGCATAAAAAGCATACGCTACTTCATCACACAGTAATGCTGACTGGGACCCTAAAAACGATTGTAGAAGCAGAGCCAAAAATAATCCTTCAGAGGCACGATGTCAAACCTAGATTTGGGGCGCTGGCTGTTCTCTTCCCCCCTTTGATCTTAAAGAAGCCTCGTCCAAAGGAGGACCTGGCCTTCTTGGTACCAAAAGTGTCATCCTCAGAAGTACGGGAAACAGTAGGGGACTTTGGCGGCAAGGTCGTAATTTTGTTGAACTCATCAAAAGCTCGGCTCTAAAAATAAAATAAAATGAAATAAAAAAATAAAAAAATAATATATATGTATGAGAGGACATAACAGCTGTAAGTTAAACTTACCTCTGCTGGTCCTACTGCCAAAGGTCTCTGAGAAGACAAACAAAATGTTTTCAAACAGACATTTGTTTTTTCCAAGACGTATAAATAGTCACTTTAAAGACTGTTGTTAAAGCTGATGTTGTCAAAGACTATTTTTAAAGTTCTTAATAGAATGAAGTTCACCTTATCACTAGGGCTGCTAGCCAGGTTGCTCTGGCTTCCAGATTTGGGCACCTCTGCAGTTCTGCAATAAGATGAGTTAGTTATCATCACTCACTCGCAAAATCTCTGAAGCATCAAAAGAAAATTGCTTGTAAATACCAATTCTGAATGACATAACAGGAAACAGAGGGTATCCAATCCTACACATACACTTGGGATGCACTTATTTTGCCTACTTAAGACCATGAACAAGAGATACCTTCAAACTATGTTGCATCCTCAATATCATTCACCAGTTCTTCATTAGAGCTTAAACGTATGTCAGTATGTAGTACTGTATTAGGGATGCGCCGATATTGGAATTGTAGGCTAATGCCAGTATCCAATATTTTTCAAGTACATATCTGCTGATGCCAATACATAAAAAAATATAAAATGTCAAAACTGGGACCACCGGGATTAACATTTCAGAAAAAATATAACATTTACTTTTGTAGTATTAAAAATGCAGTAAAATGGATAAAATGTAGATATTTAAAGCACAATAGAAGCACAATAAATAGGTTATCAAATCAGTTTGAAATACCAGTCAAATTAACCATCTGACCAATGCCGAATTTTTTAAGCAATTATATGCAGATGCCGATATTCCAATAACATTGTGCATACCTACACAGTGTTAATTCATGTTTCAAATAAAACAAACCAAAACAATTATGGCAGTAATGTCCCATATTTGTAGCAAAGCTGCTGATAATTATTGAGAAGTCTTAAAAAGGCTGTGAAAATTCCCCTTTCTGGCACATATACTCACTCTAGTTTGGTATCTATTGGAGGCTCCTCTGATTGGCTTGGCTCCTGATGCCCTGCATCACTACAGGGGACAAACACATTGGAATAGGAATGCTAAATATGGAGGAAAAGAGTGATGGACAAGCAGTGGGATGCAAACAAGGCTAGACAGAGTTCAGACAATGGTTTGCTAAACATGGTAAGAGTGGAAAAGAGTGATGGAAAAGTGAGTTGAAACTGTACAGTGACCCAACAGTACCTACAACGGCAGAGGACACAGGAAAAGCAGTGGTGTGACAACAACAATGAGGAACAAGGGAAAGAAGCTGATCTTTATTCCGAAGAGCCACAAACAAGCATTAAGATGTCAACATGGAAGACCAGAAGACTGAGATGTAACCATAGTTGGAAATGATGACAATGACTGTGAAACATTTAATGATAAGACAGAATATGTTACTGGTGAGGCATACAAATGAGAGAAAAGGGTTAAGGGTGTCTGCAGTCTTTAGGGGCCAGAGTCATCAGGTTTCTGCTTTTTTTAAATTTGGAATTCACAAAATCCTTCAAGTGCTTGTCTCGGTAGGATGCTGTTGCATTGATGGTTGGTGATCCTGCCTGCTAGGATGCTAATATAGTTTCAGGAAACCACACTTTTGGGGTGTTTTTTTTGGAGCTCAGCTCACCTCTGTGACGGCGTTTGCTCCAATTCTTCATCAGTCTGTTGTTTGGCTTGTGGAGATGGCGTGAGGGAGGGCACCTGCAGTGTACTGACAAACGTAGTTGGCTAAACACAAAAAAGAGAAATATCCAACAATTGGTTAGATCAAACCAATTTTTCAGCTTATCTAAATATTATGAGGCTGTTAGTTTCACTTATCACCCCAGGGATGTCTATTTCCTGACAATAATGACTGCAAATTGACTCTGGATCAACTACAGCAGCAAAGTGTGACTTGGAGTTCACAAGCAATGTCCTCTACTTGGGTCTGTTCAAGCCTCAGGCTTGACAGATTCACCAGGATCAAAACTGTTTGGCTAGAGTGTCAATCTTGCAATCTTGTGATGTTCAAAAATAAAACAATATCAGAGCTAGGGGTGGGTGATATAGCAAAAATATTATATAACAATGAATGAAAACATCTTACAACATGCATCACAATATTTTCACAGTATTGACATAGTAAAAATATCGTATAAACGTATACAGGACTTTGAGGATTTCAGGGTACTTTTCAAAAATACAAACAGAATGTTGATTTAGGAGCATGAGTGCGAGAACAGATTTTGGCCCAAGTCGTCCACCACTTCATTATGTGCATTGTGAATACAAAGGTGAGGATCTTTTTGGTGATGCATGCCACTGGATAAATCAAATGTTACTATTTTGACAAGACATAAGAACATCAGCCTACTTTACTTGTTTGCACGTAATAAGAAACCTAACTAACCCGCCAATAAAAGTTGCACAGCTGTCAAGTCACACACCCACTGTTTGGCCTTTGCTGAGGTTTCACAGCATTAAACGCAAATCTGATGGGTTTTCAAAACAGAAAGAGAAACTTAGCTTAGCTTAGCTGCATGAGGAGCTTAGCTGCATGTTTGCAGTGCACTGATGAGCATTATTAGCCAACACAGCACCTTCAAAATAAGGCCAAGCATGTTGATTTTGTATACCGGCATTTAAATGGGCCACCAAAGTGGATGCTAAACAAAATGAACCAGAAGTTAAACGGCCCTCTCTTACAACAGAAAAACTGGCTGAGTAAAGCATTTAGTTTGACTGCACTAGAACTGAAAAACTTAGAAGTTAGCCAAGCTAACAATATTATCTATTATTTAATTTTCAACAGGTCTTAGTCTAATTTCTAATAAACATGCACAAAAAATGCATTATGTTACAAAAAAAAATAATAATAATAAAAGCAAGAAATGGCTGCTTAGCAAACAGGCTCGCAGGCCAAACGTGTAAGAAATGCAGAGAAAAAGACACACTTTGCATGGATTAGATAAAAGGCAGAAATACAGATGAAATCAAAGAAACTGCATGTTATACGACAAACCTCCTAATCATGTTCAGATCACCCTTAAGGGCTTGCTGGAAAAACCTGATTAATGAATCCTTTTTTTAATTATTTTTCCTGTCAGCCAAAAAGGGGAAAAAAGTTCATACAAAGTTTGTGCTCATAGATGTTGTGTGAGCTCCTGTCTATTTCAAATTAACTGGCAAAAACTTAGAGCCCTGAATTTTACCTAACACACATATCACAACATCCAATTAAGCAGGGCCAAACATGCTCTCTTGAAATTCCATCATCACCACGATACAAACACACAACCTCCCCACAACAGGATAACACATCAAAGCTCCATACAGGCCTCTATTTAATAAAACATTCAGCTGGTCAGTGTTGTTTATGTACTCACGATGACCAAGATATGCTCAGAAAATTGTGATGGAATTTATCACAATATCACGTTGTTGTATCACCCATCCCTAATCAGGGCTCATAGAAAGTTTGACAAACTAAAACAGAAGCCGCACTGAAAAATGAGTAATAATATCTCACAGGGCAAGGCCCAAAACATTTCATACAGTTAGGGGTTCTGAAGTCCCCTGTCATTGCATGTAGGAATGCCTTGTGTGGACGTGCCAGAAGACTCAGCTGGTTTGAAAAGAGATGCAGTACCTCGTCCTGACTCGTCGCAGCCCCTTCCTCAGCACAACCCAGCACGGACTTCTCAGTGTCCATGGAAACTGAGATAGCAGTTGACATGGAGAGGGAGCTGTCACTGTGGCTCTCATCACTTTCACCTTCTTTCCCTTTATCTGAGGAGAAGGAGAAGAGAGCGAGGGAGGCCCGCTCATTAACTGGCGTCGGGTGCACGGAACATGGACATTTAATTTAGAGACTCACACATCAGTTTCAATTACTGTTTATTAACAGCAACTTGACTAATTCGACTAATTACGTCTTAAATTGGATGATGTGTCAACACTTGTAAGAAAGCACAAAAATAGTTCACAGGACCAAATGATGGCAAATTGCCTTTAATTTGCCACAAGAACTCTCACGATTAGTACATACACAACCTCTTTTCACCTTTTCTGCCTTGCACTGACATGACCATATCTTGCACTTTCTTGTAACGCATAAGAGACTGCCGAAGCTCCTCAATCTTGCGATCCTGTGGAGCAGGTAAGAGGAATTATCATAGATTGACATAAACCATCAAAAACACCAAAAAATGAAATTAATTCAAGGGATGGAGGCACCTTCTCTTCATTGGCTGCCATGAGTGATTCAACTGCTTTCTTCATTCTCTGCACTTCCATGTCTGCAAAGTACAGGCTATGTAGTAAAATCAGGGGCCAAAACAAGAACCTGACAGCTAAAGCAACATTTGAACACACTGACACAAGACAGACAACAACAGATCATAAATCTCATTAACAGAGAGAGTTGAGGTCCAACAGTGACCTTTGAGTGCAGTGTATACAGTGGAGGAGCTCCATTGGGTCTACTGTGAGAGTGCACACAGCCAGAGTGGACAGCGCTGGTCTCCAGCCTGAGAGGTACCTCTGGTTAGAGGTCACAGCACTGCTGCTAATGACTGAGCGAAGGTGACAAAAGAACAGATAGAGGGAGGTGACAGAGGAGAGAGGTGCTGAGAGCAGCTGGAGGGTAGTTGAGGTGTTACTGTTAAAGGAGACAAGCAAGAAAACACAGGCTGCTTGTTGGACACAAGGGTGTGGACAGGACACATCCAACATGCTGAACGGGCTACTACAAACTGTCTCACTAATCAGGAGCTGATTTAGACCTTGGTCCTAATGCTTAATGCTTTTAAGGCCGATATCCTATATTTTTCTTGTATTTTCCCCCTGAGGCCCACGTATAACATTTGCGTGGGTTTATGTACCTAAAAATAGATGTAACTTATTTTTAAATTAAACTGGCTTCAAGACAAAATAGGTTTAAATATCCCAATCAAATTACATGTATGGTTGATTTTCTATGTGAAAAAAGTTAAAACATCTTTTACAGAGAGCACACATAAATATGCCTTTTTGCAGAGTTTAGTGCTCAGTTTCCATTTATTTGCAAAGTTTAACAAATTGGAAAAAAATAGGACCTAAAATTTAAATACAGAAAACATAAAATGTTTTATTTTTTCCCCCCAACATGGTAAATTTAGCAAATAAACAGTAATTGTGCATTAAAATGTGCAGGTGTGTGTTCTGCAAATGACTGTATAAGTAAACAGTCTATCTTCTGAATGTCCTGTATTGTGCCTCATTTAAAAAGCAGTCCAGTTTTATGACATTGCAAAAACAGTGAGTTTAAAACAGTGTTTTTGCACCTTAGTTTTCCTATATGGACCTGGGAATGAATGGTTTGATTTTAACAATTTTTATACTTTACATCATTTTTCATGATATCAGCCCTAAAAACAATTTCTTTCCTCATGTTTCCTTCTCAGAGTAACCTGTGCTTGTTTTAACTGGTTCAGTGATGAACACTTCTCCTTCGTTTCACAGAAAAGCAAGCATAATGAGTACATACATGCAGACTGTGAAAGAAGAACAGAACTAAGCAAGGAAACGATATATAGGCATAAATAAATGCATAAAAGGTAAACCTCCCTTACGTTTCTCTTTGAGCCTCTTTTTAAAAGTTTCCTCTGTATGGTAGACTGTATAAGACAGAGTAATGAAATACAATATCTTTTGTTACTGCTTCTGTCAAAACACTGTCCATTATTAAATGGAAACAGACATGCAGCAGTCATATAGAGTCAAATAAAAAAATTAGAAATATAAAATGCAAAAATGCAGTCTATTACAACCTCTTGTATTTTTCACCAAGGGGTAGATGTTAGCGCCATAACATTGCACTGACACATCAAAACCTGGCCCTGGACTAGGGTATTTCCTAGAGCATGCTGAGGCAGGTGATGTGGCTATGAGTAACAGTGGCTTAGCCTGACCCACCTCTCTCGGTGCTTTCTAAGCCTGCAGGCGTGGGTGATCTGGACCCTGTCTCATCCTGTAGCCTCCTCAGTTCTCCATCTCTGCCATCCAGCTGCCTTCTTAAGGTAATCAGCTCCTCCTAAAAAACACACCCATACATACAAATCATGAGACACTGGTTACTTTGATGAGCTTACATGTTACATCAACACCACAGACAAACAAGCCATGACCACATTTCATAAGTTATGCAGCAGAGATATAACACAATCTGTGTGCAGATCTGTACATGTGCAAATACTCCACAATAAAAAAAAAATATATATATATGTATGTATATATATATATATATATATATATATATATATAAAAAAAAGAATGAAAACGTTTTACAGTAAACTACCAGATAGTTGGGACTGAAAGCCAATCAAGCAGCAAAAAGAGGTCAGCATATGATTTCTGCACATTACAACGAAGAAAATCCATTTTCTCTGTTGATTCAACAGCAGGTGACCATAATTCTGAACAAACTTGTCTTTTTTTTCCTTTCTGAAAGGTACTCTGTCAGCCTACACACAACCAAACAGTGCAGTAGAGTCTGCAAGTAACTGGACAGTGAACAATTTTTGTTTTGGATTTGTAACTCTATACTACATTTGTGAACCACACAAGACTAGCCACCTTTTCCAGGGGGCCATAAGTAATAGCTGTTTTTCACTGATACATAACAAGCCAGGAGAGTTCTGGGGCAGTCTTATTTTTGACATACACCACACATAAATTCTCTTACCATAAAAATGAAAGGGAAAAAAAAGGAATTACTCATGATTCAGATCATTCCACCTCATCTGTACAACATTGTATATGTGGAACTGGCTCACTTGTCTGTATGATGTGACTGCTCATATTCAGAAGCATGGAGAAGCATCCTAAAGGGGCATTCTGGTCTAAAACTGGCATTTAATGTATCTGTTGTGCGCAGCATTGTATCCCTCAGCCTCATCAGTCTGACAGAATCCATGATTCTGTATCACTACTGTTTTCATTCATAAATGTTCTCTCACTAGAACACCCAGCTGGAATTACACAAAAAAACATCATAAACCCTGTGGTGTCAAGCAATCCTGACTGCTTGCCTAGGCACTGATGTAAAGGCTGATGAATGCAGATGTGATATCCAGCTTCCACGCAGTAATGTTAGCTATCTGGCTTCCTTCTGCATTAGCTAGGTAGGAAGCCAGATAGCTGGGTATGTGGCAAAGTCTTTGTGTTTTGCTGACTGCTATGAAATCCTGCATGCACATCATGGTTAATGTTCTTTCTTGTTTGATTGACTTGGGTTTCTCTTTGTGATTGTCTTATCTGCTGTGACCAATGTAACACAATGTAACTTAATAATATCAATAACTTGATTTCAAAAACTAGAACCTGATGGAGCCATATACAGACTGGGATTGGGATGGGGAGGCTGGTCCTAGAACATAACAAAATGCAGATAAATTGCATGCATGGTCAACACAAAAATTAAGCAATTAGCCTTATTTGGAGCTTAAAAATCATTGTTGTGTTGGTGACATGTTAAGCCATTCCAGCACACTTCAGACGTATTAATTGCAATGTCAAATTGAAATATAAAGTGTTTATCAGTAAGCTGCTGATAAGGTAGAATGAAGTACTTGATATGTATAGCTATAAGTTTCAGTATTATAAGGAACTATAGTGCAAGTCAAACACTTAAATAAAATGCAGGTATGCTTTCACAATAGAATAAAAGTTTGATTTGTGTTTTGACATTATTCCACCTAATTACATAGAACCCAACTGACATGTCAGCTGGCCAAAAATATTAATAATATCAACAACCAACAGTTTTATTGACATCTGCAAAAATATTTCAGGGTGATTAACAACTTTTTCAGTCAAGACATCTCCAGGATTCCAACTCAAAAGCCCAACAGAAGGTCCCTGTTTAACTATATGACAACAATTCAGGCTAAACTACTGCTACAGTATTTTTTTATTGTATTACTATATAACTGACAACAAAAATCAGTCTAAACTATTAAATCAGCTGACAGAATTATCATCGGTACTGGCCACTAAAATTTCATATTGGTCAGGCCTAATAATAAACAGACTGGCACATTTGGAGGTGAATATCTACTTTAAGAGTAAATATGTAAAAATACTGCCTGACAAGGTGAACTGGTATGTGTGTGTGTGTGTTTGTGTACACTTTTTATAAAACAACAACAAAACAACAGCATCAAACAGTCACCCTGAGGTACGCCAACCTTGAGTGCCTGGATTTTGTGTTCCTTCCTCTGTTTTTCATACTGCATCTGGCCCATTTTGATTTTCAGGCTAGACAGCTTAGCCATTAGCGACTAGCAGTGGAGAGGTTAGCCAGGAAGGAAGAGAGAAAGAGAGAAATTTAAGAGATGAAAAAGACACTTGTAGAAGGAAAAAGGGGGTGAAAAGAGAGTCAAGCCAAGTAATAACAACGATCATGGAAGGAAAAGGAAAAACTGTAGTGAAAGAAGAAATCTATGAAGTGAAAACATTAAAGCAGTGACCCCTGACAGCAACACTACTCAGATCGAGACTGAACTAAAAGCTTACCTTAGTGGACTTCAGTTTCTTCTCATTCTGTAACCGTTCAGTCTCCATTTCAGAAACCCGATACCGCAGCTCATTGATCTCCAGAATCAAACCCTGAAGAGAAAAAAAAAACTATTTTACCACCAGTCCCAAACAGATCTATGAACAGTTGGTCAACATTTGTGAAGAGGAGAGTGTTAAGGTGACACTGAGCTACTGCACTAAAATATCCAATTTTACTGCATTTGTATCCCGATACGAATACATTTTTTATTTCTCCACAACACTAATCCAGGTGGATCTAGTCCCAATTTATATGTTTTAGAAATATAAACGGTCAGCCTCAAACATAGGCATCTGCCCACAATTTCCATATCTGTGTAAGTCTACTTGTGATTCATTCAGTAAAGCCCACTGTTGCATTTAACATTATGTACTCAAGCAGCATAAAAGCCTAAACGCACAACAATCTGACATATTTAAATCTTAGAACATAAAAGTTCAGTATCTCAAAGGGAGGAAAACAAGAGCCCAGTGACAGTGACTTCCATTCAGCACTGGGGCCTTTCGGGGACGAGCTCTTTGTCAGAGTGTCCAGCATTCAGCAAGAGATTTATGATTCAATAAACAGCCTGAACTGCCTGAAGTCATAAACACTTTATACCACTGCAAATTTTACACAGTGTAAAAACAGACATCTGCATTTAAATGATGGTGAGATAGCTGAGGAAAGCCTACATATTCTTGACAAAATAGGTGAAACTGTTTAGGATATGGTCACGATTAAACCAGCTTCATGCCTTAACATTATTCTAGTTTAAGCCTCCAGCTACTAGAAGACAAAAATAGCATCTTTAAGGGAACAGCATGCAGCCATTAAATCATGGGACACAGGAAACAGGCCTGACCTTCCTTATCCTTAACAAATGCACCAACTATCCTACTCTCTAAAAAACAATCCACAGTTCTGGTAACAGTTCTTGTATACTCGTTTAAGGGTGTAAAAGTTTTGTCCGCAGACAGAAAACCATTTAAAGTGTTCAGTGCTATGCTGAAGAAGGAAAAAAAAGACTTATCCCTGTGTTTTAATCACTTTTGGTTGGAGGTGATGGGTGAACACACGTGCAGGGAAGGGTCATCTCTTAGTCCCTAATCTGAGAGCAACATCTTTAAAAAGGAGCATCTGTTCAGACTCAAAGTTCTCCATCTGCTTTTTGCATTACTGGATAAGCAGCTACTCATTCTGGCCAAGGTGATGGAAGCAACTTAAACCTTAACTTTAAGCGCAACAAAAAAATGTGCTGACAAAAATATAATTTTAGCACCACCTCACTCTCCCACCATTTTACAAAGAACATGAGGCATCCATCTGTTTTCAGCAAGTCCTTCGCTATCCATAAAGTCACCACATGTGCCTTTCCACAGCGCTGGTACAAACCCTTCCCATAGTCCTACGCTCAACACCCACTCTCAGGAAACTCAGCGTTCGACTCCCAGACTTGCACATCCACAAAGGGAGCAAAGCTTCCACAGTAATAACTACTTTCCAGAGAGAAGAAAAGCCACCCAAAACAATTTTGGAGAGGAAATGGCTTTTGGCAGAAACTGTCTTTGCTTTAGCCTTTGTCCAGACAGCAAGTGAAGCACAACATGGATAAATGCCTGCCAATCCAATGGACTGGAAGAGACCTGAGCATTTCAACAACACAATGCGTGACTGAAAGTAACCAAGTGCCATGCAAATTTCATTAAAGTTAAAAACAAAGAAAATCTTCTTTCTGTTTCAAACTTCTTTCATAACATTCTTTCATGATAATTGCTGCTGATATATATAAAAAGGATATCTAGGGACATAAAAAATGAGACATCTTACCTACTACAAATTGCAGAGGGATCTATATAAAAAAAAAAAAAATAAAAAATTCTCACCTCACTATCCCTGAATCGTTCATCAAAGTCTATCCTGTCTTTTTCCATGGCAGTCAGCTTCAGTTTCAAGTTGGAAACCTCAGCCATCAGCTCCAGCTTTTGGGTCTCCAGGGCTGACCTGAGGAGGAGCTCCTGAAAGCAAAAGAGGGGCAGAGAATTCAAATGTATGGCCAGCACATACGAAAGATCTAAGTAGTGGTTATAGAAATATGCCACAGTGCAGAAGGTCACTACTTTGACAATCTCAGCAGAAAACGTAAGTTGGCTCATATTCTGCCAGCTCCAACTGTACCCTCTAACAAGGTACCAAACGTTCTCCAGCTCCACAGCTACCATAAAAATGCTTTTTGCTGAGCTACAATAATTGTTCCTCCATGAGTTCCACTGTACTGCACACAATTCACTACACATATGGCAAAAAATCCAAGAGAACCAATGAGCAAAAAATAATTCTGTGTGTATGTATATATATATCAGCATGGTGAAACCTCTATTTAACTGGATTTAATTATGTACAATATGAAAGTTAGCCTGAATTCTGAAGTAAGATAGCAGCATTTTTCTTTGGCTTTGTGAAGCAGCAAAAGTGGTGATTGCCTCCAGCCATGCAACTAACCTGCTGTAACATTTCCTCAGTGGCATTCAGTTTTTCGCGGTGTTCCTCAAGGCACATATCTAGGTCTCTTATCTTTTCTCCTTGAGCTTCCACTTGGTCCGTCAAAACACTGACCTGCAATGCATTATTTTCACTTAAAGCAATTAGACAACTATTATTCAGTTGTACAAAATCTATGAAATACTGTCTGGTAACCAAACATTAACCAAAAAGTTTTCTGAGTTACCTGAAGAACAAGGGATTCCTTGTCACTTTCAAGACGATTAAGTCTGTCCTGGTAAATGTCACCAGTCACGGAAATGTGTCCATTTGACTGTATCAAAAAATGAGATAATTTAAACATATTTAAAGTATAAAATAACAAGCTTATTACTACAAATTACTAAGACAATTTACATTAGTAACGGGTACATTGAGAAAATCATGCAGTTAAGAGAAAATCACAAATGTAAAGAAAGAAGAGCATTTCAAAAAATGACAATGAAGGATTTCGAAGCTGTGTGTCCAATCCAAGTGTTTTCCATGAGCTCTTTGTTCTCATAACACCACCTTAAATGGTGAATGGACTAACAAATCCCTGAGTAAACAGACTGAGTTATGGTATTACATGCTGACTCTGGCATTCCTTTGGCAGACATCCAAACCCCTCTCTCTTAGCATACAGTCAGAACTGGTTTCTTGGTAAAGATAACCATTATCTGCGTATCAGAATATTCAGATATAGCATGCTAACTAAAACATTTCCAACTGCCTTAAATAACCCGCTCAACTGGCAGCTGAAATATGACTGCACTCGAAATATTACTGCAAAAAACAAAAGCATTAGTATGTATAAGCATTTCTGTATAAATTCCAGTTCTATTTACAGCATAGCAATACCATACTATTATTACTATTTGCCTGTATCTAGTAACGAACAGCAGTAACATGACACTGTTATGAAGGCAGAATGCGTACCAGGTGGCCATGCAGCCACTCCACCAGGCAGTCTGCGGTGGAGTCGGGAATTTGGCAGCGTAGTCCTTCTCTCTCCTCCGAGTCCATGAGCTCCAGGACCCCCCTCAGATCCTCAATCAGGTGCAGGGCCCGCAGGCCTCCCATGAACGGGGAGGTCGGAGACTGACAGTCAAAGATGCCATTGGAGTAGTCTAGTGCCTTGGAGCCTGTGAGATATTGACAGCATGTCATTGTTACTCATTCAGATGTGTCCACTGCGATGACTTAAGAACAAATAAAAGAAAAATGGCATATTCGAGGAACTTAGCCAAAAAAAAAAAAGTTGAATGTTTTCATCACAGTTCATGCAATGCTTAATGCAAGCAACATAGCAGTTCCCAACTTGAATTTATTTATTAGTTAATTCCAAAGAAGAATTCGTGTTCTCAGCACTCTACAGCACCGCCAAGCAAGTTCAAAATGAGACCTCTTTCAACACAAAAATTCTCACAGTGCAGCACTAAGGAATGATTATATCTGACTTAAGACATAGTCATGAAAAATATGATTATCTAACACTGTGGAACAAAACAGTGTGCCCTTCTACTAAGCCTTGAGGGCAACTCTTTGACTATAGGCCAGAGTAGAGGAGTCTGAAATAGACCAGAATAAAGGCTATAGTTACCGAGACCTCGAGGCATCATGTGATGTGACAGGCTACTTCTACAAGAAATGCCATCCCCATAATTAACTAGTGCTGAAAAACAGTAGTACTTCACAAGCCTGTTCAGTGAACTGAGCATCAACTACTGTTGAATCTCATGACTATGAATGTTGCAGGATACCATACCATTTAAACACTTTTCTTAGCTCTTAGTCATAGTTCAGACACTGTACAACAGCCTTGTTCAGATATTTACAACAAAAAAATCCTCAACAGGTCATAGATTTCAGAGAAAATCAGCACAACTCATGGTACACAGCAGGTGCATGGTGCAACTGAATTCTGCCATTATTTCTCTCTGAATTTTCTCTGAATATCTGCACTAGATATACAGAGCTTGAATTACCTGCAATGATGCCATCCATCTGCTCCAAGGCAGCTGCCAACATGTCACTGGCATCAGACATCATCTTTAGTCTACCAAATTTACCCTGGAAGGAAAAAAACGTGAACAATGCAAATTACATGAAAATGTACATTTGTAACCATTAACGTGTCCTACAGTTACTCAAAGTAGCAAATCTTTATTCTCTCACACATACAGAAGCCAATCATCTAGCAAAGAGCACTTTCAGTGAGAATGTGAGGGATGGCCAAACGAGCAAACAGAACCTATAGTTTAAACCAAGGTGATGTGACAAGAGGACGTGCACGGTGGCAGAATAAGAGGAGCAGCAGTTTGTTGGTTAATGTTCTTGAAGGACTGACGATATAATCAAAAAGCATATCATGTCGAAATTTAGCACAATAATGATACATACCATCATATTGCTCACCCTATTTTGTACATGTATCACCTGATCAGATCATGATCTCATTAGCATGCTTGTCATTTTCTCCTTCCAAACATGGACCCCACCACAACAGGTCTGTATAGTCAACTGCACAAGACTGAGAGGCTCTGGCTTGCTGTGTTCCTGTTTTATTGTGCTCTAGGACATTAAATCTTTTGGGAGAAAGCCTGGATGATTCTTAGCTTGTCTGCTGTTCCTTGGGTTACCCAGTTAGGATACAACCATTGGCCACAGATTTGAAAGAATAATTGAGCCTTTTACCTCCATTACTGGCACAGTTTTCGTGCTGCTGCATGGGACACAGGGCACTCTGTTGAGGGACCAGTGGAGGCACAGAGTGACGCTCTTTTGGACCAACACCCAAGAACACAGCAGCGTCTTTATCTTAGTCTCACTCCTCCGAACAAACAAATGAAGGGCAACCCTGTCATGTTCTCATATCCTCCCCACCACTGTAGATAAAGTTCTAGGCTAAAATGCCACACCATATATGCAACTTCCAAAATAAATCAGTTGTGAAACAGCCGGTAAGGCCACCACTGTGCTTCATACTACTAGAGTGAGATTTATTTTACTGTACTCAGATCCCTTTTTGATAACCTATGTCAGGGGAATTCCATGATTTCCCTTTGGGGATAAATATAGTACAGTTTTGTGCAAAACTCAGAAATCACTCTTCATTTATTTCAATTCTAGTCAAAACATGTGGTTAAAAGAAGTTTTAGTACTTAGTGTGTCTACCCTTACCCCTTTATTACAGCTCCCATTCTTTTCAGGAGACTTGCTTTCAGTTTTTTAAAGAAATCTGCAGGGATATTTTACCACACGTGCAAACTTTGGTCTTGAATTTTCTGCTTCTCATAATCAAAATAATCTCAAACATATTTAGTGATGTTAAGGTCTGGGGTGGTCAGTCCATTGTTCTGAGAACACAGCAGCTTCTTTGTTTAATTTGCAAATTTTCTTCTTTTTTCGTCTATTTCCTTTTTCTTTGTAACGGCTTCTTGACAGCTACACATGCTTTCAGACTCACAGCACTGAACTGTCTTCCCACAGTGGAAGAACAGACAAACATCTGTGGATTTTTTCTGATCTGAAGCAAGAGCAGAGCTTGATTATCTCCTCTCTCTAAAAGATGAAAGTTTTAAGCATGGTTTATCTGATGATGACAGGTTTGGCTGTATACCAGATCTTTTTGCATTCTATTTTTTCCTCTTATTACCCTATGGTTTTCCTTTGCCTTTTGTGAGTGGTTTATATATTCTTATATGTAATCTCTTCAGAAATAACTCCTGGAAAATGAATAATTTGAACTTAATGATTAAAGAAAATGTGTTCTCTAACTTTTGCTCAGTACTGTACATCTCTCTATCTATCTAGGTGGGAGATTTAACTACACTGAAGCACAATACTGGCTTTGGACTGTTATTCTTCACAACACATCAGCTTGTGATTTTCCAGGTTGGAGAAACTGTTTAGTCACCCAGCTGAATGGTGAGTTTTATTTAAACAGCTGGTCTAACACACTGGTGACACCCAGCATTCAGGTGGCGGTTTTCACTTTTATGCTCTCGATGTTTTATAGAAACCACCCACAAACACACCACATGAAGGACAAAAAAACCATGTTAGAGTAATGTGTAAACCAACGCCCAATACAGTGGCTTAGAAACGCCTAGGTAGACCAACGATTTGAGGTGATTCCGCTGGAAGGACCACTGCTCTGCTTTACAACAGCTATGAACTGACAGAGCAGTCCCTATGAACCCCTGTGACCTCAAAATTACATGGTAAATGCTGTTTTGAGTTAATTACTATTTTGTAGGCATTTCTTTGAAAAGAAGAGGAAACTTGAGGCATTAATTTGTCAAGAGACCAATTCTGTCAAGCCTGTCTAGCTTATCTAGGCAAGTGGGTTTGACAGAAATCCTTTCAAGCAGTGTCTTTTCATAAAATCCCTTTATCTTCAAATAATGTAAATCCAAAGGCCGCAGTGAGTTCTGAATTTGTAAACATTCTGGTTTTGCAGCCATCACATTTCTGTCAAATGAAATGGGATTCAAAGGCCTTTCTGCACCACAAGCAAAACAGTACAAACCCAAAAACATTTGAGGCATTTCAGCAGTGTTCAAAACGCCCATAGACCAAAGCAGAATACCTCACACATTTCATATCTGTGATGAAATTCGTCATGTTCCAAGAAACACAGCCATTGGTACATGGTTAGACTTTATTTTCAGGCAATGATTTTGACTTGACATGTTGCATTATTGAATAAGCGGCGGAAAAAATAGGGAGCATGAAGTCAGTCATCCCTGAGGATCAGACAACCACAAAGATGTTATGAAAAAGCACTGACTGATGCAAGTCATGCATTCTTCTGTCATGCATGCTATCATTCAGATTACACAGTGAAAATGTGCAAGATCTAGATGTCATTGAAGAAATCTTTGACAGTTTGAACTGAAAACAAGTCACTGTATGCTGGCATGAAAGTGGAATTAGTCTAGAAGATTTGCTTGTGTTGTCTCCTCAGCCCACAGTCAGCTGCTATAGACTAAACAGCGTTCAGAAGGCATGAAGTCTTCAAGGTCAGGGTAAACATGTTGTTAGTGATTACTGGGTTCTCACTGAAAGGACAGTGCTGCACTATGGTTGCTGAACTGCTGTTCAAAGGATCAAAGAGTGCTGAAAATGTGAAGGAGACAAATAAGCATTACGCCTTTTGCCTGCGTAAGTCAGAACTTACAACCAAAACAATTTACTGAGACTAAATGCCTAGATGAAGTTACATCAACCTAATGAGAACACCTGGAGCATTTTATCATGTCCAGAAACAAGTATTATTCTAAACCTAACATCTACAGCAAGAAAAATACAGCATGCAGATTAGACAGGCATTTCAACTCTCATGCATTCCACTGTTTTAGCATTTGTTAGGCCTGTCACATTTATTACATAATCACCTGATCACAGTTATTTGCGAGAACCACAATTATTTTCCACACTCGTTAGATTTCACAACTTTATGTCGCAACAAATAGAATGTGAACTGTGTTTACAATTGCTGTGAAGAAGCAAATGCATGTGAATAAAACAAAGCGGAAAATGCATTAACTGAGATACCTTATGGGTATTTCAAAAACAACAAACATTCAAACTTCTGACCTGATGCTGTAGCACCTTTAGAGGGCAGCGGTGAGTAATGTTTGTTTATTTGAGCTCAAGCTGTGTCCGTCCTCTGTTGGGAACTACCAAGTCTAGACTGATAGGAAGCAAATATTTATATATACGCTATATCTTACTTTAATAAATAAAGACAATTAAATTGTCAGTCGCATTTTTTTCGAATATTTTTACGCCAACTAGTCATCAGCTAAAACTTCCTGGTCATGACAGGCCTACCAAATGTCACTATCGATTATATTAGTAACTGAGTAATCTAACGATTATTTTGATGGGTAACTGAGCATCATGGGCCGAACAATAAAAATGAACTTAGAAATAACAAACCATACATAACATTTCAAACATTACAAAGTACGATACTTAAAAGAGATAAAATAGGAAGGCTTTAAAAAGACTTCATTAAAGAAAATATAGCATTGAAATCCATCAGGCTGCGTTTCGTTACTGAAAGACAGACCAGAGGAAGAATTTCAAATGCGCATCATCATCATGCAAATTGTTAAAGCTACACTTTGCAAGTTTTGGGGGTTTGCAGACCTCTTTGGTGGAAGTGTGCAATAGCACGCAATGCATGGAAGAACATTTTCTAAGCCAGCTGTTCTAGTTCAGACCCCTCCCCTGAGTGGATGAATCTGATAATTGCAAGTGCACTGAGAGAGTATTCATAAAGAACTGTCAAGACTTGATAAATGACATGGTGTTCTGAGGTTTTAAGGGGATTATCTACTATTGTTTTCATATCTTCCTTCTTTTTGAGTGTAACATTAATAACATAAAAACATAGGACAAGTCTGGAAAACTCCAATGAAATCTGACCCAACAACTCTGACTTTTAAATTATTATTTCAGGCTTTAGAGGGTGACTCGCAGCAGCAGTGTACACAATATTTTATTGTGATTTTTCTTCTAAGAATAATGCAATATTCTTCGCTGATAATGTACAATTTTAAGGCTGATTTTTTAAAATTGAGTTTAGTCAAGTAATTGTAAAAGCTAAATGTTATAGTGTTTTGATTATGTCTGTCCTATAAAACAGTGTTCACAGGTAAAGCTCAGTGTCTTCTCACTTTGACTTGTTATGGGTTTTACAACCACACACCCCCCCCACACACACACATTCATGCTAGTACACATTGCTTTGCATTGCAGATTCTTGCAGCGCTGGAATTTCCTCTCGTAGCTGGAACACAATGGCTCCCAGCCCGGGCAATGATAACACAAGTTCTTTGTGATGCTCATCACTATCACAATCACTGCACAGAACTCCACGAGATTCTGGAATCACTGCTATGGGCATGTGGGGATACTGTGCATTCCAGATACATGTGGTCACTGGAATTTCACATTACAGTGAGGCCGAACACAGGAAAACAATGAATTTCACCAGAACGTAGATGTATTGTGCAGAAGAAGAAGACTGTCTACCAAAAGAAAAAAAAAATCATTTTATGGACTATAGTAAAGATGGGGCATTTTTTTCTTTTGTAATTACTTCTATAGCAAACAGAAAAGTTGGGAGGGGTGTAAATGTTAATTTAGATCTGAGCTGAAAGACCAATTTCTTCAGTGGTGTCACACTTTGAAGCTAGTCTTACAACCTAACTAGCAAAACTATTTCGGTACTCTAACTCAATGGAAACAGCTGACTCTTACTACTCAGAATGCAAATATTTCCCTCCATTTCGCTCTCCCTCTAAGCACGCCTTAGAGCAATAGTCATGCTTTCCTGCAATGGAGAGTAACAAGCGTGAAAAAGAAAAAGAAAAAAAAAGCCTAATGGCCTCTGAGATCCATCAGGCTGGGTGCCTCTGGGCTACACTTCACTGGCTCTGCTGTATTAACTACTGTCCTACTATGAACTCCAAACTGGCTGACAGAAACAAACCTTCACTGGCACATGCTGGGAAAAAAATACCAGCCTCCAGGTCTTTTGTCTGGAAAAAAAAAATACAAGTATTTGTGGCAGGCAAGTCCTAGGTCAGCAAGCTTGCTTGAAGTCATGCATGTAGGAGCAGAAACTAGTAGCACGGGCAGGAAAAATCGAATAAAACTCTTCAGATTCTAAAGCACGCATAGTACAGATCCCATATCATAACAACTGTGTTAAGAAAGTCAATGTGTCTATACCCTTCCTTACCACAAACCAGCAGTCAGATATTCCTTATCAACATGCTCAAAAATGTGCCATGTGACAAGCACTCAAATGTCAAGCTTTTAATTATAACTCAGGGGGTAAACTGCTGTCTTATTTTGGTTTAGGCCTGGCGCCACACTTTATAGAGAGAAACATAAGCTGTTCTGATTTCCAGTTTTTAACACAGTGCACCACTGTAAGCCCATAAGAGCAGCACATTTCTTTCCAGCTATGGCACACAGGTGACATTACACAGCCTAGGACAGAGTTAAGTAGGGAATGTTGTCTTTTCACAGTACACAAAAAAGTTAAAGGAGGATAGGATCAATGACTACATGCTTAAAAACTACGGTTCTTCAAGGGTTCCTCAGTAAAGGCATCAGTTCTATTTAGAACCATGAGCTCTATATAGAACCATTTTCATGCTAAAACAGAAGATGATATGATTCTTCAGATTGAGGGAGAATGTACTGTATGTGGCTCTATATAGAAGCTTTTTGAAAATCGTTCTACATAGCAACAACAAAGGTTTCTTCCGTTGCCACAAGCTTTACATATTCTATTGTTACAAGCTTGACATCATAACAGATGCAAAGAACCATTTAAGCATGAAATGGCTCTATCTAGAACTCATGGTTGTAAACAGAACCACCGCCTTTACTAAAAACCCCTGAAGAATCGTCTTTTTAAGTGTGTAGGCCACTCTGAGTGTTACTAAGATATTTTAAACACAGGCAGCCAATCAATACAGGGACTGTCAGCTCTTATACTCACGGATGTCGATCTGACCCTGATTTTAAATAAGCCATAAATAACAGGCTCCTATTCCAAGCCAGACTGACACAGAAGAATATCACTTATTTCAGACCCTCTCAACTGCATGGAAGGGAGATGAGCTGCTTGGCTATCTATAGCATACTGTAAAAAAATCATGAAGTCCACTCCGCTTAGGTAAACATCTCTTTGCTCGTACACAACCACAGTGAGAAAACAGATCAACAAATCTGCATCGACAAATGAGACATATTCATATTTCCACGCTTCAGTTTTTGTGCACAGCACATAAATGTACATACTGTACAACAGATCCATCTACATAGAGAAAACACAGTAATGCTGCAAACAAGTATGTTTCTCTCAACAAGCATATTTGGATCTTATTTAAAAAAGGAAGGAAAAATACAGCTCAATCCAGCATTTTGTGAATGGTAGTAGAACAGTCAGTGTTTGGCACTGCAGCTCTTACATTGCCTAAACTGATCGGTCATTTCTAACATGTAGCAGAGCATTCTGACTGTATATTTTCATTCATACTGTTTATATGCATAACTGTGTGCCATATTTCCTCATTACTGACTGTTATTGAAAAACACCTGAAATACTACTAAAGCAGCACTGCAGTGCTGTTTTATAGCAAGCTATAATGCTTATGTAGCATTCTGTAGTTACACCTCAGCAACTGCCTGCATTTACTTTAAGATTCTTACAATAATGCTGTATAAATCTGTACAGACCCACATTATAAATGTGCCAAGTGTCTGGAAAATATAAATATGTATGTATGTATGTATGTATGTGTGTGTGTGTGTGTGTGTACACACACACACACACACACACATAATATAAACTGTAAAAAAACGATTCTTGCCAGGTGAAATGATTCTTCAGATTGAAGGAGAATGTGTTGTAAATAGTTGTGTATAGAATATATATACACATCAAAAACATTATATATCAATGCCAGTAACAGACACTAAATCAAACCAGACTTCTTGTGATTTACTGAGTGCGGAGACAAGTACACTTTTTCCAGTTCATTCATATTGCTGTATGTGGCTGGCTGAATAACAGCTTCTCCGTGTTAGAGCAGGTAAGGGAAGCACAGACGGCCTGGAGAAATGTCTCCATACTCCCAATGGGAACATTAAACCGCCTGTTTCCGTCGTGATTACGTGGAAGACAGCCTAAGTCTGCCACAAACACTTTAGTCGTCCAGTTACCGAAAACTCATGACTTCTTTTCAGGTATTCGATGGAGAGAGTAGATAATAACCACGGCATCTTCTCTCTCTAAAAACATTTAGTCAGCGGTAACGGCCAAAGCGTTTCTGAGGAATCAGATGAAGACCCTCGGGCATCGAAAACAGTGGCTACATTACATTACTGCCGTCACAACTAGTCGTTAAAGATAAATACATGTCATATCTTCATCGGTCTTAGCCAACTTTTCGGTTCAGTAATACGACAATAACCTAATACATAAGGTAGCCTGTCTGCCGAGTAGACTACACTAAGTACACTTAACAAGTTTTGAAAGTAGTGTCTCAGAAGTAAGTTAGACTCGGCTTGTTTACAGAAACAGCTACTTTAAAAAGAACTTACCAAAAGTTGAACTGGCGTCTACAAATCAAACGATGATGTGCGGTGAATCAGGAACGTCTCTCGCCTCTTTATTTTTTTTATTTTTACAGGGTTTGTTCTCCCAACAGCACTTCGTGCTCCCCCTCACCCTGCGCCATGTCGACAGGGAGATGTGGACGTGACTGCGTCACTGGTTGGGAAAAGCCCGCCCCAAATCCAGTGGGATTGGCACGAGAGTCGCTATAGGCAGTTCTGTGGAGCCAAAGTGAAGCGAGTTTCCGAGTTTCCGAGTTAAGATTTAAGGCTGAAGTTATAAAGAGCTGAGACGGGCACGTAACTCATACTAACTCGTGCTCAGACTCGGGGATGCCACTCTGCAAAAATGAGATCTGATAAGTTATAGCCACCTCAAATAACTTGTTAATGTATTAATGATTATTGGTAAGGAAACATTATAAATATTCTCACTATTCCGTCTTTCCGTGTTCTGTCTTAGCGTTTCCCGCGCAGTTGAATTTGACGATGATTTTGTAGCTTAAAATCACCTCTGAAGTCGTCAAACTACGCAACTTTTATTCGAATAACTGTTATGTTAGTTGTAATAGAGGTTGTAAACTGGCTTATAAACAAAATCCATTTTTTCCAGTTGAGCTCTAGTAGTCCGCTGGGTTGCTGAAATAAACATGGCGGAGCTCCAACGGTCTGCAGCTAAAAGTACATCTTTTAGCAGACTAGCTAGCTGTACGTTTAATGTAGTAAACTGGTGTAAAAATGTACATTATTCATGAATATGTAAACAACATAGCTTTAGCAAATTAATAATAAATATGCAGTGGTAAACTGGTGTGTTAGTTGGAGCCTCACATCCACTACATACCCACACCTGTCAAGCATAAGTCATGTAATCTTCATAGACATTGTCAGTAGAAAATGGATCATACTGAAGAGCTCAGTGATGTAAGGCATTTTCTTCGGATAGCAACTTTCCAATACTTAAGTTCAGATTTCTGTTAGAGGTGCCCTGGTCATCTGTGAGTTTTGATGAATCATCACTTTGTTGCTTACTCCATCTGGCAGTGGTTTGGTGGATGCCAAGAGAATGCTATGTGTACGTAGTCACTTGTAAACTTTGGTGGAGGAGGAATAATGGTTTGGGCACCTTAGTTACAGTTGAGGGAAATCTTAATGCTGCAACATACAATGACATTATCGAGAATTCAAACTTTGTAGCAACAGTTTAAGGAAGACCCGTTCCTGTTTAAGTATGACGGTATGCGAAGCGTGGTCATTAAAGAAATGGTTTGCCAAGCTGTGGAGGAACTTGACTGGCCTGCACAGCTTTGACTTCAACCCTATCCAAATCCAGTACCTGTGGTGTGAACCAGAATGTCGACTGTGAGTCAGGCCTTATCACTCAACATCAGCGATTGACCTCACTAATGCTCTTGTGGCTGAATGGAAACAAATACATGTAGCCATGTTCTGAAATCTAGTGGAAAGCCTTCTCAGAAGAGTTGGGGCTGTAATAAGGATGGACCGTATTACTGCGCATGGTTTTAAAAAAAAAGATTTTCTGCAAGCCCATTGTCCAATGTCCCCATAATTTTGATCATGTAGTGCATCATAATGTTGCATGAAAACTTAGCGGCTAAGTTCTGAGCTGTCTGGCAGAGAAAAAAAGGCTGGCAGGTGCCACCAGGCCCAGGTCATCCCATGTGTTTAATGGGCATGTGCCCAGCGCCCCAAGTTGCTACATCTTTGTGATGTGTGAATCGTCTGCTTCCGCTCATTAAGTTATCAGAGGTAAGATATAAATAAAATTTTTAAAATCCATTCTGTGGCAGCATGCTTTAGCCTAGGATGCTTCACAGTTTGGGTTTTTAAGTTTGCTCCTTTTCCCCTGTCTTTATTATGTACTTTTCAGCTGTTCAATTTTAATTTGTTATCTTTATTTGGGTAAATGATTTGCTTGTCAAGAGTTGACATATGCTTCATAGGGAAATATTGTGTTGTTGGATTTATGTTCATGTGTGCATAATCTTGCTATTGTTTTGTCTCGATTGAAAAATATATATATATGAGCTTATAGCAATGATGTGCCCAACACTGCGGCTAGTATGCTACCATCGTAGTGCAGCATAGCCTTCATGTAACCTGCTGTGATATCGTAAAAAAAATCCCTGACCACTCAGGGGCCAATGACTTGAAGATCTGGGTTTGGGTGCTGATTTGGCACAATCCTATCTGGCCTACAAAATTATTCTAATTTTCTATTAATATTAGCCCATTTCACAGCGAGCTGCACTGCAATCCCCTGCATGCATTAAACTGTTGGGCTTTTTAATATGGCCCTTGTAGTGGTTGAGTTTGACACTTCTGCTCTAAAGCATAGCTTTTGTACCTGTGTGTTAAATTTCAGTGTGTGAAAGACCTGTGAAGGAAGAAAGTAGCCTGGAATTACCACATTAAACTCTTTATTTTGCTTAAAAGGCATATTTAACAGTGAGACATCTTTTACATTTTCAAGCAGGGAATCATTCTAAGGCACCCTAAACTGTGGAAACAATAACACTCAGTCTGAAAATCAGTGCAACCTATGCAAATTGTTTAGGAACATTACAATCACAAGTACTAAAATAAATAATTTACACATATAACAGCATGTCAGTTAAATCCTTTGACTAATCATTTTTGAATCAAGTTACCCAAGTCTTATCTTATAGAGTGTAGACTGAAAACGTAGCGATTATACAGTGTCACAACTCTATGCTTCATGAAAGACAGCTGTAATAAGGCTGAGGAAATGCACTGTCCTATCCTTCTGATGTAAATGATAATGTCTAATATCAATGATGAGCTCAAAATGCTTAAGCTTCAAATTACACATATAACAATCCAGTTTTACTATAGAACCTGATTAGCATGGTGACAGGTTCACACAATTTTCACTTTTATATTCTACATACACAGAGCTACTTTCCACTGCACTAGTACATATGATATCCTTCATCCTTCAATAAAACCAAGCTCTAGACTACTGCATGGCCCTTAAGGGGCCTTTCCACCTTCACCGTGTTGGGGTCACATTCCAGCATCTCTCTTATCCATTCATCATCCAGAGCTCCCTCAATGAACTCCTCCAGACTGATGATGGCTGTGGAGATGGAGGAAAAGCACAAATAGGGTCTGCTTTCTCATTAATTGAAACAAGGTCAGTTGTCACTTAGAGCTACCACATTCACATTTTATGTACATTACAAGATTAGCTACCTGTTTACAAAGATAATGTCTGTCATGCAATGAAATGCCAGTGTAAGCCCAACAAATTGAGTTAAATTTCATTAAGGCCAATAATTCCAGATTTACAGAGCGAATCCATAAGAAAGCACCCCTCTACATCACCTTACCGTTGTTGTCTTTGTCCAGTCGTACGAATATCCTGTTGGTGCATTCCTCAGCAGTCAGTGGATTAGGTTTGGTCAGGGAGGCTGCAACACTCATCTTGTACACGGCCTGCCAACAATCAGGACATGTTGGCAAAGTAAGTCTCTGTTGCCCTCTAACGGAGTAAGGAGGTAGTGACAACCTCCTTTACATGAATGATACAACTGAAGCATCTCAATGTTGAAACCTCTGTGCCAAATGAGAGGCCACTGTGATTCCAGTGTTCACCTATTTTCTTAAGACAAAGCAAACATTGACTGACACAATATAATGTGCTATGTGTCCAAAAGTTTGTAGACACAAGCTAATAAGGAGCGTGTCCCACATTTGCTGCAGTAACAGCCTCTACTGTCCTGGAAAGTCTTTGCACAAGTTTTTGCATTAGGCCACATGCGCATTAGTCAGGTCAGGTACAAATGTTGGATGACTAGTTCTAAATCACAAACTCCACTCCACTTCATCCTAAAAGTATTGGATAAAGCTCCATCACTCCAGAGAACGCAGTTCCACTGCTTCATAGCCCAGTGCTGGGGGGCTTTATACCCCTCTAGCTGACACTTGGCACTAGGCACAGTAAACTTAGGCTCATGAGCTGAGTATCCTATTGTATTGGCTGTGATTTTCTATAAAGATTATGCAAGCTGAATGTGCAATTGAATGCTTGTGTCCGCAATGGATAAACCTCAGATGAATTCACTAATTAGAAGGAGTGTTTAAACACTTTTAAGACAAAGTGATTTTTAAAACAGTCACCTTATTATATTTTGAGCACACATACTGAACAAGGGCCCTACCTGCATGATCTCGAGCATTTCTGATCGTGTTATGGCTCCATCCTTGTCCTTGTCATAGAGCCTGAATGACCAGCGTAGCTTGTCTACTGATGAGCCTGCTATCAGCATACTGATGGCTGTCGCATACTCTCGGAAGTCAACAACTCCATCCTGTAAAATAATACACCAACATCTACCATCGTCTACAATGAAGTGCGATTCTCAGTGTTTATGCTGAAAACACAAATACCTTCTCGTAAGGCATTTCCTGTCAGTTATTTTTCCAAACAAGTGTACACTCATTGAGCACTCTACTAGGAGCACTAAACTAATACTGGATATTTACTCTCAAAGTAGCCTCATTTGTTCTTGGTATGGATTCCACAAGATGTTGGAAACATTCCTTTGAGATTCTGGTCCATGTTGATATGATTGCATCATGCAATTCTGGTAGATTTTTCATGAGCACTTTCATGCTGTGAATCTCGTGTTCAACACATCCCAAAGGGGTTCTGTTAGATTCAGATCCAGTGACTGGGAAGGTTGCTGAAGAAAAATGAAATCATTGTCATTTTCATGAAAAGTTTGAGACTTTTGCTTTGTGACATGGTGCATTATCATGCTGGAAGTAGCCATTATAATATGGCTAAATTGTGGCCATGAAGGGATGCATGATTGGTATTACAAGGCCCAAAGTGTGCCAAGAAAACATTTGCACACCATTACACCAACGTGGTCTTCTATTGTAGCCCATATACCTCAAGCTTCGATGTACTGTGCATCCTGAGATGTTTTTCTACTCACTACAGTTGAAGAGTCAAGAATAGTAGTCTGTGTTACCGTATCCTTTCTCTCAGCTCAAACCATTCACTGTCTGGCCATTCACTGTTGACCTCCCTCATCAACAAGGGGTTTCCATCCACAGAATTGCCACTCACTGGATCTTTTATCTTTAATGCACTATTCTGACTAGACTCTAGAGACTATTGTGCATGAAAATCCCAGGAGATCAGCAGATAGAAATACTCAAATATTTCAGCTGAGATCACATTTATTCCCCATTCTGATGGTCTGCCACACGATCAGCTGATTAGGTAATTGAATTAATAAAGTACTCAGTGAGCATATATTCAGGGAATACCATGAAGGTTGGATTGATAAATACACTCTCAGAAAAAAGGTACTAAACTTTTTTGGGTACAAACACTGTCACTGAATTGTTACCCTCGGGTGTCCATCTTCAGTACCTTTTGTGAAGGAACATAATTGTACCATATTCAGTTGCAGTCCTTTATTTTAAGTCTGGGGTGTCAAACTCCAATACTGGATAGTTGTTGTCCAGCACAACCATTCATTCAACTCAACAGTTAATTTCCAGGTTGAGCTGGTGTGTTAAGAGTAGGAAAATTGCCAAACTGTGCTGGACATGGGTCCCCCAGGAAAAAAAGGTTACCACCAAAGTGTTTTTATGACCTGTTTTGACTGCAGGCTTTTTATTTTACTTTTCTATTTAAAAAAGTTAAGTTATGAAAGTGTATAAATGTGCACCTTTCCACTGGAAAAGTGAATGCAGTGTCTCTTGAAAACTCAAAGATACACATCTGAACACAAGGACATTGTTGTACCTTGGGGGACAAAAAAAAAGTACCCTTTTCCTGACAGTATATATATTTTCTGACAGTGTATGTACATATATACCTACAGTACTGTGCAAAAGTCAGAGACTGCCCTTTCTAGTCAAAACAACCATTATGTTATTCATTTCTCAGTGTAAGGATAAAATAACAGAAAACATATATTTTAACAACTTAAACAACTAAATATGCAAAATGTTCAGTCCACTCTTTGCCTTTCACTGCTTCCATTGTTTTCCAGAGACTTGCTTTCGATTTTCGAAGAAATCTGCAGAGATATTTTTCCACAAAAAACTGAAAAGTTCAGTCTTAGAAGTTGGTTGCATTTTCTGCCTCTCACAATTCCTGCAATTCCAAACACATTCAGTGATGGTGAGGTTCGGACTCTGGATTGGTCAGTCCATTGTTTTGAAAACACCAGCGGCTTCTTTGTTTGATTTGCAAATTTTCTTCCTTTTTGTCTGTTTCCTTTTCTCAGTAACGGCTTCTTGACAGCTACACATCCTTTCAGCCTCATAGCGTTGGGTTGTCTTCTCACAGTGAACAGACTAGGGATTGTTTTCAGATCTGAAGCAGATCTCCTCTCTGTCTCAAAGATGAAAGCTTTGAGTACTTTTCATCTGATGGTGACAGTTTTGGTGGTCTACCAGGTCTTGCACAGTTGTTAGTAATCTCATTTTCGCTGTATCTTTTTTTTCACTCATTTTCCTTTGATTTTACCCTTCCTTATACAAGTGAATTATCTTATATCGCTTCAGAAATATCTCCTGAAAAAATCGTACTTCATGGCTGTTTTGACTGGAAATTAAATGAATAAGGGGTGGGCTCTGACTTTGTGTGTATATAGAAAGTGAAAGAGAATTAATACAGCTCCTGTAGTCCTGCCAGACCTCGTTGTTGTCCAGTGTGCGGAATATCTGCTCTGCGTATTCTGCAGACTCTGTTCCGACAGTTCCGTTGCAGAAGTGCCGTCTGAATTCATGCAGAGTGATCAGGCCACTGGGACACTCATTTAAAAACTTCCTACCAGACAAGAGAGAAACCAGCACAATCAAAAATGCCTCCCTTTATGGGGGTATACTATTTGAAGCCACAGCTTATAAATTCTGAATTTGATTCCATTCAGCCACCCAGCATTTTCATATAAAGCCATAAAACCATTTGCTAACATTAATTTGATGAGGCTACATATAGTAGGGGAAATGTTGGTCAGAACACTGAAAAGGATTTGGATCTGTTCATCACATCTACCCAGATTAATTAAAAACGGACATCAGGCATACGCAAAAGCCCCTGATCAAATCACGTTTTCTGAGTGAAATAAGTTTCACAAAGTAAATGCACTTGTGCACATTTTAATGCACAATTACTGTTTATTTGTTGAATTTAACATACTGTGAAAAAATAAAAAACAAAATTTTATCTATTCTAAAGTGATTGAGCATTTTATATTTTATGTATGATTTCTTCCTCATTATTTTAAACTCCACAAAAAATAGAATTTGCACTAAAATGATCAGAAAAATGCCATATTTTAGTGCATTCTCTGTACAAAGGATATTTTCACTTAGAAAATATAGTGTATACTTAGTGTTCAAACATGTATATAACTCTATATAAGATACTATACAATATGTGTGTGTATATATATATATATATATATATATATACACACTTCTCAAACATTCATTAGGCAAGTCATTCTTTCAAGTAACCTGTTTTTTTTTGTTTGTTTTTTTTTGCTTACAATATGGCTGAAAACATGTAGAATAGAATTAAATAAAAAGCAAAGACTCATTTCTGATATTCACGTGTTCAGGACCATGAAACAAGATAATAGATGATTTCTAAGAACAAAATGCCCATACGCCAGAACTGTCATCAGTATGTAAATAAGTAAACCATAAAACTACAACATGTAAAGCACAGTTCATGCAAACAAAAATACATTCGTGAATCAAACGCAGATGAATATCTAACCTTACCTAAACCACTCATAGAGCTGTGTGACATAGGTGCCTCCACTTCTGCTGGGCAAGGTTGCAGTCTGTCCCATCCTCAACTGTTCTCCTCTATGAAGTAGTCCAGTGACACATTTATACCCCAGCCCTGCTTACTTCCCTCAAGCTTAATCACTCTTACAAGTGCCATCCTGCATCTGTGAAATTAGGCAAAAGTAATCTCCCAGCAGGGGGCAACAGGCAGGTTGGGGTGATGCAAATGTAATTACTTCAAGAACAGCTCCACTCAAGGGCGTGTGGGCTGTGAAGTGTTTTGTGGTACCCCAATTCACCCCTACACCAACATTAATGAGTACTGTGAGCAGTAAATGGAACACTGTTTAAGTTTTCCTCTGTCAGTATGTGGGAGATGTGCACCCATGTGTGCACCACCATGTTCATGTAACCCTGTGACCCAGTTAAGAACAGGCACTTTATACACCTGCAGCAAAACGGATGCATGTAGACGTACACGTGATCTGATTAACTAGCAACACTAGCCTGTGGTTTTCTCAGCCAGCTTTGTGCTCTGACTCATCATGTAACGACAATACAGTACTAACTACCTTAATTTAGAGAAAGGAAAAGCTGATTTACGTGGTTATGTGTTTCTGTAAGTACCTTTTTCAGCGGTTACATCTGAGAATGAAGAGCTGACAAAACATTCTCGAAAAGCCCATTTCATGGAAAACTAAGATTTCCTTACTTTTTTTTTAATAAAACGTTTGCTGTAGTATTTATACAGTTTTATAATTTCAAACCACACTGTTCACACCTCAGGGTCTGTTCATGGTCATTCTACAGAAACGTCCATTTTTTGTGTCCCTAGTGTTTACAGATATATTACACTTAAAAAAAAATTAGGGTTACAATTTTTTTACATTTTCAAATAAAACTGTTTTAACAATTACACCTTCTTCAGCCATCAATTTAGCAATATTGGTTTTAAATCTATCATATAGAATTCCAAGTACCACAGAAGTTCTTGTCCCCACAGTCATGTGTAAAGGGCGAGCGCCATATTTTGAAGAAAAAAACATTTTTTCTGCAAGTTTAACTACAATAATCTATACATGACTATGGAATATATAAATTAAAGGACATAAAGAAAACAAATGCCAAATAAATATTATAAAATATTTAATGAAAGTTGTTGTCCCCAGGAGTCCAGACTGGTGTTACTGCGTAACAAAAATATCTTATTTTGAAAAAAAAAATCACACTGATCACATCACTTAACTTCCTTTTACCTATTTTCTGAGGATCTATGAAAAAAGCACATGGTAAGTCCACTGTGTCTTTCCAGAAATTTTCTCATTTAGCTCATGATTTCATATGAAGCTTTTAGTTGAAGTCACTGGTATGACCTACTTTATTCTTAGATAATTGTGAAAAAATAGAATACAAATGGATTAAATGACATATTTTAGTGGATATTCCATGATTCACAACATGTGGTTCGATGCTCTGTAGCAGCCATTTTGTAAAATGTCGCTGGTGTTCCCTTTCTTATGTGTAACACTAATGAGCATTGGTAACACCAGTGACACCTATGGACAGATAGAAAAGTGGACGTTTCTGCAGAATGACTCATAAACTAAGCTGTGAAAATGGCCCACTTTGAATTCAAGAAATGCAAAAATTTGGACACCCCTGGTCAAATGATGTTTTTTTTTTTTTTAATCGATTCTCTGAATGAAAATAAGTACATCTTCTACAGCGACCTGTACATTTGAATGCAGTTACTGTTTATTTGTTGCATTTAACACATTGGGGAAAATATAAAACAACGTTTGCGCAGGCCACATTTTATATATTATTTTGAAATACATTAAATTCAGCAAAATTAGGAATTGTGTAAAATGCCACATTTAACTGTAGAGAGAGGATGTGTTAAATTATTTTTCACTTAGAAAATCAAAAAGATGTGTAATTTCACTTAATTCAAACTTTTGTATATGAACTTTATGTATTTACATATATCCACCTATTCATCTTTCAGCAGGTAAGCTTTGCACCTCAGTGTGTTTCCACCCAGACTGCTGTTTGAATGAGACATGACATACGGCAGCCAGTCATTATATATATCAGTCTAAAAGGCACAGTAACAAAAACAGCCTGTTTAATTTTGATACAGGATATGAAAATGGTCATGTAGAAATGAATTGTGGCTGTTTTTGACACATGAAACCTCACATGATCTAAGCAAGATTTTTTTTTTTATTTATTTTATTGGCCACTTTAGTAGATGTGCCATGTAAACTTTTCTTTTCTTTAGTTTTCACACCTTTGTCACCTCTTCAGTTTCAGAGTGTGGCTGAGTTAAAAACTGCATGCATGTGAAAGACAATCAGAACGTAAATGAAACTAATGTTTATTTAAGAATCTTTTTACAGGATAGCCCGGAGAGAGACAGCTTCGCTGCCATGAACCAGACCTGTTGACAGCAGCAGCGATGGTGTCATACACTTAAGTGCTTTATAATATACGGGGAAGGAGGATGAAAAAAAAAATATACAGAGGAGGCTGTGTGGAACTGGCATTGATGAAGTCCCCCTGTTTTCCAACAGCCTCTGCCAAAGGCTTAGACAGAGCGCATGCAGGATGGTGGCCTGCGCATGTCCAACCCACATTCCCCTCACAAGCAGTTCATGGAAGGGAGGAACTGTGGAAACCGCAAGTGTAGAAGAAGTCCCCAGCGGATGAACAGTCTTCAGCGCACTAACCACCACTCTCCAAGACAAAAGGAGAAGGAAGAAAACACAAAATGACAAAATCCCAGTCTGTCTCATAAGGCAAACAACACCTTTATCTACCACTAACAAAAAAAGTAGAAAAAAAGCAAAATTAACAGGTACACAAAAAGGCGGCATGCATGGATATCACTGGAAGAAAAACAAAGGGAACAACAAAAAAACTAGCATATATCTATGCAGGCTATTTCAAGATATCTTTAGGGCTAAAGCAGTAGAAGATAAGGTCTGTGGTTCTAACCTAAGTACAGTACTCAATTTTTGCTTAGTGCCACTGCAGCAGATGACACATATAGTACATACGCACACTGAAAAACAGTGACATTGTGCCAGGGCATGAATGCACACAGTACATAGATTCTAAAGTAAAACAATAACTCAAAGACAGACAATTCATGATTTTTTTGCCTCTCATAGTTATGGCACGTGTGTCACAGCTCACTGCTTGTTCATATGGGTGGAGAGAGCAGCTGTTCCTGTGCTTAAGGCCCCAGCTGACCAATCTAAGCCCTCATTGGCCATCATACCAGGCTGCCAATTGGCTAGTACTCCAAACCGTTAGCATGGTATGGAAAATTTGCCTACACTCTTAGAAACAGATGGTTTCTCAAGGTTATAATGAATACATAAAAGAACCTTTTGCATTACTAAAGGGTTCTTTGCAGCCTTAAAGTGTTCTTCAGATTGATGGAGAATATGCTGTAGATGGTTTCTATATAGGACCAAAGGGTTCTTCTACTTTTACAAAGTGAAGCTTGAAACAACAGAAGTACCCTTTTTGGTGCTATATAGAACCCTTGTCAAAAAGGTTCTATATAGAACCATATAAAACACATTCTCTATCAATCTGAGGAACACTTTCAGGAAACAAAAACCCTTTAAGCATGCAAAGGGTTCTTTAAGGATCCATGGTTCTATATAGGACCATTTTCTTTACTAAAATACCCTTGAAGAACCATCTTTTAAATAAAGTGTGTAGTCACAACAGCACTTACAAATGATCCCATAAAATACTAAGCAGGTTTAATGGAAATGCCCTTCCTAAATATTCTCCAGTCCATGTGTTTGGTAAAGAGACGCATGGGGAAGAGAGGGACTGTGGTCAAGCTCAATCATGTCTTAAACAGGCAGGTGGAGCTTCTAGACACATCGGTGGGAAAACATACACGGGAGTCTCATGGAACTGAGGATGGGACCCTCCTTCCTTCAAGTAGTAGTCTGGATAGCATTTGAAATGATCAACATGAACAAGAACATTTACCAAAACCTCTTTAAAACAAGCACACTGATGACACAGAGTTATAGGAGATGACTCCAGTACATCAAGGATACACTGCAGCAGAGAACCTGAATTATCCTGTCACTCAAAATGACTTTGGTATGTCAGTAAGAGTCAGACACATGCCAGCGAATAAGGCCATTAGACGCCAGCATGTTTTTTAACACCCAACAGTGCAGCTGTGTTGCTGCCAGTTGATGGAAAGGGTACTAGAGGGAAAAACAGGTCTGTTGCAGACAGGTCACTATTAATACATGGAAGAGTTTTTAAATTATGTTTCTAACGAACCACAGTTAAGGGCAGCCAAACTCTTTGGCTAATTACTATTATTTTGCTAGTCAGATATTGCATGTAGGCCATAGCTTAGTCTGTGGAAGGTTCCTACTAATTGTGCGTACTAAGTTGAAAGACTGAGCACATTCACAGCATAGACTTCAGAAATGATCAGTATTCTAATGGGAGCTAATCGGGCAAAGATTAAAAGCATTGAGGATGGAGTTAAAACTGTCGCACTGGGCTCATTAACTTTGCATGTTTTCAACAGCCACAACACACCATTCCATGAAGGGGTTAATCAGTAATAAACATAGGTTTAAATAACATCTTGATACATGCCATTTGGTTGTATGTTGACAATGTTCACTTTTTGTTGGTCACAGAGATTTATTTGAATATATATATATATATATATATATAATATCTTCAAAAAATTATATAAATATATATATATATATATATATATATATATATATATATATATATATATATATATATATTCATATTCCGGTGCATATTTGTTCACAATAAATACATACTGAAAATGAATCTACCGTGAACAACACACATCTGTACTGCCAACAGAAACCAATCTAATGTGTAGTCAGTAAGATTTGTACATAATGGGTGGCAAAGGGTTTCCCATTCAGTGGCTCCCTGAGTGTTCTGGACTGATTTTAATGATATTCTTAGCCTTCTCTGCTGCTTTTCACTTATTGTTTCATCAGTGTTTCTGGAAAGAGACCTTCATGGTATGGCAGCCTCAATCACTCAGCCTAGACCCCATTCACTAGCTTTTAAAAAACACCACTGAATGCAGATGTGCAAGTATAAACCAAGGTCAAATAAAACAAAAGTTCACAGGTTTTGAGACCAAAGGAGGTGGGGGGAAAGTATTCAGGCCCCAATGCCAATTCAGATCTCCCTGCAAAGTCCTTCTATTTGACAAATGACCACAAGCCTGCCTCTTCATCCCCATGTTGTTCTGGTTCAGCACAAAACATACTTTTTCTGCTTACAAGAGCAATAACTGTCAGGCTTCCCTTGACTCCTTAAAGATGTAGGAATCCTGTTAAAAATTTTCAGTGCGGTTTTGCCTTAAAAAGCTCCATACATAGTTCAAGTGAAGAACATCTAAGGACATTACAAAAAAAGTCCCTTCATCCACTGAAGAACAGTGGACTGTTTGGGTACTTGCTTTATGGCTTGGCTGAGGCATGCTTTTCTCAGCACAGGAGAGTGGGGCCAACAATTGTCCCTCAATCTGCGTCCTCAGAGAAGAGAAATGCACAGCAGACCAATAAAATCTGGTCTTGTTGCTTAAGGTACTCAGCTTCCTCAAGCAGACCCTTGCTGATCATCCTGCTGGAAGATAGACAGAGAATAAGAAAAAAGGATAACATGAGAGTTTGGAGGTGTCCTTTACTGTGGATCCCATTCACTTCCACTGAGGAATCATCGGAGGACTTGCTGTGTCTTTCACAAGAGCATAAATTAAAAATGTCTAGAAGCCAGAGAATGTAGATGATCTGCCAGCAATGGAAGGTTTGTTTTAAAAACAAAAGACCATCATGAAATAAAAAGTTTTTTTTTTCCAAAAAAGAAAAAAAAAAAAAGAAAGAAAAAGAAAAATAGAAAGACATTGGAGCCGTGAGGTTAGAGAGACCAATGCATCTCGTCAAAGTCCACAGCCTCGCCCAAGTTGGCGTCAGTCTCCAGCAGGCTCATTATGACGGCCATTGCAGCTTCGTCACTGCTCAGGCTTCCCAGCCCTGGAACCCCCTCAAGATCCAACTGAGAGCTTCCCTCTGCAGCAAAGACAAAAACCAAAGACAAATATGTCCTTTCAAGTCTTGTGGAATGGAAAAATGAATTACTTCACTACAATAAACAAAGCTAAAAGATAAACTCTAAACTGATACAACGGAACAGCAGGTACCCAAGACATTTTCGCCTGTTGCAAAGGGTCCGCTTCGTGCGTCATCCTCCGAACTCGATTTGCCGGGGATCTCCACATCTGTTGCTTCCCCATTTGGCACCTTGACAACAAAGAAAAGCATAGAATTAGGCCACCACGAAACCCGTCTCACACCCAAGCTCGACCTCAAACATGAATATGGTTGTAAGACTGACTCACATTGCTGCTAGCTTGCGTGAGGGCCAGTGGAGACTTGTCCTGAAGCAGACTGAAGGGGCTGGCATTGCCACTGGATGGGGAGGAGTTCATCCTAAGGACAATTTAGCAAAAATCACATGCATTTTATTTTACATCCACTGTCCTAGCATTTCTAGTACATCATAGAAACACTTGCTAAAATACTGGTAGTCCAAGTCTTACCTATTGAAGTCTAATAGCTCATTAGCAATTTGGGTCCCAATGCTTCCAGCATATATCATTGTGCCTGAGGCATTGGAGATCCCTGGGATGATGGGTAGGGACTTCTTACCATCATCTGATGAGGTGAAAACAGTAGAGATTCACTTCAAGAGGACCAAAACAGTCAAACAGTTTTCCTTAATTATAATGAAAATATTATTTGGAGTTGAGAGTTACATACAAATGGTGTCAAACTTGTATTCGACTTTTAACTCCAAATATTTCTTAGATCCACATCATTTTTACACAACATTATTAAACAGGATCATATCTCTTAGCTTTAGAACGTTCTTTATAGATTGAATCATCAAATAAATGCAATACCAATCTAAACAAAGTGATCACCTTCAGGGCCTTGGAATCAACAGGCTGTTCTGACTTGTCCCCTGATCCACCTGGATTACTCTTACCACTATATGAAAACACAAGCATTAAACAACAAACTGTTATCATCTCAATGTTCAGGAAGAACAGCTGATGTGATGTTCACTACACGTTCACTACGCGTTCACTACACGTTCACTATTCACCTCCAACACAGAGGTGTAGCATATGTGAGACTAAACTTCAGCATGTTCAAATAGATATATACATGGCCTTCAGAAGAAAGGATGAGATATTTGTACTTACGATATGACTGTGTTTGTTGACACTATGTATTCTACTTCTTTGGTCCAGGGATTTATAAAACTAAACCACTGACTTTGCAAGGTGACAAAAGAGCCGTATTTCGTTTTAAACTTGTAGCAATTTGTCTCAATCTTCTCTTTACTTCTCAGCACTGCAAAGAAAAAGGGACAGGTAGAGCCACCCATTTACATATAAGTAACAAGTCAATAGTTTCTAATGTTAGAAACAGGAACACTGACAAAGCAAACACGCCCAAGGCAATAAAGTAGACTTACTCTGTTCAACTGGAGCCAACTACATAAACAACTGATCGCTGATGAGGATTTGGCCTGTGCAGGTGGCACACGCAGATGCCACTTGCCAAATAATCTACAACAGCAACTTGCTTGATTTCTCAGAAAAGCTTGACCCAAATCAAATTTAAAGCCAACATTACCAGTCAAATGCCAGCAGCCCCAATTAGCATGATGTGATTTTCATCAAACGAATTAGAGGTCATCGTGGCTTTCACTGACTATTACTTGTGTTAGTGTTTTTGGTGAGAATATTCTATTGCAGTCCGGAGTCCACTCAGTGCTGAACTCTGATCGCTCACCTTTTCGATGTCTCTCTGCCAAATGAGGCAGGTCGTCTTGATGGAAGTATTCATAGCAGGATGTGCCTAGCAGCTCCTGAGGCAGGTAGCCAAGAACGGTGGTGGCTCTGTAAACGGGTAGGTTACTGTATTTAAAGAACTATACTACGGAAAACTGAACTTTGACATAGTTTTGTGATTCAGTATGTAAACATTGCTACATGTTTCAAAACATACTGTTCACTCTCCAATCTATATATAAAAAACTAAGCTGCAAAAACTCATTTAGTTCCTCATTGTGTCAAAAGGCGTTTGTTCCAAATAGACTGAAGGTCCTGTGTTGATCTACTGTTTCCAAACCACAATGCCTAAATTTAAAAGAGGTATTAAGACAAGGAAGTTACAATGTGTTTTGGAAACATGAAACTCCATCTGTATACCGTTGATCCACAAAGGTGAATTTGCCATCCATGGCACAGCGAGTGACAAACTCTGTGGGCTTGACCTTGACCTCTCCGTTGGCCTGGGGGACGGTGTGGGGGTGCACACGACCTATGGCCACCAGGCAGCTGAAGTGCGAGCTGTCTTTGTCGGCCTCAGCCTCACCCTCTGTGCCAAGCTGGCTGGTGGGCCAGGTGCGCATGTAGCCGGTGCAGTGAACCGTGCAATATCGCTGAGATTCTGAGACAGGAGAAAGAAAGGGGGAGGGAAAAAAAAGTCATCACACAGTGGGGGCTGTGCCACCACAAATGAAGTCTTATTTTAGCTGGATTACTTTTACAAAGCTTTTATAACCAATAACTAGGGGAGGCACAACACTCAATAACAGTAACAACATGGCACATGGCTGGGTCTACTACCAAATTTATAAAATATAGACATTAGGACCAAATCCACATTGATTAGCATCACAGAAAAATGTAACATTTATTTCTGTAGAGTATAAATGCAATAAAATATATAAACCGTATATATTTCAGTACAGTAGACCAGTGTCGCCTAAACATTGTGCTTTTTCAGAGTGTAAGAAATACATCAAGTATCAGTTAAATCAGTCAAATCTAAATCTGTCTGATGCTGATCATTTTTTTTTTTAGCAAATATCCATCAATACCAAATTGATTCCAATATCAATGTGCATCCCTGATTGTAGTACCTCACTAACGTAAAACTAACCCAGGGTTTGAGACCAGTGCCAAATTATGTTCAGAAACATCAGAAAATTTCATAAATCTGAGAATTTTGTGCCTGTAAGAATCACAAGACTAATGTATGTAATTGTTCTGGTTAAACAACTATTTTCTGCTGAAGAAAATTTGGGCACTTTACCCAATTATTTTTGTTTCTTTGCATAATGCAGAAAAGTAAATGTTACACTGCACAAGAGCCAGAGCTCTCTGGGGGACTTCAACTGTAATTGGTATTCCTGGACCTTAAGGCATAAGTTTGTGCTACTTACCTTTCTTTTTGGAAGAGCCCGCCTGGAAGTCCTTTTCTTCTTTAACAGTGACTTTGTTGTACTTCATTCGGCAGAAGAAGGAGCGGCGAGCCCCTGAGCAGAGCCGAGCGGCTCCCACAGGCAAATCTGCCTGCACCTGCAGTCCCGCTACAGAAGAGATTCACAGTCACACAAGCAAGTGGTAGAGATTATTTTATATATTTTACAGATATATATACAGCTTACAAATATATAGCTTACAGACATTAATCATTAACGCACAGTTGTTGACCGTAAACTGAACACAAAAAAAAATCCCGAAAGCTGAATCAGCTCTAGTTTAGAGTGTTTACTTTTGGCGTCTATAAGGCGTTCCCGTGGGTAGAGTTCAGAGGCCGAAAGCTGCTCCTTTACTTTTCCGATGTCCTTGGGGTGAACATAGTCAAACAAGCTCTGACCAATCAGCTCTGGCTAAGAAGCAAAATAACATTTAAATGAGCCAAAGTCTGCCCAATAAACATCCCCAATCCATGAACAACAAAATGTACTGTTCTCAGATGTTTACAGACTGTTCACAAAGCAAACCTAAAGAAAGTGAATGGGACCGTAAACGTCCAGGACAGTAAGCCCTATGCCTAATTACAGAATAACACAACCTCTATGGAACGAATAAATAAATAAATAAATAAATAAATAAGATTTTTTGTATGAAGGAAAACTGCTCACCCGACTGTAGTTAAGTATCTTCGAGACAGACTCTGAAACAAAGACTATTTTCCCTCTGTCACAGCCAACCACAAAGAGAAATCCATCAGCAGCCTAGGCAACAAGATCACTGAAGGTCAAAGGAATGAAAAACATACAGAGAGAAAGAGCAATTCCACTGCTAAGAAGACACAGTTTACACAATGCACTAAAAATGGACAAAAAAATAGAGAAGAAATTTGCTGTAAGTGCTGTTTAAAACACATCTTGTATTTCAGAGCCTGTCTGTTACACTTGTCTCTAAATATATACTTGGCATTGTTTGAACTGATCTTGGCATTCAGTAGCTGTAAAGCTTTGTGTGCTTTCATTCAGAGAGGTAGGCTTTACACAGCCGTACTGGACCAGCTGCAGTACATATTGCAGGATTACCCTGAGGACAAGGTGCTTGAGTTCATCATCCGGGAGGAATGAAGGCTTGTAATTGGCTTCTGCAAAGGAGCTGGTTGCACCTGGCGAAACAAGAAAATCTGCAGTCAGGAAATGATGCATTGCTCTTAGGTCTAGATTTTAAAAGCAGAGCGATTTATTAGTGTAGGCATATGCGTCTGTGAATAACCTACCTTTGAGTGATTTGAGGTGTTGCACAGCCATGCGCAGCACAGTGAGTTTGTCGAGCTTGCGGGACATTGGGTTACAGGTGGGAATCATTGCCGACAGCTCATCAATCAGGTTATTCATCTTGTCCCGTCGCCTTTTCTCAATTTGGCTGTGAGGTTCCCTACAAGTAGGGAAGTTGTTTAACACAAAAAAATGATGTAGACAAGTAACATCTCACTTGATTTAACTGCATGAAATTCATGGAAGACATGAAGCCCCACTATCCTGACCTGTCCTGCTTAAAAGCTGAAAATGTAAATGTGTATGACAAGCAATACTAATTGTGTCAATGTGAAATAGCAAAACAGTTGCCATTTAGAGCATTAATGTGAGATGTGCTAATGTAAAACAAATGTGTTAAATCTAATACATCACTCTTTTTAAATCTCATATCAACAGTCTGCTAAAGAGCCACATTTTACACACACACGAAAGTAGAAAATATGTAGTACTGTGCAAAAGTCAGAGACCGCCCTTCATTTACTTGATTTCCAGTCAAAACTGCAATTAAGAATCAGGAAAAAGCAGAGAATGTGTATATGAGAGAAAACTACACAAAAGCCTAAACAAATAAATATATGTCTTTCCATATTTAGTTTGTCCTCTTTTTTCCCCTTCACTGCTTTCATTCTTTTTTGGGAGACATGCTTTCAGTTTTTCCAAACAAATCTGCAGGGATATTTTTCCACACCTCCAAAGTTCAGTCTTAGAAGCTTAGACATTTTCTTATTTGTCTATTTCTTTTTCTCAGTAATGACATCTTGACAGCTACACACCCTTTCATACCCACAGCGTTGAGTTGTCTCCTCACAGTGGAAGGACGGACAGAAACATAAGTTGTTTTTTTCCTATCTGAAGCAAGAGAGGACTTTTGCACAGTACTGTACATATTTATTTATTTAATTATGCATGCATTGAGCTCTGTAACAGATATTATGTTCCCCACACAAGCATTAAGGCAGCTTACATTAAACATCAGATCAGATGCCAACATCATTAAAAAAAAAAACATGAATTGTTTTAGTACCTGAAACACTTAATTTTCACATGTTGATCATCCCCTTCTGACCTAAAAGCAAAAACACTCCAGGATGTTAAAAACAAGAGTAGAAGCACATAAGAGAGACATTTCGAATGTCATCACAGACAGAGTACCTTTCATGTTCATCCTCCATATCTTCATCCAGCATCGATGCAGATTTTGTTTCCCTGGAAACAAAGTGGTTTAGTGATTAACAAAGCCGAAAAAAGAGGCTAGGCTTCACTCTCCGAGCACTAATACAAACCACACACATTTCTTAGCATTCTGCATGTTCTGCTCTAATTCAGAAAACCAGGACAGGGAGAAAAAAATAAAAAACAGAGGAGAAGATTTCAGTCATACAGAAAACACAGCAACTCTAAAGTACAATACATTTCATTCAGATTTACTTTTCATTCTCTTTAAAACAGAAACTCTCACTATTGAGGTCACCTTTATACATGATAAAATATATCAAATATACACACGTAAACAAATAAAAACACGCACTCACTTGTTGTCCATGCTGCCCTTTCGTTTCCTCGGCAGCTCCATGCCAGAAGCCATGCCAGCGGCTGAAGGGGGGGTCACCAGACTGGAAATGGAGACAGAGTGACTCTGGAGTCTGCCCTCCAACGCATCCCCTGAAACACAACCAACCACCCACGAAGAGAGAATTTAAGGGTACGTTATACATGTAGTTCAGTTCCCTTCTTCCAGACCAAAGAAGAAAATAACACGTTGTAATTCAGTCCTAGTCTGCTTAGCGTTCACGCTGACATTTTTCTTCGAACCAAAAGATGTGATCCAACATCACGAGTAAAACGCAACAACTGACTGCGCAAATTTCATGATGTACAATAACTGCAATAACGTCCATCGAACTTTCTGAATCATGTTCTTTGTTCTATCCGGGCTGTTTGGTTATATTTATGTTTTGTTTTATCTGTCTTGTGATATTAGAGCGATAAGCCACAAGAGTCCCTGCGTTACTGCGGTTTTGCACATCACAAATCAGATCGAAATCCCTGTAACACAGCATTGAGTGGCTGCTTTTACAACAAAGAGAAACCTTGGCACATAAATACACCTCATTTATGTGTGCAGTCAAATATGTATATTGAGTGATTTATAATGACTTCAAATGTGCCTCAGCCTTGGTTCAAAACCAAAACTATCCATGCAGTAATTACCGATTCAGAGCTAATGAAGAGATGACAGAACACATGCACATGTCAAAACATCATCAGAAACTCATCCTTATACAAAAGAAGCTCTGCAGAGATGGTTCGTTCTCTCCTTGGTCCGTTTAGATGTCTTCGGTCTGTATTGCGTTTATACGTCAAACAACCCCCCAGAATTCATTTTAAAGTGAGACAGACATGCTTAGAAAGACTCGGTCTGTTTATTTGGTGCACAACAGAGTTTGGATAATGAATGAACCGCACTAACAGCGCAACCGCATCAGCGTTCACTTTAATTGAACCAAACCTGCCAGGTCTACACACCCTAAATCTTTAGGAGACTTGATGGAAAAATGAATGTTTCTGACGAAAAGGCTACTTCAATTTAGACAGATGTTTATGTTATTATATCTTTCTCCAGACAGAGCTTTAACTGTTCATAAATGCTAGGTCAGCAAAGCTCTAATGAACATGCTCTAAAATGGGTCTGCATAAAGTGGTTTCATCTGCTTACGCCTGATATTTGGTTAAAACACACAGCTCCATGCTGTATGACATGTTTGCATTCGAGTATGTATGTGCATACAGTGCTGTGCAAAACTCAGAGACCACTTTTCATTTATTTAATTTCTTGTCAAAACAGCCAATAGTACAAGTTTTTCATTTTCAGGGAAAAAAAGAAAAAAAAACAAAAAAAACAACACACATTTGGAAGAAAATTATACTCCAGCATCAACAATTTAATATGACTTTCAGTATTTAGTGTGTCCATCCTTTGCCTTTACAACAGCTTCCATTCTTTTCAGGAGACTTGCTTTCAGTTTTTCCAAAGAAATCTACAGGGACATTTTTCCACACCTCTCAGAAGTTGAATTTTCTGCTTTTTACAATCCAAGTAATCCCAAACACATCTAATGATGTTGAGGTCTGGACTCTGGGGTGGTCAGTCCATTGTTTTAAGAACACCAGCACCTTTCGTTTCCTGTTTCTCAGCTTCTTGACGGCTGCACATCCTTTCAGACCAACAGCACTGAGTTGTCTTCTCACATATTTTTTCATTTATTTAAATAAATTCTGCTTTTGGAAACTCCTGCTTTTTTACTTATATCCTTTGACTTTCGCCTTATGTCCAATGTCCTCAGAAATATCTCCTTGTACTAAATGGCCATTTTGCAGGTAATTAAATAAATGAAGGGTGGTCTCTGATGCTTGCACAGTACTGTATATTCTCTTTACAGTCGGTGTGGATAGGAAATCAGAATCCTTCAGAATCTGTTTTGCAGAAAAAAAAACTGTCAAAGATTCTACAAAAAAAGTTATACAACATTTTTCTATAATTTCTGAAACATGACTCATTATTTGTTGAAAGCATGATTTTAATGTGTTTTTTAAGACATGGGAGGCTACTTAAGAGCAAGAGAAAAAAAGACTTCAGCAATAAATATGTTAATAAGTATTGGTAAAAATATGTTAATAAATATAGGTAAAATAAACCTGTGCATGTCAATCCATCATTAGCTGGCTCGTCTCACAGCACCACAGCATGGCGGAAAACCTTAGAAAACAGTGCAGATATTGCCAGATATATGAACTACCTCACTAATGTTGACATGAACTGAAATAACTCTTGATATAGTGAGTATTTTTTACAACTGGTCCAAAAAACAAAACAAGAGATTAAAGCGAGGAGGTTACATGGAGTTGCATGTATTTGCAGCCAGAAGTGAAGGCGACTACAGGTGTTTTCGCTCTATGATTTGTCAGGATAGTGGGAGGGTGGAGAAAAACATGCTAAGATTTTATTGGTTAATATAATTTTTTCCTGTTGATGGTACACAGTGACACAACCAAACATCAAAAGGCATTTAGATTCAGGCAAATAGTCACTACACTTCGATCAAAGAATACAGAGAATTACATTTTTTTGTATTTTGAATCATATGGCAATGGAATGTGCTTAAAATAAACAAAAGATATGAACTAACAACTTAAAAAAAGGTCCATTTTGATTTCAGGTTGACTTGAAAAGGAATGTAAAATACATTTAAAAGATTACCCAAATTTGTCTAGCCTAACAAAGAATGTGCTGAAGAGAACTTAAACTGCTCCTACACCTGTTCCCACTACTGGAACCAGGGCATGGTTGAAATGCAAGCATGTACACAAAGACCATGAAGTTCTCCAAAAACATCCCCAAAAAAAGAAGAACGCTTCACAACTGCAGGTCTAAATAACAGACAACGAAATACTTATGAAATGTGACGATTAAATTTAATACGAAGTCTTAAAACCTAGAAACCCAGTTTTGCACGTGGACCTTAAAAGGCGACACTTGAACATGGATGAAGATGTTCATATAAGAAGTGGTCATTTCACACACACTTCGTAAGCACATCTAGGTTACCTTTCTGTGTTTAGAGGACTGTTATCACAGTATGGCCAACCTAGTTCAACAAGAGGCTTTAATACTCTTTCATGTTCTCTTTTTGCTGTTCTTTACTCATTACTCCAGACAGCACTGCAAATAAAAGATAATTTGCTGCCTGACCAACGGCCTTCAGTGCTAACAGGACCTAATGACAGTAAATGCAAGCTCTTGCTCTACTTTAACAAATCATTAGCTTCTTCTCTCTATTTAAGCTTTAGGCTGTAAAGACGATAACAGAGGTGAGACCAGAACATTATTACACAGTCACAGGCTTAATAAAGCTTCAGTATTACATAGATTTCATAAACAACCTTCATTAGGGATGCACTGATCATGAATTTTTATGGCTGCTTCCAATTTATTTACAGCCCAATTGGTCAATATTCAAATTTTTCTTTTAACACGAAAGGAAAAAAAAACTTTATTAGCCAAAGTCAGAATATGAGTAATATTTTGTTCTTTATTGAGCCAAATTGACATTTTTAATTCTTAAACAAAAACAGTTTCTTATTTAAATAACTTAAATCAAATAAATCTTTTGAAAGAGGGCCACTACCTATTTAGCACAAGGAGTTATACACAATTATATAATTTATACAGGTCTAACAGCAGCATTTAAACACAGCTAAACACTTACCTGACTCACATTATTTACATTATAAAATTGCAAGACAGGTTACCAAAATTCATATTTCATATGTTTGGAGCAAGAATCTGCCAATCTTCCCATCTTGGCTGATTCAGATCATGCTTTTTTTTTAATATAATGGCATGAGTAGGGTTGTCAGGATCAAACTTGTGTAAAATTTTGAAAACCACCTATAATTTACCTTCTTGATGAACTGGCAAAGCTTAGCAGTTTGGATGATGTTTTAAACATTTTAAATTCTCCTACAGTCTCTCTAACAGTAAGAAACACATACATTTATGCATTTTCTGCCATAAAAGATTCCTTGAGCTTGCTATGCCAACTTGGAGGAAAAGCATCATGTTCAGAAGTTTAAGTCTCTTCTAGAGGATTCTTACAATAAAGCGGCCAACAACAATTACACATTGCACCTTGCATGACACGGCCATTCAGTAAAACACTCTGAGCCTCCAATCCCATTCATAAAGAGATTCACCTGGTCTGTGTGAGTAGCCAGGTGGCAGCTGTTGTTCTAAGCCCCTAAGCATGTTGATTTGCCCCTGAACTACTCCTACACATCTCCAGGGCTATGTGCACACGTGTGTGTGCGGGCGCATGTGTGTACACAACAGAGCGGCCAAACTCATGCGACAATGGAACGGGCCAGGCCAAACCCAGCTCACGTCCCTGGCTCCTATATTTAAAACTGTTCCACAGGCCCAGTGACCTAAATAGTCATTAACAGATCAGCAACAACCTGATTTTTAATCCTGGGCTCTGGAGTGAAGATGTGTAGCAGGATTATTGGGCTTTACAAGGGGATGTTGTGACCACACCTTGCAATGATCTACCTCTCCCTCTCTCCCAGTTAGCGAAGTCACTTACACACATATGACCTGCATTTTAGCGCTGTCACACGATGATAACTGAGTGACGTCATTCACTCGAGAGAGAGCTGTTCTGCTGATAACTGACTGAACAATGAACAGAGATATTTTCCAGGATATATCAAACAAACAGCATATATCAACTCATATTAGTGACACATATATTAACAATTAGTTAGCATTTTACAGGCTAACGCTTTGCATTTTAGTCTCTAAAAGTCAGCTCCTTTGCTAAAGATACATTCACTCATTTGACTTTAATTTTTTTATGTACATACATGCAAGAAATAACAACTGTTCTACAAATACAGGTTCGTATATGTCCAACTATCGACATAATGCTTCACATCAACGAATATAGCATAATTTCCATTTTCATTAACTTTTTCAGTAAGTCATGGATAGAATGCATTTTTTCTAAATTAAATCAAAAGGACAGGGGTAAAAGGAATCATCAAAAACATTTAAATGGTTTAGATTAAGACTGTGCACAAAGCAGCTTCCAAAGATTTAAGGC